CTGTATATGCGCATTAGATAATCATTTAATTTTATGATATTTGAAAAGATGAACTGGTTATCACGATTTCCGTTTCGAAAAATGACTGTCTTCTACCGTATATCGGTGAATAGTGCTCGTATTGCACTATCACGTTTGCAATATTAAAATACAGATATTTCTCTTTCACATTGATAGGCTCTCACAGTTTCGTTTTAAAATTACTGTTTATTTGATTACCGACTTACCTGTAGACTATCATCTTGAGGATGCTTGAATACAAAACAGATAAGAAATCCCTGGATGTTTAGGATTCCTACTGTAAAAAATCAATTCTCTGTATCTTCAGTTTTATTACACAAAAAACGATTTGTAGAACTATTTTATTGTTCAGACTTTCCACTTTCGGACTACGCAAAATATTCCTAATTTTAATTCCAGTACTCCCATCAAATCGTTCAGAATCTGCTATGGTAGACTGGTGTGTCATTGTGTGCCCGAATATATTACATTTTAGTTATTTAAGTCAATTCAAAAGTAAATTAATCAGCTTTTGTAATAATGAATAATTTAAAATACTGGAAATCTTTTTGATAAACGTAAAGTTAAAAGTTCAGCTATTAAAACGATATCGTAACTGAGAAAACAGGAGTGAAGTAGCACAATATGCCGATAAATTTGTCCACGTAGACTGCCATTCATTTTGATTGCGACTATGGAATATTTTTTGTTTTTTATAGAAAGAAAGAGCCAGCAAAGGATTGGCCAAGTGTGTTCCGATATATATCCATGTCTAGTGTTGGAATATCATGAGCAACTACCTATGACTTGTTTTGAACATAATAAACTTAAATACATTGTATAGTAGTGAAATGGTCTATTTCATCCTGATTCTTCAAATTCTTCATAAATTCCTTTGTATTGAGTGTAGCTGTGGTATTCCTTTACATCAATATAGCCACACTCACGTCACATATCATGACTGTGAGATCTACATATAGTACGATCCTTTTATATTGAAACAACAGAGTTTTAATATTGGAAAAATTGTTATAAACTACAAAACAATATAAATACAAATAAGGAAGCAACTTTCGCATTAACACGACTGCAAAACGATAGATAAACTGTTAGTACCATCATTGACTACGGCAAAATCCAAACTTTTTGTCCTTGTTAAAATCACCACCGACAATAGAGAATGGGCGAGATCCATAACCCATCGGATACAGAATCATACTTAAGAACGTACCTTTGCCATATCCAAGAAATATGCCTAAATTATTAGTACCTTGATTAGCGACAACAATATCCTGTATGACATCGTTGTTATAATCACCAACAGTTACAACGTACGAATAGGAGTTAGATCCTGCTGACGTGAGTAGGTTTTCTGAGTTTGCAAAAGAACCATTACCATAACCCAGGAAAATACTTACACTCTCCGAATCATAATTAGCAATGACAATATCAAGTTGGGTATTCATTAGTAAAGTCGCCCGTAGATATCGACATTGGTCGAAACCCAGCTGCACATGTCATTGGATTGAGAAACGTGAAATTTCCGTACTCGATAAAAATACCGATGTTGTTAGAACCAGAGTTGGCGGCAATGATATCCATTCGAGTATCGCTATTGAAATCACCAATGACTACACACTGTGGGGTAGTTCCCGTTGAAAATCTTCTCTGATTGACAAAAGAATAATTCTCGTATGTTGCCAATATATCCAAATTATCACTCTTATCATATGCGATGATAATCTCTGATAGTCTATCATTATTGAGATCACCCGCGGCGATAGCAATTGAAGCAGAATCAAAAACACACTCCATCAGTTGCTTGACGTTCGGAGGTTCCCTTGGCATTGCAAAGTCAAATATCCGCGTTCTTGGTACGATTATAAGGCACAGCGATATCTAGTTAGTTATCATCATTAAAATTGTCAAAGGTTAAGGTCAATGGGTAAAAATTTCAGCCTGCACTCTGAATGATTTGGCTCAAGAAAGTGCCACCGACATGTCCGAAAATGATGCCTACATCATTAGTGCCATAATTGGCAGCCACGATATCTAATCGACAGTCATCCTTTATATCACCAACCACAGCATATTGCAGATCAGAACCACCGCCAGATGCGTATGTCATTCCGTTTGTTAGAAAGCCTCTATTATATTGCAGCATTATACTTATATCATTGCTTTCTCGATTACCAACGATAATATCCAGTCGATTGCCGTTGTTCACATCCACAATAGCTACAGATCCTGGGCAAGAGCTAGTTAAATCTTTTTTTTTTATTAGTAAAAGATCCATTACCATATCCGAGACGAACAATCACATCATTGCTACCACCATTGGAGAAAACTATATCCAGTTGATTGTCGTTGTTGAAATCACCAGTAGCTATAGAGGATGGCACCAAACTAAAACTAATGTCCTATCTATTTCCATCAGCAAAAGAGCCATTACTATGTGCGAGAAAAACACTCAGAGCATCACTATAATTAGCGACAACGATATCCAGTCCAATAGCTACAGCGTATGGAGAAGAGTCAGCTGAACAATTCACCTGATTTTCCAAGCTCTCCAAAGAACCAAAAACGATATCCAGGGCACCAGTATCATTGCTAACACCTATCACGTCCAGACGACTGTCTTTGTTGATATCACCTACGGCAAGTGATATCGGCGAAGTTGCTCCTGTTGAATACATTTTTGGGTTGGCGAAGGTTCCATTTCCATAACCAATTAATACGACTATATTATTAGTACCCTTATTGGTAACAAGTAAATCTAATCGGTTATCTTGATTGAAGTCCTCAACACCAATAGTATACGGAGAAGCCGAATCAGTGGAATATGGAACTTGCTTTGTAGAAGTTCCGTTTCCATTATTTACAAGTACGCCAATTTCATTACTTCCAAAATTAGCCACAGCAATATCAACGTAGGAATCTTTATTGAATTGTCCAGCAATGATGAAATATGGACGGGAACGAGGACTACTTGAAACAAGAATTTGATTAGAAAATCTATCATTGTTATTTCCATAAAAAAAATACCGATATTATCCGTACCATAATTCGTAACAGCAAGATCTAAATAATTATCATTATTGAAATCTGCAATAACTACTGAAGATCGAAAAGAACCGTAGCCTGTCCAATACATGATTGCACTCGAAAATTTTCCATTTTCATATCCATGCGGTATACTTATACTGCGGGTTCTATAATTAACACTGACAATAGCAAGTAGTGCGCCATTATTTAAGTCAGATATACTAATTACTATCGGACGAGGCGTGCAAATTGAATGATCTGTGTGATTGTCGAAAGATCCATTCCTAAATCCCATAAATATACCAATGCTATTGGTACCAAAATTTGCTACTGCGATATCCAATCTACTATCTTTGCTCAAATCGCCAACAGCTACCATGTACAGAGTAGATCCGGTGCCAGTAGGAAACTGGGTTGGAATCGAAAAAGAGCCATCATCCTGTCCGAAATAAATAGAAATTAAATCAACGATGTGGTTAGTAACAACCATGTCTAACCAAGTATCATTATTGAAATCGCCAACAGCAACAGATCGAGCACCATAATCGTATTCGATGGGTTTTGTGTTTGTTGTTGCTGTAAACTTCAGCCCACACACTGGAGCTAAACACAATAAAAACAATAGCATCATGGCTTAGATGCGTAACTCTATGCAGCTTTTTTTGAACATTAAGATTGTTTGAAATCTCATAAAATGCAGAGGGCTTCGCATAATTGTAGAACGAAATAAAATTTCAAATTATTCTCTTGAGTAATACTGCTGGAGATTCCATAAGTAGTTTACGCTAATGACTACAATAATAGAGTTACAACAAGCAAGATGAACATAACTTAGACGATAGAGAAGAGGATGCGAATCTAATGACGAAATTTTTATACACGAATAAAACGGTATACAAATATAAAAACGAAGAAAATTGAAATATATAGAATGACTAGTTGTAAAAATACTTCTCTATGCTGATGTTTCCGTGAAAAAGATGTATTTACTCAAAAATATTGTTGGTTGTCCTTTTACAGTTTCAAATAAAGAACTTCGCTTTGATTTCAATTCACATGCAAAACCAAACGACTAAGCTATCTATAGAAGTGAAGCATACCTGTAGCTTTAAGTGAGGTAAAATAAATTTCCAGTACACCAATAATAATCGCGATATTTGTGAATACGGTGAATGCGCACGTAGCTATTGCAGATCGATGTTTTGGCCAGCATGATTCGACCGTAATGACAACATTCTCTATATGATCAATAATGAGAGGAAATGAAAGATATATACAAAGCTTTTCCAGGATTTTTTGATCTGTCGAACTCGTGGTTAGTACATAGCTAAAGCCTTCGTTGAGTCCAATGCTTTCTTTTGACATGAGAATGTTGTTCATTTTCGACTGGGATAGAATTATTACCCATATAATTTTCAGAGATCTCTAGCAAAATAACAATAGTTAAGAAACAACAGTTTGTAGTAAATCATAATTGGTCATTACAGTACGTACTTTTGTATTAAGTCTTTTTTTCAGTCAAATATGCTATTTTTTACTCGTTTATTTTTGTAAATATTGCGCGAGTAATTGTTCCAAATAAATAAGTTGTTGATGAACATAGAAAAATTCAAAATCTATAGAACGAATACACTGTTTAAAAATATTTCAACCATATAGGAACACAAACCGTAGATGCCTATTGGAAATATGTACATAGCAATAAAATCCAAACGGTATCCAATAGTATATCTGCAGCGATTTCTGGCAGATGGAGTATTCTTGTGATTGTATTATATTTTATTCTGTTCACTTCATGTAATACTATCTCATCATTTAAACGAAAAGTGCAAATTTACATATTCTATGAGGACTCATCAGAAAAGCAGAATGCACGCGTAAAGGACAGAGGAATAAAATACAGCGAGACTGTTTACAATTCATAGTCACGACAGAAAGAACGATGACGCACATATAGGAAAGATTAAAAAAAGCAATATTAAATATAATGTATAAACAGCCAATTCAACCATGCAAACGGAGTAGATATTGGCACGCAATAGACTACATAAGGAACGTTAAAGTATGCTATCGTACAAATTAGATTTCACTGTTGAATAGGCTCGATTGACGAGAAAGTACTGTGAAAAGTTATTTTTATTTAAAAATTTGTAATGTCTCCATGCCTGGATATTAGATACATCACCTATTTCGTGTTAATTTGTCCGCAGCCTTGCTTCATTACGCTTTTCAATTAGCAACAATATTTTTCATGAACACAAAAATGCATCGCTTTTACCAGGTATGATTTGATGATGTTTGAAACAAAAAGCAGCAGAAAAACGTCAAGCTAGAGAATCCGGATATTAGTGTTGACAGATCATTACAGAAAGAATTTAAGCGGTCGTAACATTTTGTATAACATAGTGACATATAAACTTAAACAACCTAATATTTACACCATTTATGATGTGAAACCCTCTTTTTCAATCGATTATACATTGAAAATATATTTATAGATAGATCTATTTTTAAAAATGCTCATACCAACTAAACCTTTTTTTTCGTATATGACTGGCGTTTGCCGTTTCGTTTAAGTATTATTTGCAATCACAAAGAATAGTTGCTCACCGTGGTAAAAGTTTCTTGTATTTGTTTAGTTTTTCTGCGTAATTGCAGGCTCATGTCAGAAAAACCCTTGTGATAAAACAAAGTATCCCCTTATAGTCTTGTAAACAATCTTATCATCATAACTTAATTTGACCATTATACGATATGCCTACGTAGCAGCTTGTGCTTGAAGTATGACTGACACATATAGGAGATAAGCCACCTCGGAAACAAAAATACATTATTGATATTATTTTTTATTTCGTTTGATGTCTATGAGATTATTTTTCTCTTCAGTTCTTTACATTAGCTCGTGATATAATGATTAAAAAAAGCAGGCGAGAAAAACAAATAATGACAACATAGATACAGATGGAGAGTAACACGGTAGCTGTGCTCCGATGGAAACTAAACGTGAGAGTGAGAGAGCAAAAATCTTGCTTCGAAGAGGAAACATGCGACGTAGAATTTTTCTCACTTTTAGAGTAAACTGTCAACGAACACGCACGAAACTCTGAATCGTAAAGATGTTTATGTTATGAAAATCATCGATTGATTAGATATTGTTAATGGCTATCACGAACGAAACAAAACAATGCACTATGGATTCATACGCCAAGTATACTTTTTTGGATGTAATCAAAAGATTGATGAATTTATTTACATGTAGAATAAATGATTTATCATTGCAAAATTATTTTAGTGTTTTATTCTGCATTGAAACATGCTACATTTTTCAAAGTCTAGACATGAACGAAAAAAATATACATGGAGAATGTCAATGTCGAGCTGTCTTTGATTGTTTTCTCTTTCTCAAATGTATCAAAATCTATAGAACAACTTCAGGCTGAAGATCTCGTTTCGGTATGCACTATTCGTAATGATGTTACGGTCATTAACTAGTGTCTCTATAGGAAGTCAGATGCTATGCAGCTTCTCACTACTGGAATCGAAGAACAATGTAAACAATTATATAGGAATGTTCGATGATTCACATACGGTACACTTGGAGTCTTGTAAAAGCGTAGTTCTACTGATATATTTAATTTTGAATCAATAACGCAAATATTCAACTCTTTACTAAGTTTTAGCTTAATTTCATAACTTTCAGTTTAAGAACTTTGGAGATCGTTAAAGATTTTTATTCTCGAGCAATAAATTTTCGTTTTCAGAAATATAGATAGATCGATTTTATTTTCTCATCATGTAATATCCTATTAATAATCTAGCTTTCAAATATATGAATGCATTTGTATCATTTCTTTATAGATTAAACTATTTGAAATTTTTATCGCATATTCCAAACGAATTACTTTGTTATTTATTTGCTTTTATCGATACTCAACATGTTTATGATGATTTTTTGGTGACTCAACTCACGAATGAAGTGTAACTTTCCATCTCTGCAGTTTGTGTCAATTCTTGCATGCAAACCTGTGCTTGTTCACATCCCTTTTACTTCATGTCTAGCATCTTCACGTTCATATTTTCGATAGAAAGAATAATATTACATTTGAGATTTAAGTAATAGTCTGATCATTCAATTTTTGTATCTAAGAAATGTTAACTCTTGGTGGCAAAATCGCTGACTTGATGAATGTGCGTCGAATTCAAATTATAGACGAAATTAAATGATACAATAAATTTTCTTTTGCTTCCAATAGAATGAAACTTGACAAGTATGACCTTATTACTGACATTAGTGCGGCTGTCACAGTACGGTGGTCAATGAAAATAGTGTGGATCTGTATACTTTATTTATCACAAACGATGTTGAATGTTACCATAGGCCTTTTTCCATGATGAGACATTTCACCTAGTCATACAAAGGCACACGATTGACAGCAGAAATAAAAACATTTAACCAGCTCAGCTGAGTTTCACAGCAATAATTTGCTTCGTTTTTCTTGTAACTGTGTGCATTCGCAGCTAAAAAAGCATCGCAAAATGGGTCAGATTCAATTTATTACTTATTGATCGAATTGATCACATTAAAAGATATTTTATTTTCCTAAGAATCAAACCATTTTGAATAAGATCGATCAGTGTTGATGACGAGAATGTTCTTTGAGATAACATCCATAAACTCACTTGCTTCCTAACTTCATCATTTTTCATCATGATTTCATTTTAATTGATATATTTTACCACGTCTAGTTTTTATCAAAGACAACATCATGTAAATCGATGCTGCTATATCAAGAATCCTGTATATTTATAATTAAAAACTGTACTGAAGTATCAGAAAGAATCAAACAAATATAACAATCCATCAATCACACCTTCAATGTCTAGTCATTTATATATAGTGATAATATCCAGGGACTACCATAAAAAAGAACTATTAATAATCGTTGACTTTCAAAATTGCAATATCGTACAGAATTGTGCAATTTTTCTAGAATATTCTCGAGATCTATGATTAACAACTTATATTTCATTCGTGATTCATTTTCATCAAACTTCTTGCCAGGAGTATTTGTCTCTAGTCAAAATATGAAAAGTAAATATGCAATGCTTCATGTTGATTCACACAATGTCGTTTTACATAATAAATAGAATTATATTTTTCTTACCTCGATTTAAAAAAATGCAAGTTGAGAACTCTTAAGAGTACATGATGAAGTCTTACGCAAAAAAAATTTCTTCTCAACTAAACAAGTCACTTTCACTGTAGAAACTTTTGATTTGTTGATGTCTTAATCACGGATAAGAAAAATTGTTGTAGTTCCACTCACAATTGTTGATGTTTATTAGCTTGTTGAAATATAGAAAACTGATTTCACAATACATAAGCATAACTGATAATAAAATGAAAAAAAATGTTAAATAATCGACGTTGTTTCTGAGCCTTAGCTATGGAATAAATACGTTGTTTATTGACCACCACGAAGACGAAGAACCAAGTGAAGAGTTGATTCCTTTTGAATGTTGTAATCCGATAAGGTGCGACCATCTTCGAGTTGTTTACCAGCAAAAATTAAACGTTGTTGATCGGGTGGAATTCCTTCTTTGTCTTGGATTTTAGCCTTGACGTTTTCAATTGTATCACTTGGTTCAACTTCGAGAGTAATTGTCTTGCCAGTAAGAGTCTTGACGAAGATTTGCATACCACCACGAAGACGAAGAACAAGATGAAGAGTCGATTCCTTTTGGATGTTGTAGTCCGAAAGAGTACGACCATCTTCCAATTGTTTGCCAGCGAAGATCAAACGTTGTTGATCTGGTGGAATACCTTCCTTGTCTTGGATTTTAGCCTTGACATTTTCAATTGTATCCGAAGGTTCGACCTTGAATTAAAAATAGAATGATTATTCAATCGTGAACTACTTGATTCTTTTTTAAATACATACTTCAAGTGTAATTGTTTTTCCAGTAAGAGTCTTGACGAAGATTTGCATGCCACCACGAAGACGAAGTACCAAATGAAGAGTTGATTCATTTTGAATATTGTAGTCGGATAATGTTCGGCCATCTTCGAGTTGTTTACCAGCAAAGATCAATCGTTGTTGATCAGGTGGAATACCTTCCTTGTCTTGAATTTTTGCTTTTACATTTTCAATTGTATCACTTGGCTCAACTTCGAGGGTGATTGTTTTGCCAGTAAGAGTCTTGACGAAGATTTGCATACCACCACGAAGACGAAGTACTAAATGGAGTGTTGATTCCTTTTGTATGTTGTAGTCGGATAATGTTCGACCATCCTCCAATTGTTTGCCAGCAAAGATCAATCGTTGTTGATCTGGTGGAATTCCTTCCTTATCTTGAATTTTCGCTTTTACATTTTCAATTGTATCCGAAGGTTCGACCTTAAAGGATAAAATCATCAAGGCTATTTAGCAATCTTTCATTGAAAAACATACTTCGAGTGTAATTGTTTTGCCTGTGAGTGTTTTGACGAAAATTTGCATGTTTAACTACCTATAAAGATAATTTCAATAAGAAATTTGTTAATGAATTTTTGCCTACAATCGAAATCTTACTTGCTTGATAACTGTAAATGTTTTGTCTTGTATGAAAAGAGGTTGTAACTGGTGAAAGAAAGAGTGTGCAGCTTTATTTATAAGGGTGATGTTGGCGTTTTTTTCTACGCTTTTTTTTCTGTTCTTAGTCAATATTGTCTCTTACTTTTGCGTCGTTCCTTCTACTACCTCGTCCGATTTGTTTTCTCCTCGTCCTGCTTCTTCTGTTGAATACAAAGAATATAATAGAGAATAATATGTCCTCGTCGTCATCATGTGATACGGGTTGAGTGTAGGAAGAAAAAGAAATGCAAGATGAAATTCGCCCTCTAGAACGGACAGAGTCACATTATTTATTGAGGGGAGACAGCGTTTTTTCTCTTTCTCTATATGGTCTTATCTCATTGTGACGTACCTGCTATTCAGTAGTATGATGCAAAGCAAAATAAAATCTACAACGAAAAAAAAAAAAACAATAATGAGGGCGCGTAAAAAACTTCCAACCAATATTTTCCTACGTCATGTTTATTGAGACAAAGAATGTTCTTGAAGTTTTGTTTTTAAACAGCTATCATTTAAGCGATCAATAGAATAAGTAAAATGATTAGTAAGCAAAATAATTGAATGATCAGTACATTATTTGTCTGGTCAGTCGTTAATATACTTCGATTTATTGATATATTTAAAAACCAGTAAATTAGATAAAAACATCAGTATAGAAATTGAAATGTGTTATAAGGTGATTTACTGTTTTTTTCTTGTTGGGTTTTTTGGTCTATATATAGCACAGCTGATAAGTACAACATATGTAAATGTGAGAATTCCAAAAAAGGGTGTGGGGGTAGTGAAGATGAGCAGAAGGATCACACACACCCAAATTTCTATGTTTTACTGGTAATTATAAATAATAAACTGCGCACTTTAAGATTAATTACTGATCATTTCATTTATTTTACTGATCAAATATAATGTTCCCTTTTTAAACGACAATATAGAAATAATCAAAAAGAAAAAAATAAGAAAGAAACATTCAGTTGCGTTATTTAGCTATTCGCTGATATCTTTTTTTTTTGACATTTAGTGCCGACTTCCTAGCTGTTTTTTCTGTATCTTCCATCAATGATGCTAATCGTTTTCCTATATAACGAACAATAAAAAGCAACTGATGTGTTTTTTTAAAATTTTGATATCTTTTTTTAGAAAAATGCTTTTCAGTTACTTTATAAATAACTGTTGTTGTTGTTGTTGTTGTTGTTGCATATCGAGCTTGTTCATTTCTAGATAGATAATTGATGCTACTATTAATCTTTCTAGCTCCTTGTTTTGTTATTTTTCACAATGATTCATTATGATGAAATTCTATTTAATGAGAAAAGCGACTATCACGTGGATTTAGTTGTTCTCTGTTTTTGTCGCTCAGATGAATAGATAGATTAAACTAAGTTGAATAATTTGTAGTATATATCTCGATGATTTAGAACTCCATTGTATTTACTAATCTTACATTAATGAGTAAATTGAAATACAAATAAATCTGTTAGGTAATTTTCTGCTTGTAAATATCATTTTGTGTTTATCATTGCTAAAATATGATGCCATCTGAAAATTTATTTGTTCTACAAGAAATGAGATTTTTGTTTCTTCATTTCATTTATTTTATTAAAAAATCAACAAAGAAAAAAAACAAAAAAAATCACACGCGAGGATACCAGACACGTGGCAGACGTTGTTTAAGTTGTTTTAATACATCTGTATGATATTCATCTGGATAACGATAATAGGATTCATAACGTTTCTCATCCATACGTGCCAATCGTTCAACTGTAGCAGTTTCTTGTACAGTTTCCTAAAAAGAAAATTTCTTGTAAAAACTCAGCTTCATGAAATTTAAATCAACAAACCCAATGGCGTCGTCTTAAATATTTATACCATCCATAACGTGTTTTTTCTTTTGTTGCATACCAAGGTTCATATTGTTCACCTGTTTGTCTTCTATCTAAAGTTCGTCCTTCGAAACAAAGACGTTCGAAATCTAAATCTTCATCAGGATCAATTTCTAATGATGTTCGAGCTGGTCGACCATTGTTTGGACTTGCTAATAAACGTGGAAAATAATCATTTTCAGGACGATATTCAACTAAATGTAATTGTTTTTCATTTGCCCAATCTTGATAAGTTTTCTAAATGTTTACAAAAATAGAAATATATATATATATATATATAGAAAATCTTAGATTTATTTTACTTGTTTTAATAAACCACGAATAAAAGCTTTTGTCATATTTTGCGCATTAATTGCACCGTCAATTTTCGCATACATATCTTTAATGCCAATTAATTTACAAAGTAAAGCTATAATACGATGACATCGAAGGCCATAACCGGGTGGTCGCTTCTCACAACGAACTTTAGTAAAGAAATACGGTTCATAGAAATCATGAAAAATGGTATGTCCATCACAGATAGGTATATAAAGTAATTGACGTGATGCAGTTAATTTAGCTTTTTGTAATGAATGTTGAGCATCTTGTGTTAAAGCTTTGCCATAACCTTAACATGAAATGTTTTGTATAAAGAAAAGTTTTTACTTTTTAGAAACAAGTTTTTCTTACCAACAAGACCTTTTCCATTTCCAACAGCAACAAAAGCAGATGTAAATTTTTTTCGTCCTATTTTTCCAATAGTACGTTGTAAAGTTTTAAATTCAACAAGACGTGAATCAAAATTCTCGAAAGTCACTAAATGAAATTTAAAAATTTCATTCAGAAATATATTTATTCGTTATGTAGAATATTACCTTCGTTGAGTGAATCGGGTTGACCAAGACTTTTACCAGCTGGACTTCCACCAGTAAAACCACGTTCACTTGGAGGAATTGATAAACGACGAAAACGATCTAGACGATTACGTACTTCAAGTAAACGTTCTTGATGTGTTGGATCAGGTGGTTTTTCTGTAATAGGAACAACGTCACGTCCCTGAAGAACGGGCGCATTAAGGCCAGGCCATTGCATATTCGATTTGCCTATTCAAATTTGCGTCGAATAGATTCAGGAAAATACTCAGCTATCCAATTACCTTGACCAATACGTTGACCAATATTTAGATCTTTAAATTTGGTTGCACCACGACGTTTAGCACGACCTCGTTTAGCACCAGCATTACTTACAGATGTAATTGTTTTCCAGAGATCTTGAGCAGTGACTATAGAAAGACGTAATAAAAAGTTAAATTTTCCTCTCTATCAATCAAAACACAAACCATTTGTAAAGACGCTTGTCCGCACAGGCATAATCATCAACTGTGGGCATGTTTTCGAGTATCGAAAAAGTGCACCCAACATCTGAAGATATGAAATGTCGTTATTAAATTTCTATTTCAATCAATTTATGTCATACACAACATCTATTTTTTTTCTATTATTTGTCAATACATTTACATCATTTACAAACAAAATCCACTAGAGCACACAACAACAAAAAGAAAACAAACACCGATGTGCATATGCATATAAATATTGGTTAGTTTTGAACTGCCGTTGTTGCAACTGCTGCTTGTGCAACTTGATTTTGTGCATCATTGTCTTCGACAAATTCTAATGCTTCGTCTCGTGTCACCGATCGTATTTGACTAACTTTATTACGATATGTAATACCATAAAATTTATCTCCATACTTAAGTAAATCCGGACCAAATGTTGTTATGATAAATTGCGCTTTTTGACTTAATTCATTAATCATATCTTAAGAAAATTAAAATTAAAAGTTCAAGATAATAAGAGAAAAAAATAGATACAAACCTGCAACTGCATGTCGATATTGTGGATCTAGTGCTTGATCGATTTCATCGAATAAATAAAATGGGGCTGGATCACATTTTTGTATTGCAAAAATTAATGCTAATGCAACAAGTGATTTTTGACCACCAGATAATTGTTGCATATCGCGCATTTCATTGGCACGACCATTAAATGAGACCTTAATACCAACACCTGTAAAATCGTCGACAGACATTTGTTGTCCGGAACTTTGAGATGAAACTTGTTCACTATCATAATCCTATTTGAATAGATAGAAATGAGACGTTCATGTTAATAACAAGTATAACAAACCTCATTGTCGCCTTTTTTAATGACTAAATGAGCTGTTCCTTCAGGTACGAGTCGTTTAAAAACTTCAGTAAAATATAATGAAACTTGTTTGAATGTAAATTGTATTGTTTCAAATCGTTTATTATCAAGACTTTCGATTAAATCAACAATGTGCTAATATGAAAATAAGTAAAAATTAGTTTTTTTTTGATAATCCTAAGAAAAAGACGTACTCGATGTGCTTCATCGATTTCAGCTTTACGATTTGTTAATTTATCACGCTCATCACTAAATTGAAGAAATTGATCGAGTGCCTTTTTATTGACATGGGCATATTTTTTCAATTCAACAACAGCACGATCAAGATCACGTTGAAGCTAAAGAAGATGATTATAATTAATAAAAAAAAGATTTTTTATTAAACGCTACGAAAACGATCTCAAATCTTTGTTATACAATTCGTTTGACATTGCACAGTAAAATGTAGTGCCTTAGGAACTGCATCATCTGTGTTTACTACTCAATGCACAACACATATACTGATAGTTAACGTAATCAGTTCTGTTTTGATATATTTAGGAACACATTCCAATTGAAATCACTTACTTGTTTTGTTGGAATTTCCTTGTATTTTTCAAGTCCATCCGGTGGAACTCCGATATCATTCTGACGTTTGGTACTTTCATCAAGCTAAAAATACAAATAATAGTGGTAAACGCGTTTCGAGTGAATGATAGGAACAGCACAGAAAGGAGCCATCAAAACTAATATACGCCGATTGAATTTAAATTTTCCCGAGAAAGATTTATTCGCTGAAGGTTACTCCCGACAGTCATAGATAATTCTTTGAAATAAGTCTTACCTTATTCTGTGCATTACGTAATTTAACTTCGTATTTGTCGGTATTGCGTTTTTCTTCATTTATACGTTCATCAATATCTTTATCTGAATTCTAATAAATAAAAATTATTTCGGTGAAAAACGGTTTGTCTTTTCTTTTAATCATACTTTTAATTGTTCAAGCTCTTTTTGTTTTGCTTTTAGTTCTCGATCTAAGTTGTTGATGATTCGATCAATGGCTAGAAGAAAAAATAAAGAATAGATCCATCAAATTTCTAATATTCTCCAAATACCATCAGTTTGCTTTTCATGTTCATTAAGTTTGTCCGATAGAATGGTATATTCACGTTCAAGTTCTTCAATAACACTACGAACATTTTCAACATGAAGTCGTTCAAGATCCTAATAGATAAATCATGCAGTTTAAAAACAACGAATATTCAATTTCTCACCGTGCTGATACGATCACGATTTTTTCGATAATTATTTGAAATTTGATGTTCGAGTCTTGTTTTAGTGCCTTCGAGCTAAACAAAAAATAATCTCATTTGGTTTTTCTCACCTATGAACAAATGAATAATTTACTTCAACACGTTTTCGAATAATTTCTTTTAATTCTTGTGTTATATACTCAATAGTATTGTTGAGTCGATCAATAGTAGCTTGCTCTTCTACAGTTAACTGTGAGATAAGATCACTGCCCAGTTCAGATTGTAATGATTCTTCTTTGGCACAAAATTGTTCGATAGTAGCATGAAGTGTATTCAATTGACGTTCCTTTAATGTAAATCAAAAATTTTATATGTTGCAGTAGAATACTATCTATTAAATAGTTTTAATCATAGATTCAATCTTGAAGTCATTATCAACCTTTAGTTTTTTGCTAATTTTTGATCATCACACAAATTCGAATAATAGAAAAATATAAAGTTACCTTTGTAGGACGATGAGTAATAATACGATCTAATTCTGACTGAAGATGCTTAGAATCCGATTTCATTTGTTCATAGTTGTCCCTGTAAATATATAACAAATGAAATTTTTGAGCCTAGTAAAATTCTATGGAAATATAATTTACCAGTTTTTCTTCGATTTCATGTCTTCACGTTGTAATTCTGTCATAATATTATTATGTTCATTATCAATATGTGTTATTTCCTGACGAAGTTTGTCGTATTCTTCTTCATATTTAGTTAGTGTGCTTCGCAATTGTTTTATTGCACCTTGTAACTCCAATCGTGATATTCGCTTATCAATATAACCACCTGTCAATGCACCTTTTCGTTGAACTTGATCACCTAAAATCCAAATGAATACTTCAGAAATGAAATGATCACCAATAAGTATCATGAGAAAATGCTGAGATTAGCAACTCGCTTCCGGTCTCTTTTAGAGCAACCGTGATTTTTTGTTTCTTAATTTACCGTCTAATGTCACACAATCGACGTCATATTGTCGAGCTGTACGTGTAGCTGAATTGAAATCTTCGCAGAGCATAATACGATTAAATACATGACGAACGGCTTTTTCCACTTTTGGCACCCATTGAAGTTGATCAATTAAAGGCGAAGCACCATTGATATGTGACATTGTATTATTGTGAACCTCTAAAACGTTCAATGGTAAGAAATGAATTTCACCACGTTGTCGAGCATTATTGAATTCTTTGACTAAACGTGTTGCAACAACATCGTTATCGACGATATGATAATTAAGTCTAATTGAAACGAACATAAGATTCTTTTATCATTCGAAGTGAAATGATTTCGTTTACTTACCGATTACCGGCAATAACTTCAACAGCGGTATAAAATGCTGGATCACATTCGATATTTTCAATTAAAGTACCATGATATGCTTTGACAATATCGAGATTACGATTTTCATCAGTATATTGACGAAGAAGTCGTTGTATACCATCAGCACCTGACGCTGCGCCCTTAAAAACATATTTTGGTTTTTAGAATTAGAAAATTTTTTTTTTATTTCAAATTTTACTTTATTCATAATTGATCGAAGCGAATCTTGACTTTTTCGTAGTTCATCTCGCGTTTGACTGAGTTGCATGTGTAATTGTGTTTCTTTACGTGCCAAATCTCTACAAAATAAAACACCAGTCAATCAAATCTCGGAATAGCAAGAGCGAAGGTTTTCTTTAAACATACGTTTTTTGACCAGCAATATCACTTTTCTTTTGTCGAAGATCTCGCACACGTGTACTGACATTGTCCATATGAGAACGTTGTTCGTTTCCGTTGTCAGCAATTTGTCGAAGTTGTTCTTCAATTTCACGTGATTTTATTGTTTCATCTTCCAATTCTTTTTTTAAACGTTGCATCTAAATGAAAATTATTTATTTATCACAAGTTGTTATATTCATATGAACATACTTGTTCACGTTTATCATGTATGGCTTTGTTTAATGATTTAAGTTCAAGGCGAATCCATTTATCACGGTCTTCTTTCGATCCAAATTGATTTCCACGACCACGCTTAGCAAATAATTCTTTACGTTTTTCTTCAGCAAGATCACGTCTAAAAAATGAATAAAAAAGACATTGATAAGGAAATTCTCGGTTTCGAGACAAACGCATACTGTGCTGTTTTTTGTTCTTCTTCACGACGTAGTAGATCGTAGTTTGGAAGAATTTTAGCTAACTGTTGTTCACTTTCAGTTAATAATTTGTCGTATTTGGCAAGTTCTCTTTTCAAGTCATCTCGTTTTACATCACGTTGTTCAGTTTCACCTTGAAGATCTTGTAATTCAAGTTCAATTTGGGCTTTGCGTTGAAAATTGTCCTTGTTATCAACAATTAACGTTTCCCGTTCGATTTGTTGCGTTTGCAAACGTTGTTTAAGTTCTGTTATGGAATCCATATTTTGCTGAAAGCGAACGAATTTAGTTTTAAATTTAAAATAAAGCTCAACAAATTACTTGAACTAATTCAGTTACAGACAAACGATCACTTTCCAATTGTTCGATCTTTTGTGTAGCACCATTCATTTTTGCAACAATCTATTTTGAAGAGAAAAAGACACATTAAATAAAACTATCCTAAGTTGAACAGAACTCTTTTCAAAAAAAAATATTCTATCGATTCATTTTATTTGCAGAGCCACCTGCAGTTGCAGAAAGCGGATGAAACTTTTGAATCCCTAGTAACTGTCTGTTAATACGGAAGTAATCATCTACGAGTAATACTGCAGTGTATGGTAAGAAAAATAAGTCATAGAAACATAAGGGAAGCTTGTACAACAATTCGTTGAAATATTCTTCTTACTTCGTCAATTCGTTTTTTTGCTTCTTCACATTCCGCCATGCAAATAGCACATTCCAATCCACGTTTTGATCTATCCCATTTTTGATATTGTTTAAGTTCTTCTTTTTCAGTTTCAAGACTCAATAAACGTTCTTCGATAGCTTTCAACAGATCGGCTATTTTCTTTCGGCGTTCCTCTATTTAGAATATAAAAAAAAATCAAAATCGCCCTAGATTAAATTATAGATCCTTTACCTGTTTCAGCTAATATAGCTTCACTTTCTTGCTTCTTTTCATCATAAACTTTGGTACCAGCTACTTCACGTAATAATTGAAGTCGATTTGCATCTGGTGCAATAGCCATTTGAGTTATCTAAAGAACACAATCTAGATTTTAATCATAATAATTATTTCTGCATACTTTGCCTTGTTTAACAATATAATAAGGATTTGATCGTGAAAATCCTGCACCTTCAAGCATATTGATTATATCCGTTTTGCTAGAAAATTTAGAATCGTTCTTTTTTTCGCTCCTCTCAGATTTACAATATATCTTACTTGACAACTTTACGATCAAGAAAATAATTGTCTTTTTTACCACTGATCTGTCGTCGTACAGCTATTTCAGGTTTATCAATCTAATTATTAGAGAATGTAAATAAATGATTGATATGAAATAAATTCTCAATAGTGTACATACCATAATACGACTGTCAGAATTATCGAAAATGATTTCAACATAAGCATTCAATGCTCGACTATTAATACCTTCATGCATTAAATTATAACGACCTTCGGCTGATAAATTACTAAATTCATCACTTAAAACAAATTGAATGGCTAGAAGAAAAAACAGAAATAATAAAAAGTCAAGTGATAGTAGAATAAATTTACCAAAGAAAAAGTTCGATTTTCCACAACCGTTTCGTCCGACTACAAGTAAAATTTAAAATGTACTAAATTTTTCTGATTTTTCCTATAATTTATTACCGATAATATTATATCGCTGACTAAATGGTTCGATAATTGTTTCATCACGATATGAACGAAAACCCTGGATTATAACCTATGAATAAATAATTATCAAAAATTAGTAATTTTCATTCGAAATCTTTAGTAAAACTAACCTGCTTGATAAACATCCCGGACGTTAATAATCAACTGAATAGCTGCTTCAAAAGAAAGCATAAACGAAATCGAATAAAAAATTTTGTTCTTTGTTTCCAATGATCAGCCAATCAAACGATTACAAAATATCGATAACTTTGATTGACGAATACTGCCATCTATCGGTCACAAATGCTTGAGGATTTTGAATAGAGAAATACGAAATGAGTTAGAAAGTCAAAACCAAGACTAACAGTAGCAATCCAATACGGACAAAGATAGTTTCTGGAATATATCACGATCAAATAGGTGTTTGAAATACTTACTACATGAGAAATTTACTAATAAACTCATGTTGTTATTAAAAAAGTATGGTTGTATTTACAAAAGAAGCCTGAAATAATTACAAACACGAATTTGAAACAGCTGAACAGCACTAACTGGCACGGTAACCGGCCAATGGAGCATTGGCGTATAAAGAACACCAAGAAAATGCATTGACTGAATAAGACTCAATAATAGAACCAGATCGAGTTCAAGATTTTTAGAGCTGACCTGGTGCCCGAGGTGGCTTGGGTCGATTCCTGCCCGACGGTCTCTATCCATAGGTAACAGTATATCTCAATTTAAAAGTTATCTCTATGGAAGTCAAAAAATGATCAGCAGCATGAATTTCAAAAGCATCAGTAACCAAACTAAATACGTATACTGTATATAAATATTAGCGATTTTGTGCATGAATGAAAACATTAATATGCATGTTTTCCTTGAAATGAATGCAGATATTTGTAACAGTGATTAGGATTGTTTTGTTGACTGTACACACTTGACGAGGCAAAAATATTAATACTATCACTCACGATCAGATTAGAGCAATGAAAGCGTAAACGTGCTCCGCTTCTAAAAACGGGAAAGGATACTTGACAATTTTCTTTCTTTAAATGAATTAAATCATAATCTTATATGCATAATTGCGATTCATTTTGATCACTAAATGGATACATATGCACATTCATTCGAGAATCATCCAAGCAGTTAAATTCAAATCAGAATTTGCTTCATAAACAGCAACCGATATACTCCGGTTCGTCTCTTTTTATTTTGAATTTCGCACCTCTACCCCACAAAATTGAGTTCACCAGTGAAATGCTTTTTCAATCTCTCTATACGAATCTAAACGAGTTTTCCTTTAACTTAGATGCACAATCAATTTACTTAAATATTAATTGCTGGAAATATTCATGTTGAAGGTATGTTAGTCATACGATAAAACGAATTCTCAATTAAAATGCTTATTTGTAAGTGTGAAATGGTACTACTGAAGAGTTTGGCCTGAACATATGTTAACTCTTTATACAGTAACATTTATTTTCGTATTCAACTGCATCAAATGCATATACTCATTAAAAATACCAACAAGAAGGTTCCCCAATTGATGAACAGTTTTTGATCCTAAATTTTGACTATCAACAGAAGCGTCACTACTAGAAAATGGTTCGAAAAAGTTGAGTCAATATTGCGATTGAATCATAAAGTGACGAAAGCAGTTTATTCTGCTGTCAGGCACCTTCAAAGACACGTTAACATAAACAGATTTAGGTCGAATGATGCGATTATCATCTATTAAGACGCAATAAACATAAATTACAATGAACCGTTTTCGTCTCATTAGAATTAGTAATAGCAGAGAATCTTGTCTCAAGAAATCAGTCCCAGATATTATCTGAAAATAGAAAGCGAAATTTATTTAATAGCATTTTAATTATTATTTAACAGCAAATTACAGAAGAATATCAACCTGATAGAATGCGTAGCTCTATGTCTTTCACAAACGCGCAACTGCTCCTTACTTCATGGGTGGGATTGATTGATTCTTTCCATATTTTTATCAAACGCGCAATTTGTCATGCTTATCTGTGAGTCGTATTATTGATTTGTCCTTTCTCGGTGCATCGTACTTCTCCAACAGCTGTTTTCTCTCTCAAACCATGTAATACTATATAAGAAGCATCAGAATGTATGAGAGCATGCAGTTCGATATACCAATAAAATATACGGAATACTGTCACTCAAATAATACTTGTAACATCATAACTAGTCACCAGTATAGTTTTATCTTCTAGGTGAAAATCGTATAAAATGACTGCAGTAATTGATAGATACCGGCGGAATCTTTCTCCAGATGTTATGGAAGAAAATAAAGAAGATATAACCCTGCTTTGGTTGGAGAAAAGCATAGATGATTCTGAAAACTCGCAATATATACAAACATCATTATTTGAACTAAATACTTTTGTTCAATTTTACACTGATCCGCAATTATGCATTGATTATATTCGGACTATTAGAAATGAAAAAATATTTCTCATCACTGGTGGACTAGTGACGGAAGAAGTTTTGTCTGAAATACATCCATTGTTAATGGTTCATGCAATATTTATATTCCCTCTGAATCCTAGCGAACAAACATTTCTCCTTAATGATTATCCGAAAGTTATCGGAATCTTTACTGAACTGGCTTCTCTTATAGAATCAGTTCAGACTACCATCCATTTGGCTTCAAAACATATGATAGCATTCAGTTTATTTGATCAACAAGAGCAAAAAACTACTCGAGATTTATCAAAGAATTCAGCATCATTCTTATGGAATCAATTATTAGTCGATGCGCTAAAACAAATGCCACAAACAGAAGATGCTAAGCGTGATATGCTCGATAGATGTTCAGATTATTATCGAACCAATAGAGTTGAACTCAAGAGAATTGAATTATTTCATAATAGTTATACATCAGACAGGGCAATCGAATGGTATACTCGTGATTCTTTTGTTTACAGGCTACTTAATAAAGCACTAAGAACCGAAGATATTGATTTATTGTATTTATTTCGATTTTATATTATTGATTTGTGTTCACAACTGGAACAAGAAAGTAAAAGAAAAACCGTTCATACAGAAATATACGCCCTCTATCGTGGACAACAGATACCAACAGAAGAACTTAATAAACTGATCGCGAATGTCGGTGTGCTTGTATCTGTTAATGGGTTTTTTTCGACAACTCGTGATAGCACTATAGCCAAGGGCTTTGTTGCGGGTGCCAGCAATACAGACGAAATGAAAACAATTCTATTTGAGATCAAGGCTAATTCTAGTTTGGAAAAAATCGTTTTTGCTGATGTTGATAAATATAGTCATATTGGAGGCGAACAAGAAGTGTTGTTCAGTCTTGGATCTGTATTTAAGATTGACACTGTTCAGTGGGATTCACATCAACAAGTATGGAAAATTGAAATGACAGCAACGGATGATGGATCGAAAAATGTTGAAGAATATATTAATTCAATACGACAAGAAATAGATGATATTAGTCCGACAATTTTATTTGGAGCTCTTCTTGTCAATGAAATGGGGCAGATTGATAAAGCAGAAAAATACTTTGATATGCTATTGAGAACATTACCAAAAGATCATCGGGATATTGCGGATATTTATGATCAAATTGCTAATATATTTGTTGAAAAGCGGAACTTAAATATGGCATTAGAAAATTATTTATGTGCATATGAAATACGAAGATCACGTTTTGACAGTAATGATATTCACATAGCCAACTCTTTGCATAACCTGGGCTATGTTCATAAGCAAAGAGGTGAATATGATCAAGCAATGAGTTGTTACAAACAAGTTCTAGCTATTGATGAGAAGCACTATCCCAATGATCATGCAAATAAAGCTCATACTATGATATGCATTGGGATGCTGTACGATGTCAACGGAGAATATAATTTTGCATTAGATTACATGATGAAAGCATATGAAATGTACCAAACACTTTTCCCTATTGAACATCCATATATTTCATCTTCTCTGTGGAATATTGGTGGCGTCTATGAACATAAATCCGACTATGATCGTGCAATGCAATTTTATCATTCCGGATTTGAGATGGACGAAAGAATTTTAGCCAATGATCACCCTGATTTTAAGAAAAATCTAAATCGAATCGCTCAACTTTACATAAAAAAATGTGATTATGCGAGTGGTTTAAGTTATTTCCAACAAAAGTTAACGCATCAGAAAGATTTGCTGGGAAAAAATCATCCAAGAGTTGCATATACTCTGATGAAAATCGGCGATATGATGGAAGACTCTAATGGAAGAATAAATTATTATAGACAAGCTTTAACTATTTTAGAAATATGCGCCACTCCTGATTATCCAGCCAGAATTATTTGTCTGCAAATGATTAATACTATCGAATTGAAGAATGGATTGATCGAGGAAGTAATAAAGAATTTTCTGAAAATACTTTCTATTCAACAGCAAACACTTACAAAAAACCATCCGGATATTGGCTGTACTTTACAGCAAATAGGTCAACTTCATTTTGAGATGAAAAACACTTCGGAAGCTCTAAAATTTCTGAAAAAAAGCCTTAAGATTTATCAAACAAATTACCCGGAATCCCATGATAACATTACAAAAATTGTGACTAATATACATAACGTAGAAGAGATTATAAGACAAAGTAATTGAGAAAATTCTCCAACTATGGTCGTGACTACTTGTATGAAAAATACCTGCGTCGACAATCATAGTCTCTGTTCTAAAGTAATGCTTAGACATTCTAGAAAACAATAAAATGTTCAAAAAATGGTTGCTCAAAGAACTTGAGGGAGTCGGGCAGGTTGTTGTCCTCAATACTACTAACTATTAATTTGAAACATTGAAGCCAGTACTATCTTAATATTTTTTTCATACAGAGATGAAATATTATCGTTCAATAGAGCCACACTTGAAGCAAAATACACGTTTCACAAAAATTGAAGCAAATATTTTCTCAAGGCAGTGACTACTTGATATGATTCGAGTCAGATTTTGTTTGGTGTATCGTACCATGTTGAGCCCAAAGAGTAGTCTTCTTATATTACTGAAAACGAATAACACCGATAGATTTCGATTGCTCCATCAGGATACTCATAGGCGACTGTTATTTATCACCTCGTTCTCAGGCGCTGTCATATTTGTTTTCTTACAAAAAAACTTTTTTTCGATTGAGAATTATGATAATTAAGATAATAATTGGTATAATAATATAATGTCCGATAATGGTCCAAAATGCGCAATCATATACTGTCTTATGACAGTAGGTGTCCAAGTTAGTTTTATCTGGCGATTGTACAGTGGACTTTACACGTAGTATCCATACGTTGCCGACAATAAACCAAGTCAAGAAGAACGCCAGCGATCCCCATTGTATAGGAAGAATATAAGATATAAATGCCATTGCTGTGTCTTTTTTTGCGTGTTTTGATACAATTATAGCCATACATCCGATAAGACACAGAAATACATTGCATGCACCATGAACAATTAAAAATATTGGTATCAGATATTGAATAGGACATTGGCTAATATAGATACTGCCTAAAATTAATTCTGTCATTGAGCCTCCCATCGTTAAATTCATGTTTATCACAAATGGCTACGAACGAAAATATTCTAGATTTTGTTCACGTTTGATATACCAATTGTTTCGATTTGGATCATTGTTGTGGCTTGTACTGTTTTCTGTATCCATTTTTCAAAATTAATCTCTGATATTTTGTTTCGACAGGTCAACGAAATGCTATTCTCTAGGAAAAAAGGACATGACCAGAAACTATATTTGCGAAGCATATCGCTAAAAGGGGTGAAATTCATTTTTCTATGGGCCACGCGTCAGTTTTACATTTGACCAAACAGTTCCGCAAAACTCCTCGAAATAGCAATGAATAATTGTCAGAAATTCTCTTAATAGTTAACTCTACGTATAGTCAATGTTAATATCGACGCTGTCGCAATAGTGTGATCAGCTGCTAAACTAGTAAAACTAACATGTTTCAATATACCCTGGGGAATTGATCGTCTCTACGAAATATGAAAGGGATGATTTTAACGTTTTACAGTCATATTTGACGCTTTGAAGATCACAAAATTAATCGAGTAAAATAATGGAACACGTTCGACGTCACTCACATTTTTTTGTTCCGTCAAGGATATCGTCTCGTTTTCAAGAAGCCTCTATAACTCTATGGATATAGCTCTAGATCTATCTTGTCACAAATAGATGTTCTTTAAAAAAATTGGATTTTGCCGAAAGTGCAGATTCCCCATCATATACGTTTTGACTGTTACAATCAAAAACTATATTTTTCGATACCGTGGTTTACTTTCATGAAAGGTTATATTCTTGAAACAATGCTTTCCAACTATGCAGATGCTGTGATCGAATTTGAAGCGCTGCGACACTGCAATCTTACTGAAGCATTTCCTCCTAGCCATTTACTGGGTAACTTGAGTAGATCATCGTCTATGTATTACGGTGAAAAAACAATACGTTGTAAAGACGTTGAATGCTTAACGTAAGAATAGTCATGATCGTTATTGGTAACGTTTGCTGAGATCTCGATATTAATTCGAACTGCAGTACCCAGGTCGTTCAGTCCTACAATCGGATCTGAAAACGGGTTGCATCGAATTTTACATGAAAACCGACAAGAACCAACAGATTCCGTCGGATCCGTCAATAATTCCGAAACCCAGAATCCAATTGTATTTCCTCGGTTAGTAAGATGTTATAAAATCTGATAGAATTCATCGTCGGATTAGTCGACCTGTGTAACTAGACTTTCTTGTGATTGTGCAATTTTCACTAAGATGTCTTTCGCTTATGTTTGTGTGCACACATTCGTGGGCATCGCTTAAGAGAAAATGTGGACATTAACATAGAGGCACATAAAACAGTGTGATTATACACGGATTTAGCACGAAAGCCTAGCTGTACATATAATGAATGTTATCAAAATATCAGCTTCTGTCATTCCTTATGTTTTTATTGAAATTTGGTCAAATATAAGGTTTACCGTAGTAAATAAAAGGCCCCTCTTCACCTTGATGACACACATACCACAGCATAAGGGTGAGTGCACAATGACTCAAGTGTAGGAGTAATATATGCAAGAGGTCGATTTTACACGTGCATGAGTGAAATTGCTAATCCCCCGCTGTAGGCATAGCCCTCTCAAGATGACGGTCTAGTCTAGTTATGAAGAATTGTAATGACGAAGAGACGTATAGGACCCCGATTGCTGTGATCTCTAATGGGAAGCCTGAGGAACTGCAAAAGAGCCATTGTGTTCTATAAAATAGGACTATTTATCGTGTTTAAGAGCCATAATTATCTATCCCACAAATATTTTGATGACAAAACACACTTTAGTTTTCAATTAATCTTCTATTAGAGCTTTTGACTTATTTTCATGAATAATTTCACAGAACAAGATACATGTTTGAATTTACCTGGCCAATCAGAATTCTTCGTTAAACGATTCCTTGAAACTATATAATGCCATCTATAGTTTCCTTTGAACGGTGTCCAGAGTTACTATTAATTGGAAAGTCTTTAGAGAGGTGGCACTCGTCGTCAGTGTTGTCATGAGTAAAAAATTGTTGAAAGCGTTTATGACATCCTTTCGTTTCTATGTTAATTTCAATTCTAGGTTATCGCTGTGTTAAAAATATCGAGAAAGCTTAAATTAAATCTTTTGTGATCGACTTCTGAAACAAAAAATCATTCATAACTTTTCTTGCAAAACATAGGCACAAAATTACACGAAAAGTTAATTTGATCCAGTGTCGGAGTAATAGTGATACTATCATCTTTTAGCGCTATTTTGAAGCAATCAACTGAAATTCAGCTCTAATCCAAAGTGTGGGCGTCTCGTTTTCTACCTCTTGTTGAGAGTACCTTTTTCTGATCCTGACTGCAGCCACCGGGATTGGTTTTGCATGTTTATATTCGCTGCTTACCCTAGTTGAGTATAGAACTTGTATTTTCTGACATCTACGCAATATCAATACTTCACGATTGATTAAATTGCAGTTCGACGGTATCACGGCTACTACGAGAATAAATATATTGAACACAATGGATACTTCGATTGATATGCACGGATCATTAAACATGTCTGGAGTTGCTAAAGATGTTAAACAGTGGCTTGAAGAAATATATGGAAAAACTTGGGAGTAATCATTGGTCCTACAGACAATCGCACTTGGTGTATATCGTACTACGGAGATAAGCCCTTGCGGGTCAGAGAAAAAGGCTTGAGATGGGTTATTGATGTCTTTCAACAATCAGCACCATGATCGTAAAACATTGTAAAGAGTCATCATATAAACTGTCAATATTTCTTTCTCTGAATATACGAAAACATCAACAAATTGACTCTCAAGGCACGCCCTCAAAAAATGTTCTTTTTATTTTCTTTAGTCACAAAAGAAAGTTAGCTATCGAAAGGTCTCAATATCAGTCCCCTCGAATTCGAGACAACGGCAGTTTATTTTATGTTAATCGACTTGCACTTTATACTTCAAACGATTTCTTTTTCATTTTCTGTTTCGAGCGTTGGTATTACCGATAGAACTGATAAATCAGCCATGAAAAATACAATAAAGTCCCTTCGTATATTCCATTCATTGGTTGCCACATGAACTTTTCAGTCCTTAAAAAAGAATTGAATCAATTCATCAGGACAATAATAAAGTGTGTAATCCATCTCAAACAACGACTAAGCCGCTCGAATAAAAAATTCTAGTGCTAACACTACCGAAATGTCAATTGACCAAGTGAAAAGCTTTTACTATAATCTTTTTAATTAATACAATCTTATTTTTTGAATATTTCAAATCATTTTTACATTGACATGAAAAACATTGATCACCATTGTCCCAAAAATCTTTCGATGTTTCGAATAAATATCACCAATGCCCTCAATCTAAGTACACACCTGTCATGTCTTAAGAAATCCTTCTATTGACACAAGTCAATAAATCTTTTAAGGAAAAGAGTTGGTTTCTAAATATTAATTTCTTAACATTTTCAATCACTACCTGAGAAAGATCTTGATAAAAAAAAATGAATTTCGGTTTTTATTTTCATGCGAGAATTTCTCTATTTATTCTATTAAACAAAAGTAGTGGCGATAGCAGCAATTTTAGCTAAATCACCACGCGTACGAAAAAATGCTGGTATAGGTGCAAGAATTCGTGTACCAATAGGATTTCCATCATCATCGATCAGCACAACATTATTCTTGTCGAATTGTGGTACATTCGGCTTACGTATACGTTGTCGACAACCAACAATAATTGCTTTTTTCATTTGTCCTTTGATGGCTAATAAAACTTTGTCACCAAGACCAGCTGTTAATCGTGTACGAGTTAAATTATTGTTCTTTTTATAACAATGAATAATGCGTGGCATACGTTTGTAAACATTTCCGTCTAAAGCTAATTTACTATTATCAACGACATGCACTCTGCTAACTTTTTGTAGATCATACAATGGTATCGTCATACTAAATAATCAAAGTCAGAAAAGCGCTAGGCCTTTTTTTCTATTATTTTAAGATCAAATTTTTAGTTTACCTAAATGAACGATGTGTTATGAAATCAATAGTAGTTGGAAGAAGTTTGCCAAAGATATTCATATCTAAAAATAAATCATTTCACATTTTGCACATATGTTGGCGCATAAAAGGATAAAAGCCAATAGATTTTTATTTCTGGACGTGAAAAAAAAACTTCACTCCAGACAGTGCACCAATAAGAAGATACAGGTGAGAATACTTTTCATCGATACCTCATCTAGAAACGCAATATGGATGTTGTGATTTGTCCTTAAAATGAACTACACGTAAGATTTATTTTCTTTTTCACCTATACGCTATTAATCAGTTTGGTAGTGTCAGTAAAAATTTGTTGCTTATGTTTTAAACATATCAATATCGGATGAATATGCAGTACTCATATTGAGTTTCAATTTGACCAATTAGATTCGATTGATCTTTATATATTGACTATGAAATTTGTTCTATTTTTTCGTAGGTGATTGGATTATATATATATATACATGAAGTCGTCTTATTTTTTTTCTCTCTCTCAGAAATCGACAAATAATTTTTGTAACGTATGATTAGTTTTTTTTTCCTCTGTGAATAATGCGCCGATTGCTTAAATCAAGAAAAACAGTACATTCAAATGAAAATCACGATATAGGAAATCCTCCACAGAAATCGGCATATTTTCGTCAGAAGCCATTATCACATGTTGTGTCGACTCCATTGACTCCAGTGCCCGAGTCAAGTTTTAATGCTCGTATCGTAAGAATTCGTTTAGTTTTCATTCGAATCGGTAGGAAATGGAAAAGCAAAAAAAATTAGTTTCTTATTATTTTTTCCTTTTGCGATGAGTTTCTAGGAGAAATCGATACATTAAATGAAAAATATCAAGCAGATATTTATTATGAAGCAAGATGGATTGAATTAATGAATGTTAGTCTATTAAATTTAACTACTAAACAACAAGGGCAATTATTAAACGGAAATGTTACAGTACGATTAAATGATTTTAATCGAACTATTCATTGGACACCGGAACTATTTGTTGAAAATGCAATCGGACAAATTGGCGAACAAGATACATGGTTTACAATAAAGAAACATGTACCATCTCATGTCGAATCTTCATCACCATTACTTGTTCGACTTGAAATATGTGAACATCGACGAATTCGAGGAGTTTTTTGGGAAAAATTAGAATTAAATCATGTATTGATTTTAGTTCGTTTAATCCTAGAACGGAAAATTTGAGATTTACTTTTTATCATTTAGTTTCCTGCTGATGTTCAAGATTTAACAATTTCAATATCAACTATTCATTATCTTGAAAATTGTTTACTTGTTCCAGACGATCAACTTCGTTCGAGTATAAATCGCGAAGCTTTCTATGATCAACAAGAATGGAAACTCTATGCACATGTCGCAACTGAATTACGCCAAACAAAAGAAGAATACTCATTCGAAGATGAAGACAGTGGAGTTGTACAAAAGAAACATCCTGTTCTAGCATTTACTTGTCGCGCAGGTTTATATCGAAATAATCTTGATATCAATCTGTCAACCAAAGTAAATTTATTTTTATTGCTCTTTTTCAAAGCTCGCCGCCCCAACTATTATTATTGGAATGGGTTTTGCCTGATTTTTCTTATTAATGTCTGTGCATTTTGTATATTTTCAATTCCTCCCGAGTAAGCTACTCTCTAAGGTATTTCTAAACATACTTTTCTTCGAAATTCTAGTTTACCCCAGAATCGTCTTCAAATAACATCAACTCTTGTTCTGACATCGGTAACATTTCGTTGGGTTGTTAATCGATCACTGGTAAAAATGAAAAGACTTTTCATCTATAAAAAAAGTAAAGAATTTTATTTTTCTTCTTTTAGCCAACAGTATCTTATCTAACAGCACTCGATAGATATGCTATTCTATCAATTATATTACTAGTTCTACTTTGCGGATGGCATGCTATTATAGCGCTATTTATTTTTCTTAGTTTAAAAAAATCAGCAACAACACGCAGTGGTATTGATCCAGACGATATTCATGTTCATATAGATCGATACGTCGGGCTTAGTGTATTATCGATATATATTATTTCGAATATAGCACTTATTATTTGGTTTATATGTGTTCCTTATAAACGGCGACGAGAAATGGAATATCTCGATCGTGAATATGCATCTAAGAAACATATTCAATTACAATCAAATCGAACACGTTTCGATTCAATAATTAGCCAAGCGCCAGATTTAACTTTTCGTCGTGGCTCATTAATAAATGGAGCTTTACCGATGATAAAATCACCTGAACGACCCATTAAACATACTGATAATGTGACAATAATCTCGAATGATGCAACGTTTCTACCTATTCAAGAAGAAGGACATGAAAATGCAACACAACCTATAAACACAATCGAATTTCACGAACCCGATGAAGTTTTGTTTGATCACACAAATAAATAGTTTTAACTTTTTTTTTCTTCTAAATTACTAGTTGTGACTTGTTTACGAAATTAAAACAAATAAATGATAATTATCATCGTCTATTTCATGTTCATCCAAATATGAAGAAAGATAGAGAGAAAAAAGAAACAGAAGTACTGCAATGGAAAAAACAAACGAGAGAGAGAGAGAGAGAAAGAGAGAGAAGAAGGACACGGGAATTTTCTATGAAACTAAAGACGATAATGTTAACTATGTGAAAAAAAGACAAGATCGTAAAGTCCTAAGGATGAATTCATGGCGTTTGTTTTTCTTCAGTGTTTTGTCTTCGATTTGTTTGGATCAATACCAGCAGCAATAGCCAAGTCAATCATGGATTGCTCAGCTTTGATCTTCTGTTCTGCTAATTGATCAATAGCATGTTGAGTGACGTGATCGATTTCATGTTGTCGAGCGTGCTCTTCACGTTTCTTTACAGTATTATGGTGTACACGGCCATAGACAAGACCAGCTAATAATAAACTCCAACGGCCGGCACGGATTAATGGCGAAACATTTTTTGGTACGGCTGTTGCCATTGTGTTTCTTTCCTGTTTTTTTTTAAAATTAACTGATCTTAAAACAAAAATACAATTATCATTCGATTTGTTTTTAAATAATCAAAAAACTAAAAACAAAGATGTTTATTTAATCATCAGGTGTTGCAATACAACGGTTCACAACTGCGCATAGATGTTTATTTTCAAGTGCAGCTGTAACACGTTCTTTATCATTTAATTGTTTATTGATTTGAACTTCTTGAATATGAGCACCTTCGTATATATTGACACCGACTTTATATCGAGTTGGTAGTGTGTAGATTAACTTTGCTCGAATACTCAAACCGATTAGTGTTGCCCTAGAATAAATTTAAGCATGATCGTAATTTTTTCAGGCTAAGAATTACTAGCTGCGATTTCACTTAGAAAACACGTATTAAAATAAACAAGCCAGAGTAAAACATCTCAAGAGTACTTTTAGGCAATTCCATGTCATTTTATGTTATAAATAGTTAGAGAATTTCCCAAGTGAAAATGTACCTATAGGTTCTATTCATTTCTTACATCTTCCAGATTAATCGAATGATTTTCGTGCCTCTTCATTAGTCAGAATTGGCTGGTCAATATTAGTTTAACTATTCGATTACAAAATCAAATTATACCTGTGGACACAATTACCACAATCCGAAATGCGATCGAGAGAGGAGATTTATTTAAGATTCCATTTCATTATGTGAAATCGATATTGTTACTGGCATGTAAAAGGTAACAACGAAACTTTCAGTCTTATATCATTGTATTTTTGGAAGATAGTTGATAAACAAAATACGAAAACAGATCCTTTAGGAATAGTAGTTTCCGCACAGTTCTTATTCTGTATCATCAGCTCTATCTGGCGCATGGCAATAAGTAAGGTTCTATGATCAAAAAGCAAGTCTTATACTAAGCTCTTATGGATTTATTTTAATTTCGATGATTCAAATATAAATTGACTGTTAGCCGGGATTTGAAGCACACATTTGTTATCTCAAAAGTATTCGTTACTTTTCATAACTTTAAGACGTTTTTCTGCTACTATTAATTACGTACATAGAACAATGTGGAATGGTGGGTCGAAATTGCACTTGTACTGTATTAGCTTCATTATCAATTGTAACTCCTTCTAAATCAACAACATGTAGTTCTAAAATAAAATCATCATATTGTAGTTTAGAAATATAAGTAAGCCAACTTTCGTCAAACCTTCTAATGTAAGCGGATGTTCAGGATCATTAATTGTTCGAATTAAATCAAATACTTCTCGACGATCAATATTATCTGATACATCATTATTTAAATCTGACTCTTGTAGAGTTCGTTCTTCAGTACATTCATATATTGTTGGATTTAAATTTTGCAGTTCCGATGAAAGTTCCATCGTTATGTTTTTAGTCTCTTTTGTTTTCTTTTTCGCCTATAAACATCGTCCACAGATAAACAAAATGCTATTAGTTTGTAAAATTAACCAATAAAAACCATGAAAAAAAACTGCACGGAGCTGCATGCATGCTTTTTTTTAACTGCATTAGTTTGCGACAATCATTTTACTGGTGACATCTGTATACATAGAATATATAAAATTTTCTTTTCATGATTTGGTTTTATCACCATGGCACTAATTCAAAAAAAACATGTGTTACTATTACCATTATTGTATAATCTAATTATGTTTAAGAACTGAAAAACAACGAAATATTTATTCATCAGAAGAGTAAATTTCAAACCAGAGTATATTTCATGCTTAATATGAGTACATACGTGCCAAAAGAAGCACTGAATCATAAATCTTGAAGATATCTGAATACTGATCAACTTCTTGGGCCTCTCTTCGAGTCAAATTCTCATTCACAATAGTCGTCACTAGCATAAAACTTGATGTAGAGGAATTATATATATATATATATCGCATGCGAAACCTTATGTTTGCGTGCGTCATCTTTCTTCTAACGCATCACCAATATTTATGCATTCAAATGACGATTTCATTCACTCCGATATTCTATTGGACAAATTTTACGGAGCGATGATTCATTTTATCGAATACATATATCGAACTGTGACGGATTAACATTTATCCATTTCGATTTAAAATCTTGTTCACGATCATCAGTGAGCAGCATTAGAATTAGAACTGCCAATTGGGAAAAAAACCTCCTACAGAAAAAAAAATTTTTGTATTTAATTTTATGTCTTTATTCTTTTTCGATTTAACATAAGAGATTTACGCATATAAGAAATTACTCTAATTGATTTTATTTAATAAAACGTTAGTATATTCTAGATGAAGATAGCAGAAAAAGATACGAAACCGACAGAGAAGTCACCTAAACCGGTCACAAAAAATGGAGGCATCGAAAAGAACAAAAAGAAAGAAGATTTCGAAGTTCGCATTCCTCGAATTATCGTTCGAAATCTTAATTTCAAAGTAAGTAAAATTTCACGCAAGGAAATCGGAAGTGAAAATTCTTTTTTTTCCACTTTCAGGTCAATGAAGATCAATTGAAAAAAGCATTTGAAAAAATAAATGCGACAATTAATAATACTTCTATCGTTAAGAGAGGTTGGTTAATAGTTTTCTATCTGAAAGAAAAAACAATTCTTGATTTAGATGGTCAGTCGAAAGGATTTGGTTTTGTAACTTTCGAGAAGCTTGACGATGCACAAAAAGCAATAGAAGAAATGAATGGTAAAAAACTACTAGGTAAGCATCAATGATTTTATTATATCAAAGAATTCAGGGCTTATATTTATTCAGGTCGGCCAATGGCTATCGATTGGTCCTTACCAAAAAACGTCTATGAAAAAATGCACACAAAAGGTTGGTACAATCCTATTTTTGACAAAATGAAAGTAAATTGCAATTTTCAATTTAGAAACACCATTAATCAAAAGAGATAGTTATGGCATTCACTCGAATTCGAAACAAGCAGGAATGAAACAGGAACCAGAAGAAGAACATGGTGATGAGCAAGAAGATATGATCGAAGATGAAGAAGAAGACATGGATGAAGATGACGACGGCGACGATGATGAAGAGGAAGAAGAAGAAGAAGAAGAAGAAGAATCAAGTAATAAATAGTACACGATAAGATAGACAATCTGCTACGTCCTGAAAGATCCTATTGTTTGATTTCGCAGATCGAGGATATTTTTTCGTTTTAAAAAAAGTAGATAGGAACTTCATAGATTTCCTACTACAAGGGTGTACGAATTACATCACTTTGAATAGCCCTGTAAAGTGAGATTTTCTGACGAATTCCAAAAGTAGACTTCTTCAAATTAATCAAATAAAAATCTTCTCTCTTCAGTTAGTTTCCGTATTTGGGTATGAGAAAAGCCTTACAAAATCACGCAAGTGATATATCCAATAAATGTGAAGAGTTTTCCTTCGACGAATAGTAGTAACCTGGGCTGTGATTCGACTTATATTTTCAAAAAAAGTCCTATTTTATCGAAAAAAAGAGGAAAATTTCCAAAAACCTCTTAATTTCGCTATTACCTTTAGACGAAAAAAAAACTTTTAATGTGTATAATCATGTGTTTTGGACAAATTTTTGTATTATAGTGACATTTGTTTTCAACAGTATTTTTCCTTTCGCCTATATAGTGGGCTGATTGAGAAATTGTTTAATACTAAGTAAAAAATAGTTCAAAAGTAAAAAAAAACTTCCAAAGTGTTCATGTACTAGTTTCGGGTTTTTAGTGCAGTTTTAGTTAGATATAAAAGCTGTATATATACACCCCTGGAACAGATAAGTTTCACTCTGTATTTTGATAATATTGTTACCAAAAGAACATATTTTTTTAACAGTAACGGCATATTCTGAAAGCCCGTGAAAGTTTACACCATCCTCTGTAGATGCATTTTCATTTACACTTATTTATTACCAGAAAAAATTGAGTTATGATAAAATGCAAAATAAACTTGTGGAAAATAATAAGCGATGCATGCTGATTATCAGGGCAATAAAATTAGGTTGAGATATTTTGGAAAGTCATGTCCGTAATCTGAAACGTCTCCTCTAATTTATGAGGATAGTATTTGTCTTTTTTATGTATTTTTTTTTCAAAGTTTATGATCTATTTTATTGTTATTTATCGATTTGTGAAAATTTTTTATAATGATCCTCGAATTAGCGACTTATTTCAGTAGAAAAAATGACATAAGGATCTTGGCTTCGGTTGAACTGTTTATAACAGCTTTATTAAAACGATTTTCGGACAGAGCAGTTAAACAACACCAAAACGATTGAACAGAAACGGTGTATAAAACGTCCTCTCTTTTTGTTATTTTTTTTTATCGAATATCCTATATTTTTACAAAAGTGCAATCGGAGGCCAGAGTAACTAATAGCAGTTCTTTTGACAGACACCCTTACGATGCTACAGACTCCCTATATTCTCTCTTATTACTTATTCTGTATTTCTATGTTTTCGTTGTTCTCTAGAAACAAGAACAAAGGAAAGTAGTCGTGATGTTCGTGAACATCGTACATTATTTGTTCGTAATGTGCCATTTGATGCGACTGAAGACGATTTGAAAAATATCTTATCATCAAATGGTCAACGTCGTATTGTATCATGTCGATTAGTCATTGATCCAGTATCTCGACATCCCCGTGGTAGTGCATTCGTACAATTTGCTACATGTGAAGATGCTCAAGCATGTTTAAATTTACCATTTACACTTCGCGGACAAGATTTACAAGCTGATTTGGCATTAGGCCGCGATGAACTTGTTAAAGCAAAGGAATTACGCGATCAAAAACAAGAAAATAATAAAAAACATGATCAACGTAATTTAACGCTTGGAAATTATGGCGTTATATTGAATATAGACGAGTTGGATGGCAATGAAACTGATTTGAAGAAACGACAAAAACTAGAAGATATTAAAAAAGAAAAACTTAAAAATCCGTTACATTTTATTTCACCAACGCGTCTTACTCTTCATAATTTACCGAAGCATGTTGATGATAATATATTAAGAAAACTTATTATTGATACATTAACGAATGATAAAGTACCAAAGAAAGATATTATTCTTAAAGAATGCCGAGTGATGAAAACAAGCAAAGATGCAAAAAAGTCTCTTGGTTAGTACATATTTATATAATGTTCAGTTAAGAAAAAAGACAATTTGATATATGAATAATGATTTTATTTTCAAGACATTTGAAATCATTTTCGGTAACGGGCGATCGAAAAGTTTTTTCCACAAAATGTTAATTCACTTTTGACTTGTTAGAACCAGAAAATGATGCTCTTTCCAGATAAGGAATTAGATATGTTCTTGCAGTTTTTATTCGAAAATAATAAAATAATCTTTGAAAAATCCAACAAAGTAATTTCGATGAAAACTATTTCAGCACATTTAGTTATTTTCACTATTGCGATTCGAAACTGAAAGATGAGATTTAAATTTACAAATCAGAAGTTACCCTACAAAATGAGCTATTTGGCTTTTTTCATTTTTCGATACAGTACTTCAATTTTCCTGTTTTCTTAGATACTCATTTTTGAAAAACTCGTCAGAGGTACTTTCTAACGGATCAAAGTTGAAAAACAGTTTCCATCACTTGTTATTCACATCTATGATTTTGACCTTTTTATCATCACAAAAAGAACTTCATAGGATGGATTGATGTTATCAGTATGAAGTGTCCTCAGCGGATATCACAACGAAAGCTACGATTAGATATTCTGAATACACCGCAATAGAATGAACCGTATAAGGATTGCCGGTGAATTGCAAGTTATTGATATGCTTAGACTTCTGAGTGGTATATTTCAATAAATATCAATTAAGAGTAATTAGCGAAACATATCTTTATTCACCCGAACTTCAAATCTCCTTGTGAATGCTAAGCAGAGAATGATGAATTAGATACGGTACGAAATTCAACCGATGCTTTTGTAGATTGTATTTTAATAGATAATACATTTTAAATGAGATTCGCAAATAGACATAGTTATCATTTAGCTCGTTTTGATAACATTATCCTTTATCTAAATATGGTACGATATTCTTTCGATGATCATTTTATTGTATACATGGCGTGATCTCATGAGTACAAAACGCAACATCTGTATATAAATATAGAATTTTAAAAAGTTTTCTTTACTCATCTCATCAATGTCTATTTGAAATATCTGAATATTTTTCATATCTAAAAGTATCTTTTTTTCCTAGGTTTTGGATTTGTCAGTCTTGCTCGTCATGAAATAGCATTACGAATAATTGAATTACTTAATAATAATAAGTTAGTATTTGGTTCAAATCGACGGCCGATCGTTCAATTTTCAATTGAAAATCGTCGTGCTTTACAATTGAAAGAAGAACGAATTGAACGAATAAAAGCAAAACAAGAATTATTAAAAAATCCATCAGATAACAAAATAGCATTTGAAACGAATAAAAAGAAAAAGCAGGCAACACCATTATTAGACCAACGAACTAATAAAATTCGTCTCAGTGATATTATTAAACAAGCAGTAATTAGTGAAGAACTGAATAATACCATCAATGATGATGACCACTCGATGGAAGTTGATAATAATGCGAAATTTACGATTAAATCAACTTATGATCAGAAGAGAAAAAACAAGAAGAAACGATCAAAAACAAAGTCCAAGGGGGAGATACGGGACAACCTTGATCGAATGATTGCTAGCTCGAGAAATAAAAAATCACTACCGCAAAAGACGAAGCAAAAATGGTTTGAATAAAGCCATTGGTAATAAATAGCAATGTTTTGTTTTTGTTTGTTTGTTTTGTATACGATTAAATACAAAACACTAAGACTAAGTCATTTTCTTTCATTATCAATACACAAATTGGCTATTCATTCATTAGGAAATTCTTCTCGAAGAAAATCTATAATGTTTACATGATAGAACCAAGTTTTCTATTCATGCCTTTGTTATGTTATAGATAAAATCATGATTAAAACCATCATACAACGTTCAATAAACATCGTAGCATCATCGTGCCGTAGTTTAGTAACTCCATGCCATAATTCAAATGTAGACTTCCTCGACAAATATGATCCTCAGCAAGTATCACTACTGCAAGAGCCACTCATGGTTGTCGACCAACACGACCGTATTATTGGTCGAACCACGAAAAAAGATGCACATCTCTTAGCAAATATTGAATCCGAACCATCCTTAGTTCATCGAGCATTTTCATTTTTTCTCTTTGACATTTCAACAGTTCCGTCACGCCTCATATTACAACAACGTTCAACGGAAAAAATAACCTATCCAAATTTGTGGGCGAATACATGTTGTAGTCATCCATTGTTCACTGACGATGAAGTCAATGGTGTCGATGGTGTTAAGCATGCTGTTAAACGCCGAGTTAAAATTGAACTTGGCTATGAACTTAATTTGAATTTATTTTATTTGACACGAATTTTCTATCAAGCACGCAATATTCCTGATGATGGAATATTTGGAGAGAGTGAGATCGATTATATTATCGTCGGAAAATGTAAACAAAACACGCCACTTGATTTTAAAATAAATAAAAATGAAGTTCAACAACTACGAGCAGTGACATTAGAAGAATGTGAAGATCTTGTCAAACAAGGTGTAACAACGCCATGGTTTACAAGAATTGTACAAGAAGGTTTATTGGCTAAGTGGTGGTCAACTGTTGATAAGCAAGAATTAAATAAGGATGCTGAAACATCAAATGAAATTATTCAACTGTGATAAGGATTTAATTATTTATTTTTGTTGGTGAATTTATTTTTTTATTGACAGTGAAGATTTGCTTGTTGATGTAATAAAATTAATATTCAGTTTCTCAATTAATAAAGAATGTTCATATCTATATGAACGAAACGAAATGTAGTCTAAAACGCTGAGGAAATATCGAAAATAGAATAGAAATTAATAGCGAAAAGCATTTTTTTCTTATCGATAGGATAGCTCTATTTTTTTTTTGAAAATTCTGTAAGAATAAAAATAATTCTCCATGTGAAAAATATTTACTGTAACAAGTAAAATTTCTATTCGGGCCTGCAAGTTTTCTGTCAATTGAATCGAGAGATGTCTTTTACACTAATCAATCAGTCAATACAAAAAAGAAAACCGAAAAAATATCGGGTTCAGTCGGAACGACTACTCAATTCCGATTTTGAATATTGTCTTTTTATTATTCAAAATAGCTTTTGTGTGAAACACGATCTGAAACGAGTGTTGCAGTACATAGGGTAGAAATTTGGACCCACTCCGCCCCCACAAACCGGGACAGAGAAATTAATTAATTTCTCTATCACAGCCTGTGATGGTTTCAAAGTTTCTACCGACTCCATAGATCAAAATACAGACCGTGACCGAAAGGCTGCATGTATGATTGCATACAGTGGCAGACAGGTTCCAGCAAACGAGCTCCATTGTGTTTCACATTTTAATCCCACAGGGATTGCGCTAACAACTTTTTACTGCGAAATTAACAACCGAGTAAGTACTCGTGATGAATAGAGAGTACATTCATATCCATTAATGTTCTTATGTCAATCGCTTATTGATCCATGGGACGAAATTAATCGGTCGTTATCTCATCCGATCAAAAGATTCCATTAACTACAAACACTTATATAAGGTGTTTTATCATATCGATCCACAGCATAAGAAAGTGAGTTCATCTCTTTAATCTTACTCCTTGAACTAGCCGTTATATACGAGCATAGATAAAAGTTCCTTAACAAGAATATTCTTATGGCTTTTCTTCTTGCTGAATATCATCATCACTACTTTTTCATTGCGGATGTGATCTTGTAGAATTAAGCCTATTTTCGTATCGATATAGAAGTAAGTTCATCGAAAAAAAAAGATCGAGAGTTCCCATAACAAATAAACATATTGATTTAAGCTCATTAACAGTCGAGCCAATCCGCATTGATGACAAAATTAGAATGATGTCATTGTTCAATTAGAAAAATGAACGATTTACTTAGGTAGAACAATATCGTTCGATATTATTTTCCTGTTGAGTATTTAAAAAAAAAGCATCGATTGATGTTATCAGCATGCTGTTCTATCGTTCATTTCTCCTTGTTATTTTTGTGTATTGAAACAAGAAAAAGACACGCAATCTTTTCCCGCTAATATCTAATCAGCACATTTTTCTTTCACACTGAAAGTATTCATTTAAATATTATTTATGATTTCTTAGATCGATTGCTTGTCACTATGATTCTGATATATACACTTTTTATTCTAGTCTACAGTAAACGAAATGCAATGTCTATTCGAAAATAAATACATTCAAAAACGAATTAAGCTAATGATGTTGAATGAGAGTTGAAAAAAATGAATTTGAATGTCATAATGTCTTTTCAACGAAACAAATATAAACTGTGTTAATTCATGATGAACGTCTTGTCAATGTGCGAAAATAAAAACTATCAATCAATCGGAAAATTGACTGTTAGATAATCATCTATAGAAAAATAGGATTTCTTTATATCACGTAAATATTCTTATCTCGCTCATGCGATCTTGTTTTATTTGAATAAGAATAAAACGCAAATGAGTTCCGATTGATTATTATTACAATTATTATCAAACATCATTTAGAACAAATAAATATCGAGGAAATTTATTCCGATCGAATTTCATCATATTGAAATTTTTTTTCTCTCTCTCTCAATCTGTTTATTTTCATTTTAATATTTTTGTTCCACACGACAGATGTTTTTATTTTCGAAGGTTTGCCTGATGTCGGCATCGAATAGAAAGATCAAATAAATAAATAAAAGCTAGCCATGATGACGACGGCGACGGGAAAACGAACAAACGACGAAAATAGTCATTTGAGATAGAAGGAAAGAAAAAAAACCAGAAAAGAGAAGAAAATATTGAATTCATTTTCGTCGGTCATTTTCATCCTGACCTTGCTGTTTCCTCTTTTCTTTTTCGCTTCGCAATACTCATTTATATTGTGAAAACATTCAGCGAGCAAAGCACAAACAAACATGTATAGCGATACTGAATGCGCGCGTCGCGCAGGAAATTCAAATCGTAGTTGTCAATCCACGTCACTATCAAGTCGTTATGTACGTGGTTGTGGTAGCAATCAAGATCTATCCAAACGAATGCAATCTTTATCGTCACCATCGATATCAGAAATAATTTACAATAATGAAACATTTCCACTTCTAGCCGAATTTTTGCAAATACATGGACGTGAATCATTAGTTGGATTTTGTGCTATTGTCATTGGAATATCAAATTTATCTGCAGATAAACGACAAGCATTGTATGCTGTTCGTGCTGCTTATAGACAATATGTTGCTGATGAATCGATATCGAATAGTTGGTTACAACCAATAACAAGAGAATCAATTCGACAACAAATATCTCAGCGGAATTTTGATCCCTATAAAATATTTCAACCGGCTATGAAAGATATGCTGAAATATTTAAAACAAAATTTCTATTCAAATTTTCTTTCATCGCAATTATGGAAAAATTATTCAAATAAAAAACAGCAGCAGCAGCAGCAACAACAAGACAAACGAATGAAAGTACTAAATGCTTCAACACCAAAAAAATTAAATTCATCCATAAGCACATCAACTGTTAAATCATCGAAACAATCGACATATAAACGAGAAATTTTAACAAATTTTAATGGAAACAGAACACTTGGTAAGAATATAAATTTGACTTTAATCTTTTGCTCTAAATATTAAAACGCTTTCCATTCAACTATAATTAATGAAAAAACAAAGTTTTGCCAATTGTTCGTAGGTCTTCTTTGACTTAATATTCAACGGAAGAAAAAGCATCTCTGCCTAACGGTAGATTCAATATTAAAATAGAGCATATGCTTATTGTGAGCAGAAAGCTAGCTGGACATAAGCTTCATAACTTCCATATAGACAGCTAGTCACACAGATGAACGTTATTACAGAAGTAATTTGATATACCCACACCGTTAGTGACCTGTCGGAAGTGATTCTCTGGTTCGAACTATTGAAGTATTAAGTACAAGCGCTTCCTTTTTCAACCGAAAATTTATAGAGCAATCTAGGGTTTGACGGCTAACTGTTTTTATGTCATGCATCGCTACTAAATGGCAATTTCCGGATTGATAATCGTCGAATATTTGCCCCAAGAGAATTGCACATCCCGTGATAAATATATGACAAGATAACAAAAACTCATAAAACCTTTTTAATACTTAATCGAGTCCCATCACAGGTTCTCGTCTTTGTATTAACGTGCCGTAGGATATTTTTGAGTTTTAATTTTCATCAACTATCGATGCATGTGGAAATTTACATCGAGAAAACATATCTCGCGCGTTTAATCGGCTGTAAACAATAACATTTTAAAATTTTATCAACGTGCGCGATACCTTACTGTGTATATCGCTTGAAACTTTGATCTACTTCATCCGATATAAAATACTAGCAAGGTCGAAAAAAATCTCTCGCTTATATGAAAAAATCATATAACTCAATGGAATTAATTTCATGTAAATAACTTAGCATGGCATTTTACACACGATGTTCTGTTTGTTTGCTACTAGCAAAGTGATAACGAAGATAATAAGAGTGTAACATCAGCATTCGTTGGTCTCATTTTTTCTGTCTTACATGTTATTACATGTCTATTGAGCACGTTTTTCTATGATATATTGTTAACCTCATTAATTATGAGCTAGCCATTAAATTTTGTGCTCTATACTTCATTGCGAGCAAACCAATTATATTTCTTTGAGATCACATAAATGATTAACGACGATATCGTGTTATTTGAAGTTGAATTTAGAGAAATGACAAGTCTATACACACCTATATTTTTTAAACAAAACTCGTAATTGAATATCAAATAAAACAGCTTAATTAATAATTTTCTCTCTGTCTCTTATTTTCTTTTAAAGGTTCTACAAATTCAATGATGACACCGATTAAAACTCCTTTGGCATGTTTTATACAAAACAAAGACGTTCCATATATGATTCATTTAAATATTCCTGTTGAACGTGTTACGTTAGGCGATATTAAGCCTCGTATACATCATTTAGCTGGTAAAAGATTCGATAATCAAACAACTGAGTCTCATTACTATTTCAAACGTCGTATTGATCCATCAGAATTATGCTTAATGAATGATGGTGTAACATCAATGCCTACATATGTATATGAAGAAATTGACAATGAAGATATTCATACACCAGTACCACATCTTGATGGTATTATTGTGTGTAAATTTGACTTTTCGAGTTGATGAACTTTATTTTTTGGTGTTTTTGTGGTGATGCACTGGAAAAAGCCATGAACCTTTTTTTCTCTCTATGTATCTTGGTTGTCTTGATGAGTTTTTCACAGCATCATTTTTTTCTAATTAAATCCATCAAGCAGAAATCTATATTGTCAGATGCATACCATCTATCTATTTATCAAAGTGCGCACAAACATCTAGAGAGAGACAAACAAAAGAAAGACGCCATGACAACAGAGAAAACGCATCTGTTTTAAGCTGATTAGTGGCATGCTACATTTTTTTACACCGAATATGATGACTGCAAGGATAAAGAAGATATGTCACATTCTCTCATAGTGCGTTTTATGGAGCTAAAAAGAAAGAGTAGAAAAATAAAATTATTTTCCTAAGTATTCTTCTTCTTCTCTTTCAGCCTATCTTGTTCTTTTTTTTTTCATTTCTTATTAAAACTAAATCTACTCGTTTATTCACTTTTCCAGGATGAGTAGAATCATACGTAAGAAGTCTCACTAAACCAGATAACTTGTGGATGTAGATATATCATTATTCTGAGCTTTTTTCAGTTTATCAGTAAGTCGTCATATCACATTCTATCGAGTAAATAATAAAAACAAAATCACTCTATATGTTTAATTTTATGAAACGAGAATCAACTAATTGGCCATATTTAATATGAGCGAATTTCGTTTTAATGCTATCAGAAGTATATCATTTTTGCTACATGAAAATTAGAGATAGAGAAAGAAACTTGAGACTTGACTGGACTTTTTTTATTGTAATTATTCTTTGAAAGGAAAGCACAGCGGAAATCGCCTCGTTTCTCTAATAATGCGATACCGACAATTATCTTGACTGCATATGCTTAAAACTTCGTCATTTTAGTGCCATTTTTTCTTTCCTTAGACAGAGACTTTTTAAGAGTTGACACGGAAGCGCATTGGTGTATTCATTTTATCGCACCACCTTTCTCTCTGCTTCAGGGCCGATTATCGTCTTGTTGTATCTCTAGACTTTTTTTTTCTTCTTCTCGCATTTTTTTAAGGTTTTGAACATTACGATTTTGTCCTACTCTTTCTTCTGTTATTATCTTTCTTATTATTTTTTACGTTCGAATTAACAAACCAAATAGATTATTTTTATATATGGTACTGAGTGAGTAAGTTTTTCGCGTGTTGGCGTCCATGTTTCTTATGATCTAGTCTCAAGATAAAAAAGAAAATGGGATAAAGAAAAACGAGACTGATTAAACAACATGATGTGCACAGAAGGGAGACAGGAGATTCACAGAAAGATAGATAAACAACAAGGTGAAATGGAAGCCTAGCTCTTCATTAGTATGATTAAAAATTAGAGAAGTAATGAGCGCATGTCACACACACACACACATAGATATATATTCCTCTATATCTATCTATAAATAAACTTTGCATTTCTGAAAGTGATAATCGTCGTCAGCAACAGCAGCTGGATTCTGACTTCATCTGAGTGCATATTAACAAACCTTTCCTTTTGAAAAGTTCTCTAAAACTGAATATTGATGATGAATTAACAAAGTAAGTTTTAGAAAAAAAGAGAGAACAAAACCAAACCTTTGCTTTGAATCCGTATTCATTCAAGTCTACTGAATAGAGTGGTCTTTTATGATATCTCTATGTTATTAATTATTTAATGATCGTTAAAAAATTGTTCCTTTTTTCTCGGCATTAAGTTTATGCAAATCTGATTGGCTTTCCTATAGTTTTCTAGCTTCTTTGTTATAGATATTTGTTATCTTGAGCAGATAAATACAAGAGCTTAAGAACGTTCAAGAATAAAAACTCAATTAAATATTCTAATGCACTTTGTTCGTACGGATTATAAAAAAGGCTTCGAGAAATTTTAACTCTAAAATTATTTTTTTCTCTTCAAGATGAAGAACTAAAAATCGACTCTGAATACACATGGAAGCTTTGTTTAGTATCATTATTGTATTTATACTTATTCCATCTTATTTATGCATAAATAACTTAATTTATATACTTTCACATATACCTACGACTACTATAAATTCAGTATTACGTTCGAAAGGTTTGATATTAACAAATGATACATATGTAAAACATTTATCAGCAGCAACTGTTGATTTACTCCAATCAACAGAAACACTTGCAACAGTGAATAACAGTCAATCGATCGTAATTCAATGGAATACAGGCGATTGTACATATCCATCAGCATTGGCTACGACATATTCAACGGAAATTGTCTCTATACCCATTTGTTTTACTCAAGTGTGTACACTCAACAATATTTTGCAACTAACAATTACAAGTGAACAATTAGGAGCGGCAGCAGCTATATTTATGGATTATTATTCTTTACATTATTTTACGATGATTTTAAGCGATTCAAATGAATTCTATTCGAATGTAGCACAACAGTTTTCTAGTTATTTAATTCAAAGATCTCATCTTTTTGAAAGATTGATACCTATGTCAAATTTTTCTTCGTCATCATCGTTAATTTATTCACTAAAAAGTCGAGGTTAGTTCATCGATGTTTTAACGGAAAATTATTAATATTATAAAGTTTGTCAATCAGAGTGTCGCTAAGATAGATTAGATTCGACGTGAGCTTCTACGAATAAAAAAATAGTCGTATTTTTAAGATATCTATTGATATTGACCAGTGTCTATTGTCAGAACCAGTAGTTCAATATTTTCGTTACTGCTACTAATTAAGCTGTAACTTTGCAGAGAAGGCCAGTCTACATGCTAAAGTTAAGTAAATCGGTTTACGAAATAGTGAATGACAAAATGATTTTGCTCCTTGGATGGTATAAATAATAATGATAATTATTGAAATCTTGTTTTTTTTTTTGACATTCAATTTCAAATCGTCTGAAGATTTCAGATTTTTCTATAAACTGAATTACTTTTAGTAATCATATTTTATAAACGATAAAGCTGATTTTGTTTTCTCTAGTCTTTTTTGTGATATGTTCATACAGTGAAGAACTCTCACTTTATTCAACTATTTCATCTAATTATCAATCAATGACGTCAGCCATGGGAAATGTGATTTTTATATTTGTTCGTTGGTCTCATCATTTTCTTAGTTTTTATACTTCACGATTTTCACCAAACATAACATCATATCGGCCATCATCGTTTCCTATACTTCATCTTTTGCCCTTGGATATTAGAATGACAAATACTTTAAATGGTCTTATTTCAAATTATGATCAATTAATAAATTCAACAGCAAATGTAACATTTTCTGATGATGTAAGATTTTTATTTTGTGATATATGGAGATAAAACTAATTCATTTTTCTCGTAGATTGTTTTTATCTTTAATGAACTTGAAAATGTTGATTTATTACTACAAACATCAGCAATAAATTTAACATCAACAAATCAATCAACTATACTTGGTCCAATAACATTTGATAGTAATCTAAAACGTTCTTTTATTCATTCATTGATTGGTTTACAATGCAATGGTAGCTGGGCTATATTTAAATATATAAATTCAGCAATAACAAATTCTAATAATAGTGTAAATGCATGCATTAATTATCCCTTCGATGATATAACAATAGTGGTAGTAGACAATACCGGTATGTAGAAAATGAAGCTATCGTTTCGTTATGATTAGTTATTTGATTATACTTTAGGCTGGCATATACTGCGTATTGCACTTTTTACATTGTTGGGTGTAGCTGTAGTATGTGTTGCTGCACTAATAGCTTTCTTTATTATTCGGTAATTGTAGAAAACAAAAATTAGAAACGTTATTTTTTTTATTTCTTCGCTATTTAGAAATCAACGTAACCGTAAACAATTATCTAAAGGTCCAAATAAAATTATTTTACTACCTGATGATTTAATGTTTGTTATGCCAAAAGGTTCTATATTTACAAGCAAAGTTTGTACCAGAAACATTCTTTGATCATTCAGTTTAAATTCATCTTCTTTTTTAAATTATTTAAAAAACAAAAGGTTAATTTAAAAAATGAAGCACACGAACGTAGTAATATGTCGATACGTAGTGAAGAAATTCAAGCTGGAAAAACAGCTCGCTACAATGTAAATTATTTAGAAAAAAAAATATATATATATCTATACGTATATGTATTATAGGGTGATTTAGTCGAAGTCAAAAAATTACATATTGGCCCATTATCACTTCGTACAAAAGTCATGCGACAATTACGCCAATTGAAAGATTTACGACACGAAAATGTGAACACTTTTATTGGACTCTTTATCGATCAAAATGCGCCAGCATTAATATTGGAATATGGTCATCGAGGCAGTCTCGAAGTAAGAATTATCGATTGTTGTTTAGTAAATCATAAAATCAGGTTGGAGGCGGTTATAAGAGGTAGTTAATAAGACTATAATGGACTGTTCGAAAAGTAGAGTAGGTTTAGTGAGAAGAAAACATTTTCGTATTGGATTTGTACACAGGATACTGCCCAAGAGGGAAAGTGCTGGCTCCAAGCACCAAATTTTACTACAAAGTGCCGAAGATGCTGAGAAGGTACTGCAAGTGCTGAGGTGCGGGGGTTCCAAGCCTACACTTTCCCCCTTGATGCTGCCCATGAAGCATTGATTTATCCGACGGTAATCCTATTAGTTCAATGAAAAAAGAATTATTACTATTACCATATGAGTAGGTTTTAAAAGTCTTATTGAGACAAGAACTTTTTATGCAATGTACATAACGACTGTAATACTATTACTATATATTTGAGGATTTTTGAAATGGATTGCTTCTATTTCTAGGGCGTAAAATATGTCTAAGGCGACGAAATGATGTTTTCTTGATTAATTTGAACTAGTTTTATGATCAGACTGCATGCTCTTAACAATTATACATCAGGATGAAGAATTTCATAGGACGTAATTTAAATAGAAACTCGATCACTCTTTTCAGTTGTTTTAATTATAGAACTTTTTCAGCTAGACTTAATCAATTCGACGCAAAAAAAAAGAAAACTATAAATTTACATTTAATTTTGTAGGATATTCTCAAAAAAGAAGAGATAAAACTTGACTGGAATTTTAAATGGTCAATGCTAAATGATCTTGTTCGAGTATGATTATTATTCTTCTAAAAGAAAAATCTGAGAAACATTATTCTTTCAAGGGTATGAGATATTTATGTAATTCATCGATACGTTGTCATGGCAATTTAAAATCCCGAAATTGTATTGTTGATTCACGTTGGGTATTGAAAGTAACAGATTATCATTTGAATGAAACATATGCTTTACAAAATGCTCCAAGACAAGTTGATATCATTGGTTTGTATCAACATAGATAACGAAAATTTCCAATCAACAAAAGAAAACAATTATTTTTTAGATCTTTTATGGATGGCACCGGAACACATTCGAACATCAATAATCAAAGATGATGTTGCTACAGTAATGACAAGTTCAGCAGCTGGCGACGTTTATAGCTTTGGTATTATTATGCAAGAAGTTATTCTTCGTGGACCACCATTTTGTATGTTGGATCTCACACCAAAAGGTTGTTTTAATATTAGAAAATAAGGCTTAGGTTTTTCTAAAATTATATCTTGTTTTTTCTTAATTATATAGAAATTATTGCCAAAATAAAGAAACCACCGCCACTGTTGAGACCTTCTGTATCGAAACAAGTAGCACCACCGGAATATATCAATTCAATGAAACAATGTTGGGCTGAACAAGCAGAAACCCGGCCATCATTTAACGATCTTGCTCAATCGATTAAATTACTCAATGGTGGAAAGTAAGAATTTACAGCTGAGAGAAAACAATTTGTTAAAAATTTTATTTACTAGAAAAGTGAATATTGTTGATACAATGTTTAAAATGCTTGAACAATATTCGAATAATTTGGAAGATTTAATTAAAGAACGAACAAATCAACTCGAAGAAGAAAAGAAAAAAACAGATAAATTATTATCACAAATGTTACCACCGTATGTGTTAGATTTGCTCACCGACATTGTTAATCCTTCGATTTCTTTTTTTCAGGAGTGTTGCTGACAGTCTCAAGTCTGGTAAAGCTGTTGAAGCTGTTTGGTACGAATGTGTTACAATCTACTTTTCTGATATTGTCGGATTTACAACAATATCAGCATTGAGTAGTCCAATGGAAGTTGTCGATTTACTTAATGATCTATATACAATGTTTGATTCAATTCTCGAAGATTTCGATTGTTATAAGGTAAAGAAAAAGGAAAACTAATTACATCTATTTCAAATACGTTTCTTTTTGTAAGACTACGATACTATATTCTGATGCGAGTTGAAAGCCACACAGAAGTGTAGAGGACTTTTTTTCTGCTTAACGATGAAGATTGACATTCTGTTTGTATCTGCTATTGTCATTTTGATCAGATTGTCATGATCTGTGTATGCTGTTTTTGGCATAATAATAATTGAATTGAGAGAAAATAATTAAAAGATGCGAATAACTACTAAAGATTAGGAATTCTGTGCATTAACTTATAATTATTACTGAATAAACAAAGAGGCGATTAATCCTTGTAGTCGAATTCTGAGGATGTATTATGGTTAGGATTCGTAGGAAACTAATTAAAAGTAAATAGAAATGCATGCCGACAGGTGCTGTTGAAAAGAATTGTGTAAGAAAAACTTGCATAGACAACGAATGGTCTATCTATACTGAACATTTTGTCTTGTTTGTTACAAGCTCGTAAATCGAACGTCTTGCCTGTCTAATACTTTAAATCGTGCACTGCTAAAATAACTGTTGACACATTCATTATCAGTTAAAATCAATTACTTTTTTAAAATAATGAATCGTGTGTGTGTGTGTGTGTGTTGATAGGATTCAAATTCAAAAACAATATTTAGCAATGGCTTAAAATAGTTTCAATTCATCTAGCTGCTATTGACTTAGAACTATCACATGTTGTTTTGGTACATTCTAAAATCAACTTTTGAATAATGAAACAATATGTTGGACCACGATAGTCTATTACTACATACTCCATTATAGCTAAGATGCCTACTATTAACATTATATTTTAAATGCAAATAATATTAATAGAATGTTTTAGCTTAAAAGATCTATTTAGTTGTCACATAAAAATTTCTGTTGGATAGTTCATGCTGAGTGTCCTATCACAGATTCTGAGTCCTTGCATTGACACTATGACATACGAGGCACCGAGTCTTTTTTGTGAAGTACTGCCTAATCGGATTAATTGTAAATGAAACTAAACCAATCTTGTTTATCAACATTTTTTCAAGAGGGCAATCAAATCTTTCAATAGATTTCTAGAATTTATCTTTTTATATTAAAATTATATTTTTCTTTAGGTTGAAACCATTGGTGACGCATATATGGTCGTCAGTGGTCTACCTATTGGAAATGGAAAAAAGCATGCATCAGAGATAGCTGTAATGGCATTAACATTATTACATGCTTGTGGCAAGTTCAAAATTCGTCATATGCCGGGCGTACCATTACAATTACGTATTGGTTTGCATTCGGGTGCTTGTGTTGCTGGTGTTGTTGGTCTTCGAATGCCTCGTTATGTAAGATTTCAATTATGAAGATTATTATATAAGTTTTGTTTTTTCTAGTGTTTATTTGGTGATACAGTTAATACAGCTTCTCGAATGGAATCCACGGGCATGGGTATGCAAAACTATATCGAATTGATATGTATGCATGTTATAGATCATCTATTTCTCTAGCTTATCGTATTCATTCCAGTGAAACAACTGCAGGATTATTAGAAGAAATTGGCGGTTTTCATTTAGAATATCGAGGAGTAACAGAAATTAAAGTAAAATTAAATAAAGATTCTTTTGAGTGAAATATCAACATATGCTATTTTAAGGGTCGAGGTAATTATAAAACCTATTGGCTGACGGGAAAAGATGGTTTTGATAAAGAATTACCAGCACCAGTTATATCAGAAAATAATCATGGGTATGAAAAGAAAATTTTTTATTGAAAAATCTAAATTTTTATTTTCTAGTCTTGACAAAGAGCTAGTTAAATTAGCTGAAAAAAGTGCACGTGAACGAGAGAAATTGGAAAGTCAAAAACGTGAAGCAGCTAATGCTGCAGTAGCAGCAGCAGCAGCAGCAGCAGCAGTAGCCACCACTACAGTAGCAACTACAGTAAATGTATCATCTAGTAATCAAATACAAGTTAAGCCAATTGTTGAAACTGTTTCTCCGGATCCAAAATCAAAAAAATCTAGAGGTTCTCATATTTCAGCTGCCAATAATCATGATACAAATGCAACAGAAGACTTATTGAGGTTGACTATTTTTGGAAAATCATTCCGATAAAAATAAATGTTTATTTTTCTTTTAGGTTTACACCGCCACTTGATCAGCATCCATCAGCGATGACAAATTCAACAAATAAATTTCCCGTATCGAATGAACTTCCAGCTAAATTACAACCAATGGATGGACCTGACGGACCTGTTAGAAAGTCAACGAAAGCAAAATGGTAATTTTTATCTAATTAATTGAAGTCAATTTTTGTTTTTTTCTCGAACATTCTGTATGCTTTTTTTCATTGTCGTTTGAGACATTACCGAGTGATTGATTGAGCATTTTCATGTACCGGTTTCATGATTTTTTCTTTTTGTTCCTGAGACTCAGTCATATTTTATGCGGCGCAAATGTAACTACTTTTTTTTCTGTTCTCGTATTCATTTGTCACAAAGCAGAACAAGTCGAAAACAAGATATACCGGTCGTTTTAAAAAGACTGTATCTCCGAAAGACGTATATCAGATTTGAAAAAACAGAATCATGACAAATTGCATGCAAATTTGGTAAGTGCGATACCCACTGAGCGATCAGATCTGACAATGTCGATCTTTAATAATAGGAATTAAAAGTTCAGTGTCAGTGTAGATTTGTTTGAAGGTATGCGCAATTTTTCCATGCCACGTCTATATAGATAAAGTTGAATGATGCGCCATAGTAAATTGCATCTACTGCGTCTTCTTGTCTCTGAGATACGTATCCAGTCCGTTACGAACTAACTTTTGTTCCCTTCTATTTATGGCATAGCAAAAGAATGTAAAAGCTAAAAAGCTGTTATTGCTGTTGATTTTGAAAGTAACATCTAAATATGGAAAATCACTCCGTAAATATCCACGTTGCAAAACAATATCCCATTATAAAAATGTCGATTTCAATCTAGTATCGGATGCTAGATGAAATACTTTTACTGATGACAATTAATAGGATCAAATTGGCTAAACTCTTCATATAACGAGTGCTCCATAATCAATGACCGGTTTTTACTCTTAATCTTTATAGTATCTGACAAGTTTTATTTAAAATCAAAATATGGCATAACGCACAACATGGTTACTACTGTAACCTGCACAAAAAATGTTATTTCACAAGGTAACGCGACGTTTGCGTCGCCAACCTTCTACTGAAAGGAATTAGTCATGTGGAACGTAGCTATCCAAAACCATCTAGCTGAGAGACTTCATTTTTTATAGCTTCGAAATGATTTTCATGGAAAACACGATTGATAACCGAGCATAAATAGAAAACTTGCCTGGAAGTATCACCAAGAAAGCGGCATTTAATTACTACTTACTAATATTATATAATGATACTGAAGTTAAGTGCATCCGATCTGCTACCGCTCAAGCTACGCCATCCAAAAGCTTTTGATCAACTTAATAGCGGAGTGAAGAAAAAGACCCATTCATGAGAACTATGATCGAAATACTTCATTTTAGTAAAGTTATAACTCAAATTGGCCTATGAACTAGATATTTAACATGAATCTGCACGAGTAGATCAGAGATTACATCAAAGTGCCTTTTTCTAACTCGATTTCGGTTAGATTTGTTATAATTTTTGCTCAACCTCATGTGGGTTCATTTTGTTTCGGTGCGTTTCCCGTCTAGAATGGATATATTCATTCTTGAGTGCACATTCACACATAGATAAACCTAAGATTTACATCTTTTGAATCAAATCCACTCGCAATCATGAAAACCTAAACTTATTAAGATAATCACGACAAATATGAATTTCAAATGTTTCACACGAGTTGAGCAATTATTTCACGATCTGTCGTCGGAAGAAATTCAAAATATGTCCTATTTTCGAAAGTTGTTTCAACTTTTCTGATCGAGACAACGTATAACTGTTCTATTAGTCTGCAAGGCAAGTAGTCCTATAATAACGACAGAATTTCAACACGTGGGGGCGGCTAGTCGTGAGTGGAGGCCCAGAGGGGCGCCGACGAATGACTAGCCGTCCCCACTTGTTTTGTCTCATATATGCGGTGAACGTGATCCTTTTAAACACTGCATTATTGATTGAAAGGTTCACCTCACTCTATAATTATTAGATGGAAACGAAGAGAATTTTCAAAAAAAACGAAAACAACAGTTGTGGGACTAGTTCAATTCAGTTACACCTACATATGCGATAAATTCATCACAATTTAGAGAAGAATGAGACATGATTCCCGAATACTTATCAGTTTGCATCCGTTCGTAGATGCGCTAATCTAGAATTCTAGGAGTTAAATTTGAATAAATTCTTCGTGCTGCAATAAAAGTTGACATATCAAGAATAAACTGAAGATTTTGAAAAACGTTTTCAAAGTCTCAATGCAGGTGAGCGGCTAGTCGTTCGTCGGCGCCCCTCCGGAGCGCCACTTACGGCTAGCCGCTCCCAAATTCAGAACTAATTCAACCGCACGATGCCTATAGCCTATTCGTAATAACATCTCACATAACCATACGATACATCTAAGACTATAAACATCATCGAATGGTATCCTCAAAAAATTTCCCTACAAAGCATTCCTATCAAGAAAATGTGACGATCTAAACAGCTCCTAATCCATTACAAACTTGTTTGAAGTACAAAATTTCAACAATCTGGCAACGCCATCCTGTTCCCCGATCCCGGTTACCTTCGGTCAATCCTTACAAAAAACTAATTTTTTTCTAAAAAAAGTCTCTCACACCCTAAAAAAATGAAAAAGCAAAATTTCAAAAATCTGACAACGCCATTGTGTTCCCCGCCCGCCCCTCCAACTTTGGAAATTTTTGTTTCAATTTTACTCCGATTTTTGAAAAAAATAGAAGAGATTTTTATTGATTTACTCCGATTTTTGAAAAAAAACCTCCCGTTTTCAAGTAACCCTCCTATATTTTTGTTGCTTCGCGCCGTCCCTGTCGGTCAAACCTATCCCTACAGATTTTATTTGAGGTTAGTTAAGTTTATTCATCTGCTTTCCTATTGAACGAACGAACGAACGAAACAACTCATTTCGGCGTAAGACCCTCCATTCAGTAGAGGGAATAATACTTTGGAACCGAGACTCTGGGTTTCAGGAGCTTCATGTTATTTCATATCAATTAGACACACAATAGGATAATATATTTCAGATCATTAATATCATTTGTGAATTACATAACCATTTATTATTCTCCTTTCAGTAGAGGGCCCAGCGGTGTTTTGCGTCGCGCTACTTGTTTAACTATCTAGAAAATATCAAAATCAGAATCATCACTCGATTAAATCCTATGGGCTCTTCTTGGCTTATGTTTGATGTTTTCTTTCTTTAATCACAATTAACTTCACCTAATTCATCTAACTGTAGTATTCTATGGCAATATTTTCAAACCGCTTCATCTTCAAACTCTTATCAACGGCCTATTAGTGTGCATTGGTCTATGTTTTGTTCGATTCAAAATTAGATTACTGAAATATCATGGTTTATACTCATTATTATTGTCGCATGACATATCGCATCTGTAGAAGATTTTATGTAGAAAATGAAAATTTATTCTAATTAGACATAAGGTAAGCACGATCAAAGAAAAATTCTTTGATCTGAAATAATATCACACTTTGTCTTTTACTTCATTTTTCATTTTAATTAATCGTTTTTATCGCCAAATAATCTCATTTTCAATCAGCTTCAACATGAATATTTTTAAAAAATTACAGAGAATGAAATATAATTTTTTTTAAATGTGCAATAAAAATCAGATATTCATTAAACACCTGTATATAATTAAGTATCTATTTTTCCTATGAGAAGATACTCTACCGGTTAGACCTAAGACGTACACAACAACACCCTCAAGATAGTCTATAACACCTTCGTTCGAACATTTGACAAACTGATTTCCCAACAGGCACATTTATATAAGTTTCAAATAGTGAGAAAAACAATATACATATATATGAGTATTATCGAGACAAGAAAGAAAAGAAAATCTCTTGAGATTTAAATAAAAAACACCTCAAGCACATGCAGACTGATCAATGTATCACATTTTTATTTTTATTTTGAACATAATATTATATGATAGAACCATACGAATTTGTTGTTTAATTGACATCAAATGATTTTATCGGTCATTTTACAAGTATTTTATGTACTATTAGTACAATCACGTAAGAAAATGTGTTGGAGAATTTCTTATATTCAATTGATATTTTCAATGAATAGAAATCTATGAAACGGATCGAAAAGATTCAAATCAATTTCTACACACAACAATATCGTCTGATAACACCTATGAACAATCAAAAGAAATAGTTGAAACAAAACGTGAAGTAAATAAAAAATGTCTTACTCCAGTTCCACATTTGATTATTTTCTTTAGTCGTGTATTGATGAATACCAACAACACAAATCTCATCGACGTAATCCAATATTACCTTCATATTGTACACAATATTGTACAGAAACAACGGATTGCCAACAAGATAATGGTAATATAATTTTGAAAAACAAATTGGGTGAAAATTTTGAACAAAAATTTAAATTTTAGAATTATCGGCTTGCACGAATCCGTTGTATCCCCCATGGCCATCACGATTATTAAAATTTGTACAAAAAATTCGACGCATGTGCTATATAAGAATTACTGAAATATTACTATATGAACATGCCGAACAGATGTGTCAACGGCATGGACTTCAAATGGCTATTATTGATAATGTTCAATTACTTGAACAATTGAAACAAATGGATATGTGTAAGATTTATTTTGCGTTTTGAATAATAATTAACTCATAAAATAAACTATTCAGTTAATGCAACATGTAAAGGTCAATGTCCGGAAACAAGAGGATATTCTATTGGATTAAGAAGATATAAGGATGAGAAGGGAATATCACCATTGAAATGGATTTGGTCTGATAATTTTACATGGGTACAAAATGAAGCAGATGTAAGTTTTGATAATCTTGTAACAGATTTGTTTACATGAAAGCTGTTGTTAACCTCCAAAGGTCAATTGTTGCCAATAGAAAGGTACCGCTTTTTTTTAGATCGCGCATGCATCCAAGAATTTCCAAAGTACCTTCTTTGTTACTAGTCCACTTTGTTCTTGAAGAGGTTGTCAAGACGTAGTACATGCAGAATTCCGACATTTTTTTAGAAATGTTGAATGGGACACCGTTAAAATAAGAAGATTGTTTTTGAAGAGTTTCTTCCGATATTTTGCTTGTCGTCTTCTCAAGCAAAGAGCTTAGAAAAGATGCCCACCTACCATCCTCCGCCTCTTAATGTGCAAACGTATGTCTTTTCACTTTTCTTTAATGAACATTTTCTCAAATGCTACGAGATATATTCAGATTTATAAGAGTCTACGATATCTTACTTTGCTTGCTTGTTCTCTCCCCACAGCATCCTCATGAGATGTACTATGTTGTTGTGTTTGCGCCCTAGCATAGGCCTTGAAAAATATCAATTCCACCCGGAAATCCTATGTCAAGGACTTTATTACTATTCGATATTTCATCATTATTAATGGTTATGCAATTTTTAGAAACACTGATTTTCTCGTTATAGTGTAATGATGAATATTCTGAAACATCTTTTCCTAATGCCACTCTTCTTTGTTACATGGGATCAGATGGACAGAAGGTTCGTTGTTATTTTTTGAAAAATACGTTTTGATTTAAAATTGTTTTATTTCAATAAATAAATACACTAGAAAGTTACTGTTTGGAATACAGGTGAACCAAATGATCGTCAATTTGGTGAATTTCAACGAGTTGAACAGTGTGTTGAAATTATTGGACGTCCAGATAAAACGGGCTCATTTGAACAAGTCGGAAAGCTAAATGATATTTCATGTATTAAACCAACTTCAGGCGTTCTATGTCAAATGAATGGTTAGGTCCTTTTGCTTTTGTTACTTATTTTTTATTAAATTATTTCTTGTTTTTTGAGATCTTAAGCCAATCAATGCAACACAATTTAGATCTTTTTCAAAATTTTTTGGATTTACTATCGCTGAAAATGATATAGATGATTTATGGGATTATTTATTATCGAATTTTAAAAGTTCTTTTTCACCTAATCTAGAATCTATGAAATTAATAACTGCTATCCTTGAAAAATTATTTATACTGCCTTCGTTTACAGTTGAACGAGGAAGAAATGTATTGCATATTGTCGATCAACTTATCAATATTACAGGGAAAATTGAAGATGACAATGTTCTATTGAGAGCAGTCACAAATAAGTAATAGATTAGTTCTTTTTTATTTCTCAACATCTCTATAATTAATTTCATTGATAGATTACTTCAGGTAATTGATTTATTTCCAGCAAAAATAAAAATTGATAAAAATGAGGAAGTTGCATCGTTTAAATTCGAATATATGAATACATCGTTAATAAAAATAAATTTTGATCGTTGGCAACACGAGAACAAGGACAATGATTGGTATACGATAACACCTGGTATTTTCATAGGAGCGACTTTTTTCTTTTGTTCTTAATCTGTTCCAATGTATAGAAAATTCTGATCAACATCCGAATAGTATTGTTCAACTTAACATGCGAATATTACGAACTCAAATAGAATCCACAAACGATTATCGTCTAATTGAAACAGTATTTTCAAATTTTAATTTATTTCCTCTAACAAATAAAACTCATGAACCAAGTGAAAATAGAAATCAATTGATTGGAATGCCGATATCGATTCGAATTGCTAATTTGACAAAGATTAGAGCCGATAGCGATCTTGTACGATTTCAAATACGAATCAATCAAGTAAGAGGATTTATTTCGCATAAGATAAATTTCAACATCTTTTTTTCAAATATTGTTTTAGTACATTCAAGCAAGTAAGATTTTATGTGTTTATTGGTCATTCGATGAAGATAATGGTTCATGGATAGCTGATAATGGATGTCGCCTTATTGGATATATTGATGAATATGCTCAATGTTCTTGTAATCATCTAACTCATTTTGCATTACTTTTGGTACGTTGATAAAGTGAAAACGACACTTCTAATAATATCTAGTTCAAAAAATTGACTCATCTAAATCAAGCCATGTTAGAGGAAAGCCATGGTAGTTTACACAGGGGGAACGATATTCATAAGCAGTTAGATAACTATTGCATGATTAGAGTTGTATATAATCAGTTTCGAACCCAGTCATTGGGACCGAAACCATTTGAAACGTGAGACAAGTAAATGCTGCAAAGTTTTTTTTTCAAACTAATCACAGACAGAAAAACAGCTAGAATTAATCGTACCTAAATAATATGATCCTGCACATCTCTATTCGTGAAACTTCGGTTTATCTACGATCTAATCTTTAAAATTTACAGACACTTTAACTAAGAAGAATTTTTATTTCAATAGCAATCTGAATCCAAAGAAATGGAAAATCCTTTATTAACTACTGATGACTTCATATTGACATTTGTATCATATATTGGTATATCTTTATCACTATTTGGTCTTGTCGTAACATTAATTACATATGCACTTTTTCGGTAAAATTGAATAGAATACTTCGATTGAATTTTAATATTTTCTTCTATTTGTTTTTCAGATGTTCGCATATAAATCGTCTTCATGCTTCTCTGATTATGGTGTGCTTATCCATATTACTTGTTATTTCTTTTTTCATTCCTTTTAGTCTTACTAAATCAAATCGTTTCGGTACAAAAAATAATTATCTATGCAATATATTTGGTTTTTTATTGCATTATTTTCTATTAACATCATTTATGTGGATGTTTATTTTAACTTGTATTCATTATATGCATTTCGTTCGAATATTCAACTCATATGTTTCACATTTTTTTATTAAAGCTAGTATTACTGGATGGATACTACCATTAATTTTTCCAAGTTTAGTTCTCATCATTGGGAAAGATGACGGTTATGTTGGAGAATTTCAATGTTGGATCAATAATGAAATTCTTCGTTATGCTACGTTTCTCGCACCAATATCAACTATTATCTTCTGTAATTTAATACTTTTTATATTCACATTCAAAGGTATTTGCCAACGTGATTCACCACTTCATGCAGATCAACATAAAGAGTCAAAGATAGAAATAAGTGCAACATTTTGTTGCTTTATATCGATGGGTAAATTCTTGATAGAATTAGGATTATGTTATTTTTTTGTTTTTATTTAGGTATTACATGGTTTTTTGGTATATTAGTTCTAATGCAACCAATATTTTTATATCAATTAATTTTCTGTATAAGCAATGCTCTTCAAGGCTTTTTAATACTTTTCTTTCATGTCTATCTATGTAAACCAAAAAGAGGATTCTGGAAAATATTTTTTATTCAACGTGGTTTTCATCAACGCCATCATTCATTTACAGCGCCTATGCATCCTAAAACAATTAGTGGTTCAAATACAGAAAATATAACGACTTTAAAACGTCCTGTAGAACTTTGCATTACTCCAATAGCAACAGCTGATGATAATAAAAAAGAAATGTCAGGTAAAAAGAATCCGAAATGTAAAGATCAAAACGAAGATAATGCAACAAGAAAAGATCCAACACAAGCAAAGAACGCACAACAATCAGTTATAAATATGCAGCCAAGTTCTCTTTCTGATCGAATACAGAAAAGTAAAATGATCATGAACAGTTATGCTCGAGAAAAAAATTAATATATTCGATTTGTTGTTGATTGGTTGTAGTCGGTTTTTTTTTGTTTTGTTCGTTGCTTTTTCAAATAAATTCATTAATATTTCGCTAAAACAATTTATTTATGAATTGGTTCGATGGCCTGCAACGAATATGAGAAAAACGATGAAATATGCCACTGAAGTAATTTCTCACGAATGCTCTCAGTTTCACTAGGAAACCTTGAAAGCAAATTTTTAAATTAAAATCTGATGAAGATCAATAATATGTGAACGAAATGTATATAGCACCGTCTATCATTCTGTATAATCGGTAAAATATCGTGTTTTTACGACCTAGCAAACGTTCTGTACATTTCACGTGTATGTACCACAACTCGTGGTATAGGAGTTGGATGTTTCTATCGAAATTATGACTAATCTATCTCCGCCATGGTGTGTTTAAATTTAAACGAAAGGGGGAAAATGTGATAACGATGAAGCATTATTATGTTTATGTTTATTTTTATTTAACCTATTCGTCCAGTCAATAGCGTTAGAAAGTCATTTTCACTTTTGAAAATGGACCCTGCGAGACAAGACATTAAAGATGGATCTCTTAGTAGTAATAATGAATTAGTTATAGCTAACAATAATCAACTTTCGTTTTTGTATCATTTTGGGACAAAAGCTGTTATTTTTACTGGCATAGCAGGTCTGGTTGACATTTTTGGTATACCAGCAGCACTCAGTTGCTTTGACTTTTCATCGATTGGTGTAACAGCCGGTCCGTGAGCTACTGCGTGGTAATCCGTTCATCCCAGACCAATGATTTCGGAGGACGGATACTGTAAGAACCGGCCAGAAAGATGCGGAGAAATCACGGTATCTGACCGAAAAGCACGGGGAAGCGCTGGAAAGTGGAAGCAGTATTCCTGTCGTGAGTTGCCGGATTTTTTTCTGTTGTATTCCTGTCAACTTCCAGCCGGATATCACAGGAAGCTGACTGGAATCCGTAGGAAAATAATCCGGCAACTCCCGACCGAAATAGTGCTTCCACTTTCCAGCGCTTTCTCGTGCTTTCCGGCCGTACCTCCACGACCTGGGATGTTTTCCTAGTATTTTTGGTATAGTGCAAAGTGTGACAGCAACGGGTATGATTAAAGGATTTATCGCCACTTTCACAGCAGGCGGTGTATTGACTGAAGTTTTGCTGGATGGAAAGAAAAATGCAACTGAAGCAAAAATCGATGATATGGAACCCGTGGAAACGAAACTTTCATAGTGATCTCCTACGCATCAGATGGTGCACGAATATTAACTATACTGATTGATACAGTCGGTAATTCGAAAAAATATTAATTGTATGGCTAACAGTATGATTTAGTTTTTATTTAGCTTTTATGTTCGATGAACAATATATGGTGTGATCTTTATGATGTATGAAAAAAGGGAAATTGTACAATAGTATCATATAGCATCAATAAGTTTAATCTCTCGCAATACAACAGAATTTTATTTCACTGAAATTGATCATCAAAAAGTAATGAAAAAGATTCTGAAACTTGGCTTAGTGACTTTTTCATTTTTGAGATATTAACCGATGCATTTTTTTGAAAATATTTTCTATGTTGACATGTTCCAAGTGGAGATCCGCACAGAATATGAAAATATTTTCTCTTCATCAGACGTTCTATTGTTTTTCTTGACTCAGCGAATCTCAAAACTATGTTCAATTTTCTTCTCGTGTTCTGATGAAATTTACTTTACATTTTAATTTATAATTTCATGGATAAACATATAGTGCTATATTTGCTTATTTCAGTGGCACAGGAGGAATTCCCAAATATCAGATACATGTGATATACATGTATTGAGAGATTCATAGTATAATGTACCTCAACTTTGATTAATCTATCTGCTAATATTTTCTGACTTCTTCATCGCGAAAGAAATCTTTTATTTTTAAACAATCTTATATCTTTCAAATGTTATTGATCATAGATGCATGCAACAAAGAAATGAGCAACAGGAAATACAAGGTGACAGTACGGAAGAAAAAGACAGCACGGTATGAAAGGTTGTTTACAATATACTTTTAGAAGAAGAAAACATAATTCAATCAATAGATGGCTCAAAGAAGAATAAAAACCGCTAGTGAAATGCAAAGATTTTACAGAGTGGATTGTAACTCCTGAAGTTCGATCTCAATAGATATTGTGGAAATTCATTTACGCGTCATTGATAAGCATTCTGTATGAAATCTGTGAGACGTGGCCGGATTCCAGGAGTTCAGAACTCATCAAGAACCCTGAACTCTTCAAACCATTATCTGATAGAGATTTCGAACGTATTGCGTTTGATGGAACCCTTCAAACTCTTAGAACCCTTACTCTTGGAACTTCTAGAACTCTTAGAATCCTTGGAAGTTTTGAAACCCTAGCAGCTCTGGGACGTTTTCCAGATACTTATATGGATCGAGGTGGGCCATGTGTTCTCGAGAAGTACTGAATTTTGAGGCGCCATCGAAAGGTATTTGGTTGATGCAGTGTCTGAACTATCGAACTAAATTGAGTTTTGAGAAACGAAAGTTGCGAACTAACTGCTAGAAGCTTTTTTTGCTAGCATATGCGAGTTGAAAAGTGAGAAAACGGTGTTTGTCTGAAAAGTTGCGCATGAACCACACGCTAGCGCTCAGTCCATTTCTCAACAGTGTTTTTGATGAATTCACTTTATTGCTAGCACGTGGTAGCAAGCAGCTACCAAAATGTGTCTCAGTTTCATACATTTTGCTCAGCGTCGAGATATTCCATGTACTTTTACAATTCCTCGTATATTTGTCTTTCATCGAAGCTCGGAGTTTGTTGGAGAACGTTATCCTGGATGTATCGCTAGCAATACAAAAACACCTACTCGCATGTTCACCACACACACACCCCACCCTCATTCACTTTTATCAAGCAGGATCCTTGAAGATCCTTTTCAGTCAATACCACTTATTTCAGTTATTTCACAGACTCTTTCCTCGAGATAGATCGGGGAGGACAGTTTAAGGTCTTTCTAGTTCATTTCCTTCTATTTGATCTTTTTTAAAGTGCCTTTTATTACATTCTATCTAGTAGAATCTTAAAAATCCTTTCCAGTCAATACCTCGTATGTGACGTATTTTGTACTATCCTTAATCTTTTTTTCGAAATAGAAGCATCCTCAAAGGGGTTTCTTGGTAAAATGCGAGGAATGAGATCTAGAAACGGCTGAAATAAGTGCTATTGAACAAGAAGGATCTTTAAGGATCCTTTTAAATGAAATGCAATGAATCGGACTTTCAAATATCTGAAATTGAAGTGTAGATCAGAACATCTTTTTGGTGAACACATCTCTCGTTGGTAAACCGTTTTTTTGCGATGAGAGAATAATCAAAATATAATTGTTTGAAGAGTTATAATATAAAAACTAAATCGAAGATTATATCTTTAAAGATTTATATTAAACTCTCGAAAAAATTCAACGATGTGAAAAATAGCGAAACTGTCACAAACATTGATATTCTTTCTGATAGTTTATCCTTTTTCAGAACACGTTGTGATTAGCGTAACCTCAACCATGACGAGTAGGGGTGGACCATTTTTTTTAACGGAACTTAATTAATGACATTAATTAATGACTTCCATTAGTCATTAATCTTAATGGTTAATGTTCTCCGAGAAAAACTTAATTCATTAATATTAATGTTAATGTTTTCATGAAAGCATTAATTTTTCCATATTACTGAAATAGGTTTTTCTACGGAAACATTATCTACAATTATTTCCGTTAACATCATTCAAGAACATTGACATTAATATTAAATTGATGTTAATGCAATTTCTGCCGGAAAGCACCGAAACTTGGCAGGAATTCGCCGGAAAAGTCCGGCCGTATTTTTGACCGGAATACTGCTTCCATGTTCCAGCGATTTCTCGTATTTTCCTGCAGAATGTGATGACTTTCCCGCATATCCCCTAAAGTATCCTACGGGATCCGGTGACCGGAATGTCCGATCTGGGATGCATGCTTTCTCATCATTAAATTGAAAATGCATTATATTTAAATTATATTTAATGCTAGATAGTTACGTTTACCTAACTCTTTATTTCTTCAAACCAACACCAACTAGAATCCCTTTTACAACTCCAACAACTCCTTTTCTCCATACATATGTTAAACCAATTAGTCAGTCTCATGACCGATAGAGATAACAGAAAGAAGATAGGTAGTAGTCAAAGATAGCGCCACTACCTAACATTTAATATGCAGAAAACGTGTGTACTACACAATGCATAATTGTGTTGAATTATCCAAGTTTTAGCAACGAGTGATTAGTCATCATTCACCAGTCTACTGATCACGAAAATGAAACCTGCGAAATCAGATATCAAAGATGGATCTCTTAGTAATAATAATAAATTAGTTACAGCTAATAATATTCAACATTCGTTTTTGTATCGTTTTGGAACAAAAGCTGCTATTTATACTGGTGGGGCAGGTCTTGTTGGTTTTTTTGGTGTGCCAGTAGTGTTTAGCTTATTTGGTTTTTATCGACTGGTATAACAGCCGGCTCGTGGGCTGCTGCGTGGCAATCCATTCATGTTTTTCCTAGTATATTCAGTTTACTACAAAGTGTGGCAGCAACAGGTATGGCAAAAGGAACTGTCATCACATTCGCAGCAGGTGGCGCAGTAACTAAAGCTTTCATAGATGCTAAGAAAAATCCAGAAGCAACGAAAACCAATGATAAAGTACGAATTCAATCGAAGCTCTAATGTTGCACTCAACGGTGTCTCATGACAAACAGGTATCAACGACATTCATTTTGAAAAACTTTAACTTCAATATAAAAGTCTTTTTAATGGTATAATTACAAGTGCTATTTTCAGGGTGGCCATATCTTCTGAAAAATAGGGAAAATTTCTGAATTTTGAACATGCTTCTGATTGTTTTCTGATTTTTCAATTTTTGATCTTGGCCACCCTGGTTATTTTGTTTTTCTTTGATTGTTATAATCGATTATTTATGTGTTTTGTGATCTTCACGGGGTGTAATAAAAAAAAAGCTTCTATTATTATCATATAGTATGAATCCGTTTAATCTCTACGAAAACAACGGAATTTTATTTCACTGAAATCAATCATCGGAAAAAAGTGATAAAGATTCTGAAACTATGCATGGGGGATTTTTCTTATGACTGCTACATTTCCTGAACAAAGTCAAATTTTCTATTTTCATATCTAATACTATCACCTGTCTGACTTTCAATTTATTAAAATTCTGATCCTATTTGAAATCTTGATTGTATTGCAGCTAATTGTGATTTATGATGGTTGTTATTCAATAATGCAGTTCAATCAAAAAGAAAATATTTTAATTCAAAGTGTTTCTTCTAAAAAAATAATTTATAACAAAAATTCAACGAATTACATGTGTTTTTCTCTTGTAAATACGCACACTTGTAATATTTACAAACTACTATACAATCCATTTGCACTAAAATGTGCACACAGGTATGCAGGATAAAAGTACGTATAGAATTATGAAAAGGAAGAAGAAGACGAAGAAAAAACATAGAAATAATAGTTGTTAACAAGAAAATCATTCGGGAAAGAAAATATATTGTTATCTGTTAAAGCTAACCACCGTTCATACAATTGGACAAGTTAAAAAAATGACCATCTAAACCAAGTTTGAGCCAAATCACTGTTTTTCCTCCTTTTTGTTTGCTTATGCACTATTGTGCTATCACCTAGAACACAAACTTATTAATAGGACATTAGGCATATTTGACACTAACATGCATCAACCACGGGATATCTATTAAAGTGATCGTCACAATGTGCTCTCTTTTTTTTCTTGCCAAATAAGTGGCGGTACTGGTACTGTTGCAGTACTTGGTGTGGACACTTGGGGTACATTAAGTTTCCTAAACAAAGCGCCGTCTTTTGTTTGTTCTATAGATTAACATAAAAGTTCTGTATAAACCTACTCATGACTAATATGATGATTATTTTCGTGCCATTTTTCTAATTCATGTAATTCTTTTAAGTCTCTGGCACTGCACGTTATCATATCGACTGGATAAGTTAAATTAAAACGTGAATAATCAATACGATATAAACCATCATCACGTTGAAATGTAATTAAACGTTCAAAACGATATCCCCACAAAATTTCCGATGGTAAATACGATGTTCGTGCTTGTGTTGTCATGCCAGTAGACTCAATAATACCTTCGAGTATAACAACTAATTCAAAACGTTGTTTTGCTAAATCGGCTCGACTAATATTAAACAATGGCGATTGTTCGTCAATAATATGCTCAATAACTAATGGCCAAATTAGAAATAAACGATCAACGCCTTTATCAAATCCAACATTCATATCATATGTATGCAATGGTAAAACTTCACCTTCTAACGTGACACGTTTTTTTATTAAATACATACGAACATGTGCTTCAACAATATGTGATTTACGCATATCCCCGACACGGCATTGTAATGTGATTTGTCCGTCACGCAAACATATAACTGCTTCGCGTGACCATATTAATGTTTCTGTACGTTTTTTTGGTCGTGAAATTTTTGCAAAAACAACACCGACCATAAACGATTGTAATAAAACACCTATGCTAGATTGTACCATCATAACAACAATAGCAAAATAGCATGTTTCTTTAACGACACGCGTACCGTAGCCAATTGTTTGTTGAGTTTCAATTGAGAAAAGTATTGCACCAGCAAACGAATGTACACCAGCTATGCAAACGGTATAATTCGCTGAGTTATAGTTATTTGGATGTAAATCTCCATGTATATACATAAGAAAATACCATATCAAAGCGAATACTAACCAACTCAAACAAAAGCCAAGTGTAAATAAAAATAACGTATAACGCCATTTTAAATCGATTAATGTTGTGAAAATATCTGCAAGATATTGACGACGACGCTTTTCGATATTGAATCTAATTTAATAGAAGCATAGTTTAAAGATTTTGTTTGTAACCTTCGTTTTATTCAATCTTCTATTTGATTAAAAAAATGATTTCTTTTTGTTCTATAAGATTATTCAATTTATCAATGAAATTAAGTCGTTCTCGAGAACGTGCATATTCGATTTCAGTCAATGAGAGATATTCGCAAGCGAGTTTTGTAAGGAAAACGTTTTTTTCAATAAATACTAGAAATTTTCTTAAGTGGCCATTTCCTTTGATTTAAAGAATATTTTAACTGTCAAGAGAAAAAAATTCGATTGCAGTTTCTTGGCAGACATAGTTGCTCAGAAAATAGAACAGATTTATACGACGTAATTTTGTCTCATTAGGATCACTCTGTTTTCTATCGTTTCATCGATCGATCGACTAATTGACATTGAGAAGAAGAAGAATGTCATCAAAGAAACGGAAAGAAATTTAAGTACTACTTATTTTAAAATAAAAATAATTTGTTTTTCTTGAATAAAAGCAATTTTTACTGATTGCTATAATAGTTAGTTTTATTTTGTTATTTGTGGAAAACTATTTAGGAAAATATTGTTGAGTAAATAGCTATAATATTTGTTCAATATTACCAAGGAATTAATTTTATTACGTCAATAGATAATTATTTATTTGAACCAAAATATTAAATAAAAAAAACAAGAATTCAGAATGGCAAATTAACTTTTCATAGGCGTGTAAACTATAGCGATACAGGCTAGAAATAGATTGCAAAAAGAATGATACACTTTTATACAATATTTAAATCCCTATCGATGTCGTTCCTACTCGAGCGAATGAAAAGCATTCACACGCACACCAAACGGCAAAAGAAAAATTTTGTTTTTCAATAAATAGTGGATTAAATAAGATTTATTGTTTGTGTTTTGTAACAGAAAAAAAACTATTTGAACATTTGATTAATGACTTTCGATCTCTTGGACAATAACTATTCTATTAAACTATAGGAAATTCTTTTATAGTTTATGGTTAATTGTTTTCTTTTGTTTTACGACTTAATTGTCGATTTTCAAGCATTGTAAACACTTTTATCGTGTTTTGATTCATATATTTATGTGTTTATAAGTAATGAACCATATTGTAGAAAAGCTCATATTATTTTTATTCCTCTTTTCTTTCTAACCATACATGTATATTGCTTAGAGCAATTTTCTATTTCTTCTTCTTCTTCTGCTTATCAGAATAACAATGAATAGCAATTAATGAAATACCTGGAAATGTTAACTTCACCATTTTTCAGTAAAAGTCGACGTTGATGATTTGTACGATTTGTTGATTTATTATGAATGAAATCTTTTGCAGATTGATCTGGATTTTTATTACAATCATTCGATACACTACCATCGCCTAATAGGCGTAAGGCTTTTGTACCTTTCGTTGTACATTGTAGCCTATAAATAGAGATGAAAATTTCAAAAGAAAATTACTCGAGAAAATGCTTGTTACTAAATTTATATTTTATAGAAAATAGAAAGTAATGGAATAATTTCAACATTAAATAACAACATATTAAAAAGTAGTCATTATCTTTCACTTTTACTGAGCAAAAAGAAAACGCAAAAAAATAGATATTCTGTTTATGAAAAATATATTTCTTTGAAGAGTTTTGTTTTTCTCGCAGTTCACTTGTACGTAACTACTAATGTTTTAAAACGGAAGTTAATCTTCTTTAGAATATTTGCATATAGTAAAATCGATTCTAAAACAAATGTTAATTGTTACCTGGTCAATATACGAGGTGAACTATATACATAACCATTTTCTTTTATTGATTTGGTTGGTTTTTCAGTAGATCTCATAGAGTCATCAAGAGCAGAGATTTCAGTTATTGGAGATGCTGGTTCATCGTCATTTGTTGTTGCAGTAGCATTAGTTTCAGTACTAAATAGTCTGTCTAATGTCAATAGACGATCACGAGACATTTTAAGAAAATGGTGAGATTTTCGATGCTGTTGTGATTGTTTAGGAATTGAATCGGTCGATATTTTATCGTCACTAGGTGATCGATTACGTTTATGCCAAGGAACAGGTAATGATATAGCGCTTAATTTTCGACGAATATTCAACGATGAGTCCTTTATGGACGATGTTGGAGTATGTGAAACTGCAACTGACTGTTTTCGATGTGAATCAGCATTTACATAACAAAAATAATTGGTATTAGGTGTTGGAGATGATGAACATAACACGTTCGATGAATTGTCGCACAAAGTTATTTCCAAATTGAAGTTGCTTTGGCAGTGTTTAATTTTCGTCTCCTTCTCTTGAGCCACGCACAGATGGCTTGGCGATGCCATGGGCCGAAAAAAAAGTTGCGCTGATCCTACAATGGCAACTTGGGATAGAATTTACATTCGAACACGTCAAAACACACTCCGCTAAAATATGAGTCTTGTTCAATAAATGTCATATGCTCGCCTGTTTTTTATTTTTCTCATACTCTTCCTCCCTCTCCCTCTCTCTCTCTCTCTCTCTGTCTCTCTCTCTCGCACGCGCGCGTTTTTGGCACAAGTTCACAGACACTATCTATGCCAATCTGTGAGGAATAACCTCACGAGCAAGAATCAACAAAGGTTTTTTCTTTGCTCGCAGAAAAGATGAACATTAATTTAGTTAAATGGATCTCTCGTTCCTAACGCGCTATACGGCAGCTGCTTCGCATATACAAAAGCGCGCACACCCTGATACTTTCTTTTTTCTATTTCTTCTTTCTCTTATTCGACGCTTTGAAAATCAGTTTCATTCTCGCCGACTTCCTGACTTTGTTTTCTGCTTCTCACTCGATCGGTTTCTGTAAAAACAATATTCGACATAACAGATTATAACAATGATTATCACGAGTTCTTTGTTTCTTGGGGTGGTTCTTTTGAAAAAAGAAAAAAGAAATTTCTCCAGAATAATTATTTGCATTTTGAATTTAGGAATCTCCATCAACTTTCTCTTTTATTCACGTATCCTCAAGTTATCCTTCGAGCTTTCTATCGATAGAAACACGTGCATTCTTTTATTATACGAGTATTTCAAGAATAGTTAAATGTTATTTTTTCCTAACCTCTTCTTCCATCAGAATTCAATCGATTTTTTTTTTCTTTCTGATAAAGATCAGATCTATAGAGAAATATGATCTGCGCGTCTTTATTTCGTCAATATAGACAAGAAATACTAAGCCTTGTTAAATTTTATTTCAAGAGAAAATAAACGAATGTTTGCTCACTAGTTTCACTAATTGAACTTGAAAAAATAAGAATTACGAGAAAAGAACTTTGCATAGTTAACCATGTGTTATAACAGGCGTGCGCGCCGAAGGTTTCTTCTCTCTATATACATGCATATATACTAGTCCAATGAAAAACAAAAAAAATTAATTCAATTGATTCATTATTACGTGGGCAAATAGCCTCGTTTATACACAATATTTGTTATTTTTTAATTAAACTTGATTGTATATCAAAAATAACAACCAACACGAATAATATACTATTATTGTTGTTGTCGTTCCAAAAAAAGAAGAAAAAAATGAGCCCGTTTACCTTATGTTGTTAATATGTATATATGTATGTCTATCTGTCGATCTGTCTAGTTTTCTACTAAGAAAAAACAACACAAGTCGGTTTTGTGTAACTATTATGCTATTGATAGACAGTCTTCTCGAAATACTATTTCTCAATTGAATATAACTGTAGAGAATAAAACGAGAAAATTAAATAGATATTCTATTAGTTGTATGCAAATTCAAAATCCCCGATGAATAAAATAGAAAAGTCTATAAATGTGAATTGAAAACATTAAAGCTTATATAGTCAAATAGAATTAGTATTGTTGATTATTCACGCATATAATAGTATTATTAATATTTTTTTTTTAAAATAGAACAAAATATTCTCATGATAATTACCTAAAATATTGATTCATTATTGTACGTTTTGGTAATCAATCTATAAATAGAGAGAAAGATATGGATTAGAAATGATCACAAATGAATTTGTATATTTTGACGTATTAAATATACGTAAAGTCTTCTTATAGCCAGTTAAAGATAATGTCGATATATAGGTTTTATTGCTATGGATATAGTAGAGAATTATCCTTTCTTGTCGTTCGTTGTTGACGGCACACGGATAAACGGAATTAGATTGTTTGTATGTAAGTAATAACGCACTTACAGGATGGTGGATGTTGTTGTTTTTTTTCGTCTGGTAAATAGTTATTAATAAACTATTGACAAAGAGAACAAAATCAATATTCTAAATAATGAGGCTGTTCATGATTATAAGTGAGTGCTTTTTGATTAATAATCTTTTCTAATTGATCACAATTAGACGAGCAAGTAGGATGTATATATACTTCGAGAAAAAATAGTTCCTTGTTGAGACCAGCTGTTGATATTTGGCTTGTTTCTTCCTGACTTCATCAACAGACGATTATCGATTAGTCGGAAAACAGATAAAGGTTAAATATTGGAGATCTCATCTTTCCATTAGGATTCAAACGGAGTCCATGTGGCAATAGAAACGCACAATAGAGAGAACATTTATGTGCGTAAATACTATCCGGAAAAATGTCTCTAGTGAAACAAATAAATTGCAGTCTTCTATTTTAGGTTAGAAAGATTAGTAAAAAAATAAATCAATATTATAGTATTCAATCAATTTGAAAACTAATTAAGTCTTTAGTATTTTATGGTTTCAATTAGGAAATATTTGATATCTATTAACAAACTAAACCAATGAGATTAATAATTTTGTTTGCTCAATAGAGTTGATATTATTATTATTGTTTTCGTTGTCTATTAGAATAGATTAATAAATATAACTTGCGTTTTTTTCGCTCATTCGTTTAGATATTCGGTAACGTTTATAATAATAATCGATTCATAAATCATTATGTTAACGATAAATTAGCCGATGATGATATGGAAATAGAAAATTATGAAATTTTCTAGAACGAAATATTCGACATTAAATTTATTTATTTCTATTTCTATGAAGTGATATATTTTCAGTCTATAAATAATCAGAGTTGGCAGTATGGTATGATAAGTTGTCATTTTTGTGTCACTGTACTTTATGCCATTGACAGTACTATTAGTTTAGTATTGAGAGTGCTATCAACACGAGCTAAAACAATAATGTTATGTCGGCAAAAACAACTCATCAATATGCACGTTTGTCTTTTCTATAATAATTGAATTATTCTACCCAGGCTATAAATGTAAATCAAAAAAAGACGAGCCAGCAAATTTGTTTTTGAAATTTGGAGAATATTTCGATAATGCCATAGACATGTAAGTGTTTACATAAACAAAATTTGATAGCCAACCCAACACATGTCTTGCCTGTCAACGTGATGAAAATCTTCATTTTTAAAGCATTAATCTTCGATGATCATAACGCATAAAAACTCCATTAATAATTCGCTCTCATCAGATGATTTTCGAAAGTCACGAAGCCAAATCAGTTAATTCTACTAATGCCTTATCTTCCTTTGTGCACTAGCACGAATAGAGCTCGGGGGATGAAAACGTAATTCTTACCCGATACTTTGAAAAACAAATCATAAAAATCAAAACAATGCACTGTATGATAGAAGCTTATATATAAATTGCATTGGACCTTTCAGGACTAAGATAAATAAAAAGAATTCTTAATTCGATCTAATCTCTATAAAAAAAAACCTTGTATTGTTAATAACAATTATAAACAATATAAGGCATGATTAATATTGCTACTGATAAGATGAATTGATAAGACTGTAAAGAAAAAGAGGATAATAAGGATTATTTTGGAGTCTCGCATAATAATAATTCATAGGTCGTTTCCATTATATATATAGTAGACATAGTGCTATTGAATTTTGTAACCAATTTTAAATTAAGAATTCAATAGTATGATTTTCGTAGAGCACCTCACAGTGAAACCAAAAATATAAAATATAAATTTTCTATATTTAATCATTTTCATTCGTCATCAAGTACGTGCTAGACTACACTTGTATATTGTCATGAAGTTTTCCTAAAAGGCAGTTCACTATTGAGTTGGATATGTTTCACAATTAAAATAGAAACGTCCATTGTCACACTTCATGATTCTTCTTTACACTAATCTATTTTCCTCTTTTTGAAAACGAACACATCAACAATAAAGTATGTAGTTACATAAACTTTGAAACTCAATTCTATGGGAACATTTTTAAAAAATGCAAATCATTCCTAGATTAGAGTCTTGTGAAATTATAGATGATTGTACAATAGAAAAAAATTGTTGGGATTAGTAGTCGTAGAATTCTTTTTGTTTTTTAGTAAGATCTATTTTCGAAGCAACGATATACAATCATCTTTCGAAGTATTTTCACAGAAACCGTGAATTGAGTATGACTTTATTGAGTGGCTGGCACCTTAATATTAACACCTGTTTTCATTTTTTTCCTTTTTATTGATAAACTTAGACAGCTCCCTTAAAATATGCTTGCAGACTTGAAGAATAGGGAGGATTGAGATTAAGAATCTGAATAGGCCAACATATTCATGAAATAATAGCACAGATAGAATCTTTTCATATTCCGATAATAAACCCTGAACGGCTGATTCTTCGAATCTCGGAGCTGGTCTAAACAAATCTAGACTAGCTTTCATTTATATCAGAAGATTTTGATGAAAAATAATAATTTAATTATAAAAATATTGAAAACTGCTGGGAATACAAGCACTAACCAATTTGTTTTGCATAGCAATCGGCCTCTCTGATCCATCTGTACGGCTCTTAATAATGTCTGCTGATATACTTAGTAAAAGAGAACCGAAATTCAAATATTTGAAACGTAAGTATAGGAAATGTGAAATATAATCGATACCATTTTGCAATCTTATATGAAAAAAAATAAATGTTAACATATTATTTATGCTTTAATATCAAGTTGAATTAGTAAAACTATGTCATATTATATGAAACAGAATAGTAACGACATCTGTTCGTAAATTTGAGTTACCTCAAGAGAGTGTGCGTGTGTGTGTGAACAGACGTTTGACAGCCAGCAAAATAGTTTTCAGATGATGAGGATATTTACAGAAACAAATAATCTCAGGTGACTGAAATATGTCTTTGGGAAGAATGTGTAGATGTAACTATGAGCGTATGCGTATGGGCAGTCAATTTCTCCTTGGTTACGCTACCGACTGCGATATTAAGACTTAAATATTATTTACTCGACGATGTTTTAAAGTGAATTGCACAGAACGCCATAGAAGTATTTTTATTTTATTTCAAGGCGAAAAAGCATTTGGCTTCAATTAATTTAATACAATCTTCTCGTTATGATTTTATATTTTCGCTATGCTTGTTTTACTTAGCAAATAAACTTTAAAGACTTTTTTCTCATTTGATAAACACTAAATAATAATATTTATAACATCCATGACGTTTAAACATTTCTTTTTCTCGTTTTTTCTTCTAGCAGCTACACACAAAAATAACAAACGAGACCAGGAAAGAAAAAAACAAATGAAATGAGCATAAATTTCTTTTTACCGTTGATTAATCTGATTGAAAAGAGAGAGAAAAAACGATTTTCACATGTGTTCTGACAAACTACGATGGGTTGCAAGCAGTGTAAAATTTGGTTAACAAAGCATGAAAATCAGAACAATCATTTAACCACTGTCAACACTAGCCAAAACTCCAGTTCAAGTTCGAATCATGAACAACCAGTTTCTCTGTCAAATCAACCTAATAGTCAAAAAACAACACATCGAGAAGAAAAATGTACATCATTAGATAATTTACCAGTTGAACTCGTCTATCATCTATTAGATCGATTGGATACCGATACGATTTTTACATCTCTTTATAATGTTTGTCCTCGGCTCAACTCAATTATTCATCAATATGATAAATTTGAATTAAAATTAATCTCAATTTCCATGTCTCATTTTCATCATATTTGTTCATTGATACGTCCTGAACAAATTCGTTCTTTAACATTATCCGATGGAAATGATAATGTTGGTTTAGTTAGAATTTTTCTTAAAAAATTTCGTATGGAATCATTTAAACGGCTTCATTCTTTAACACTTGTAAATATTAACCATAACGAATACATGATAAAAATATTTCTTTCAATGACAGATCAACTTAGAAAACTTTCAATATTAAATTCAAGTGAAATTTACAATGACACTATTATCGATATTCTAATGACGAGTTGCGGAAAAAAATCTTTAGAAAAAATTTCTTTACACATTGAAAAAAATCGTTTTCTAAGCCCGACAATTATTTGGCCAGATAAATGTTTTCTAAAAGAAATAAAACTAGCTGGAATTTGTAGTCTCGCATTGTTCAGAAATATTCTTCTACAGTCACCAAATTTAAAAAAATTTCAAGCCTATGATATTGATATCGATGATGAATGGATTGATGACGATGAAAATGAAGAGGTAGAAGAAATTAAAATACTTCCACTAGTGAATGCTTCGAATATAATTTCATTATCATTAACTTCTGCGAGAAACGAAATGGAAAAACTCGAATGGTTATTACCGCAATGTACTCAATTGAACTACTTTAAATATTTAAATATATATGATTATCATATGGAATCAATTTATGAGAGTGACTATTCATTAATAGAGGGCGAACGTTGGGAAAAAATTATTTATAACTGTAATCAATTTGAATTTATTTTTACTATTCATATTGATGATGAATCTTGGAATGTTCACCAATGTGTGAATTCATTTAAGAGAAAACTTTGGCAAGATAAAAATTGGAATATTGCGTTTGAACAATACGACAAAATTCTGTTAATTTATTCATTACCATATGCACACGATGCACATTATTACGATCGCTCGATACTATTCTCAATACCCAATAATGCGATTTTATCAATTAAATCCTTTGAAAATGTTACAAAACTACGCATTAATATGGTTACATTGAATGATTTAGGAAAAAAGGTAAGTAAAATATTTGTTTTGTTCAGATTTTGTTACTTGTCACACAATAAAAGTACTGTTATGAGCAAAAATATGTTGTAAAGCCTCATGCATGTCACTCAATTTAAGTCGGATCAATATTAGTAACAAGAATATTTTCTAACAATGAAAACTATAAAGTGACCTGAAGAAATTTGTATGAAGGTCACCAATACTTATAAAACTTCTCTACAGCGCTAGAACAGTTTTACTAGGTTTTCATTGCGACAACGACACAGTAAGTGACATGAGAAATTATGGATTGCAATCCTATCTAATGTTGAAATAACTGAGCACGAGCAAGTTTTATAAGACTCTCCTAGTTTTTCTAAATCGATTCTACGACTTGAACTTTTTAGATAATTGGTCCTCCTCGTTTCTCTAACGTTTCTCAACTTATACTCGACGGACAATGGCGAAATCCAGATACAATAGATTCTATTGGTTCACTTGTTTGTCTATCGAATATAACTAAATTAATACGCTTAGAACGTGTACCGACATCAATCTTTCGTACATTTATCTATAGTTTAATAAATCTAGAATCATTAACATTAACAACCTATGTTCTTGACAGTATGAATGCTGCTATGTTACAATATTTTAAATGTTTACATTCATTGAATATCGTACAATTCAATAATGATTATCGTCATTTTGTTAATGTAGAACCGTTTTGTGCAATGTTTCCTCAAATACGACATCTTGATATTCCAATTGATAATCTTGATAGTTGCCAATATCTTATTGAACGATTAGAAAAATATTTAATAAGTATTGTTTTTCGTTTTCCACACAATGATGACGATGACGACGACGACGACGATGATGATGATGATGATGATGATGATGAAAATGCTGAACTTATCGAGTGGGCACAAAGTTTACAACAAAATCATCAATATCGTCTACGCGATGGGGATATTTATTTATGGTTTCAATAAAAAAAAACAGAAAAAACGCTCTTCTCAATCAATTTACAAACAAAACAATTTTAGACTTACAGTCAAATAAATTTTGTGTAGATAGTTTATTATATTTTTTGTTTATAAAGAAAAATTTTATGATCTTATCTTTATTAATTTTCCTATGGCATTATAATCATCAGTTCGAAAGAAAATAACATAAAAGCAACTTACCATTTTCTATCGATTCTGTCTGTCAATATGCAACAGATTTTATGTTCGTATTTTTATTATATATAGAAAAATAATTCATCGAAAGAACACTTAATCGAGATATAATTGATTCTGCTGACTGTCAGTTCTTATCTAAATCAAAACTAACCATATCGACGACATCTTTGCAATTGAATTTAAAGCTACTAAAGAATTGTCATGACAAAATCAACATTCTTTTTGTCAACAATCGAATGAAGTCACTTGATGGAATAGTAACAATGGTATGTGTCTAATCCTTTTTTCTCCATTCGTCTATTGTTCTTTCAACGACGAATACAACCAACATTTCTGAAATAATGAGTAACAATAACATGGAAAAAACGCCCGATACTATTGATCAGAAAGATATGGTTGTAATAAATTCTACTCGAGTATCTTCAGCATCATCAAAAATAAAATCTAAAACAATGTCTCGTTTTTGTACATCAATCGATGATGATCCGCTCATCTTACTCAATATTGGTGGTACACATATGACAACAAGACGATCAACATTAGTGCGTATTCCAAATACGGCACTTGCTCTGGCGTGTGTTACTCCATGGTCAGAAAGCATAACGCGTGATGTTGATGGACGTTTATTTTTTGATTTGGATCCAAATTTATTTCAATATTTATTAAATCAACTACGTGATTGGTCATCGTCACATAAAGTATTCGATTTACCAAAGGATCGATTTGAACGAGAGCGATTTCGTTCACTTTGTATTAAACTTAATTTTGAGTCAAGTTTTATTGATGGAATTTATCGACATGAAAAATTTAATAAAATATGCGGACATGTTGTACTTGATGATAAAGGTCTTTTAGCAAGACATGCTGGTACATATCGATACGCGGAATGTCGTGGAATGAATGTTTATTCGTCTGGTATTAATCGTATAGCATTAACATTGAAACATCAAGCTATGGATAAATATAATACATTTATTGGTATTGTATGGTCAGGTAGTCCTATGCAAGAGAGTTCATTTGAATTACCAACAGCCTATGGATGGACTGGACAAAAACAAGTTTATTTAAAAGGTATACCATCACCGATACAATGCTATGGTGGTTATGATTCTGATATGTGTACAAACGATAAAGTTGATTTAATATTGAATTGTCAATTAGGTTTAATTTCTTTATTTAATCATCGGACAAGAAAAAATTATGAAATACAAGTTGATATCATAGAAGGTTGTCCACTACCTTGGCAATTACATATTAATCTATATGGACCTGATGATCGAGTTAAAATATCTAATCCACCATAGTAGAAGTTTTTTTAGTTTTTTACCACTAAGATTAATTTAAATAAAAATTTTATACGCTAAGACTTCTATTATTTGTGCAAGCATGTGAATGATATCTTGAAAAATCGTTCACAACATTCTATGGTACTTTTGCGAAATTAGTTGTTAGTTCTCATTCGAATATTTGAGTTCTATATACTGGCTTCTCCAATCGCTGTAAATCTATTGATCGCTGTGATAGAATTTTTTTGTTTAATTGTTTAGCAGGCTCAATTTAAAGTTGAAGTTTTCAAGGATAGTATGTGCTAATGCTATGCATTTATGGAGATTTTAAGCGATTTAGCCAACAAGATTAACGTTTACTGTGAAACTATTTGCAAGTCGGTAGTATTGAAAATAGCTACATTCTTTTCATATTACTTTTCTTAGTTTCAGATATATAAAATTTTACTATTAAAATTCATAAGCTGATTCTTGTTTCGATAAAAAAGTTATGAGTGACTTTCATTTCTCGCTCAATGTTCTTTCGAGGATGCAAATCAATCGTGGCTTTTAGCGCCATGACGGATGTTGATCAGGTTGACTATGACGATTTTTTCTCAGTTTCCTCAGTGTTGTATTTGTTAGCCAAGTAGACGTTTCGAGCTCTACCTGTAGTGGTAGTCTGAAGCATGGAATCCCTCATTGCACAGGAGCCAGGGCTTCACGTGAAAGTTCTATTACTTTCTATTGTATTGAAACCTGGCGTTTAGTAGGAGTGAAAGATTCCGTATTAACCAAGGTTTTTACAGAAACAATAATAGCTTCAGAAAATGATACTGAGCTATAGAACCTTTTTAAGGTTCAGCATGACATCGTTTGGTTTTTGAAAAGTACACACCCACCCTTAATTTTTTTTCTGCGTCCATAATCAATGCATTTTTTATCACGTTCTCAGCTGATCAACGTTATTTCAAAACATTCATCATGACACAAATGACAAAAAAAGTTCCACATTTCGCACTAGATTTCTTGACACGGGCCCAACAACACGCCAACGTTTTTATCATTATAATTAGCTCCGATCATATCCATTACGTTATCGCTGTTGAAATGACCGACTACGATCGAATTGGCAGATCGGCCCGTCTGAAACGTCGTTTGCAATTCAAAAGTTCCACTGCCATTCGAAAGAAGCATACTCACAGTATTATCAACGCGATTGACTGAGCGTGGGTGTGGGGTGTGGGGTGAGGTGAATAAATTATGAGTTTAGCTAATGAACAGAAAGACGCCCACGCTCTCATGAAAGGAGTGCTAGCGTGAGCTTTGAAGATCTAGGATTTTTAATTTTGTTGAACGTATGCGGCAGATGATATTCAAGGCTTGAAGATCCAACGATCAATCTTTCAAGCTCAAAAGAGCATAATAAATTATACCTGTTTTTCTCACTGTGTTGTTGGCAGATTTGAGTCCAAAAACAGAACCAAGAATAGTTACTGCAAAGCAAGCAGCTATCAATAAACATATTGTAATCAAGAATTTTTTCTTCAGATACAAGCGATATCTTGATAATAGAATCAATAGTTCTATGAATAATACACTTAGAGAAAAAAAAAGGTGAAACTTACTCTTATTTTGGATAAAGAGGTGCATCGAAGGAAAGACATACTTCAATTCAAAATAAATGATTAAAAATATACAAAATACCTGACAATGGGGGCTCAAACAGCATTTCATTCGGTATCTCCTGTTTCAAATGAAGCATATGAAGATCAAAAGTCGGGTTCAATGTTAATATGACTGTCATGTATGTTCCGGGCAGTATTAGAATTTCATCCTCAGTTTCATAATTTCAATGAGCGCATATATTTCTTCCATTCAGTACTTCAATATTGAAGATTGTTCTCTCATCCACAATACCCAGATTAGACATCGTTTTCTAGCACAGACGCTTTTTTGTGCATGATGAGAAAGTATATCACATCACTGTGATTCCTGGGATAAGCTGTTCACTAATATTTTCTCGCACCCCACGCCAGACGACTCGCAAAGGCTCGCACGGTATTTTGGCCAAACCGATCAGGAACAGTTTGAGATATCTGAACCACGGCCGTAACCGTTCACGATTAGCTGCCCGAAGAATGTCATTGAGAAGCGCATACAGACTTTGACCTGCAGTTCATTCCATCGTGTAGAGATGAACCGCAGCTGATTCAGCAGGAGTTAGGTTATTAGCTGGCTGGTTTAGCGTACTTTCAACGGCAATCGAAACATATCCAAACACATCTGGCACAGGGTGTGTGGGTGTGAGTCTTAAAGTAGTCCTTCACACCCATACACAGAATAATCAAACTAAAGGTACTAACCCGTTTCTGAGTGTTCTTGTTGAATTATAAAAATAATAACTGTTTGATCGAATAAATACTGCAAGTGAGATAAGTTTGATAGACTTATCTGTGATAGAAAACAACTCTTTCATGTCATGTTTTGTTCATTTTCTACGATTCTTTTGTCAAAATCTAATTATCTGTAGACTCCTTCAAAAAAACAAAAAATGATGTAACTCATAGTGATATTATGTGTAAAAATAAAAAGGTAGAATTTTGTTTTTTCTACAAACTTCAATAACATCAGCTGATATATTGATAGCGGTGATATTCATGTAGATGTCGACAATATAGAATACTTTGAAATTTGTTCTCAGGGGTTACATTTTATACAATGCAAAATAGGACAATCGAAATATTTTTTAGTGATGAATCGAATGATTTGCTGTAGCTTAACTTGACAATATTCTTTTAAATATAATCTTCAGATAGTCTAATCATGAGTTAGCGATGCTGCAAGACCGTTACTTTATATGCCTAGTCTACAATGATATAAAATATCGTTCATTAATATTTCTGTTGCATTCTCGACTTGTACACTAGATCTACTGATACACAATCTAGTCGATTTATTTTATGCCCAACAATTATACATAACATCAAATCGATTGGTAATTTTTGTATAGAAACTTGCATGTTTGGAAAAAGAAAACATTGAACAAAGGAACTGTTCATAGGGTGATCTGATTTACGATTCTATGTGTATCTGTTGATGGCTTACTCTAGAATTAATAACGATTCTGATGATTGACACCATCAAGCAAAGGATTTTCAGCGTTGCTTCCGTCATTTAATTAAACATTCTGCAGTGACAGATATAATTCAGCTCTTCACTGCATTTTTGTTTTATTCATTACAAAGTTAATGATGATAAAGGTACTTGTCTCGTTTTTTTCTAACTAAATTTTTCTTGCTTGTTGAATCAGTACTTCATTAACAAATTTGAATAGCATGACAAGAAAAATAAAGCAATGTTCTAATCTTTTTATAATTGCAATTTTTTGCCTATTTGCACTGTAAAAAATTGTTCCAGATAATTTGATACGGATACACTCAATATCACGGTCATGTTGAAGCATAATAAAAAGTGTTTTGAGAAAATTTTCCATATAAATTGTGCAGCCATAAAATGACTAAACAAGTTTACAAAAGCTTGCGAAGTAGAGAAAAAGTTGCTCGTGAATAAAGATAGTCATAGTCAAACACTACAGCTATTCATGCAAAATTACCGAGAGTATGTTTATTGTCACAAATATTTTTAATATTGAGAAAATGGAAATAGACGGTATGCTACAGTAAAAGCATCTACCAATCATTATCCGAATAGGCAAAGCAGATCTTTCTTTATTAGCTTTCGATTGGTAAACGACGATGAGTAACATCTTATCAACAATCTTAACGATATATTAGTTTATTACAAATGTAGATTTGTATTAAGGTAAATTTGACGGAGCGATGCGACTGCTGATGTGCATCGGAGCTAGAATAGAAAATAAATCGCTATCAGTTGTAAAATGGCACTTTCTCGTATCGCCTTGCTGAAATATTACTCTCGTTCAATAAACTCATTCATACATACTATACTAAGCAATATTTTCATTAAATAGAAAAAAGATAGTTTATAATCCAAAAATTACCTTACAGGAAATGTTACTAACATCAAATAACAAGAGTCGACCACATATATATTTTTTCTTAAATATTATTATTTGGCTAGACATGACTGAAGATTCAATAATTAATTATACAATCTCTGTTAAACGCAGACAACATTGGTGAATCTCTTTCCTTTTTCCTTGTTCCTCTTTATCTACAGGATGTTTTGCACTAGTGCCATAGGATGCTGGCCAAAATGTCTCTGTACAATAGTCATGGGTACATTTGGCATATTCACAATTATCGCAACTTTTATTGGAGTACTGATAGTTTGTTTCACTTCGCCTCAAACTACAGGTATACTTTTTTCGAAGATATCGAGATTATTTTATTTTATTAGTGAAGGAAAATCATAATAAAGTTCTCTAACATGAAGCAAAACATTTTTTGACGAGCACAGATTTAAGTTATGAACAAGCTGAATTTTGACGACAAATTCTCAGAAATTCTACCAAAAACAATAAGAAACATTTTCTTGATCAATATATTATAGTCTTCAAATTATTTGCATGATTTATTTTAGTTCAAAAGTGTGGACTTAAGTTCATAGCTACCTCTAAGAAGCCCATTGACTACGATTATGGTCCTCGATCTGTCGCCGTTGGTGATTTCAATAATGATACATGGCTAGATATGGTTGTTGCTAATCATATCGCCAATATGATTTCTATTTATTTTGGACAGGGTAATGGTACGTTTTTGATTCCAAGCCAATATTCAACTGGCAATGGATCTAGTCCGTATATGGTAGCTATTGGCGATTTCAATAAGGACATTATATTAGATATTGCAGTAGCAAATTTTGGTATCAACAGCATCAGCGTATTTCTTGGATCTGGGAATGGATCTTTCAACAAAGATATAGAAATTTCAATTGGCTCATCTCGTCCGATAGCGATAAGCCTATCAGACTTGAACCACGACACACTGCTTGATATTGTCAGTGTTAATTACGGAACCCATAGTATAGGCATACTATACGGGCATAGTAATGCAGAATTTTCTAATCCAACTACATATTGGGCAGGCTATGATTCATTTCCATCATCAGTGGTCGTTGTAGATATCAATAATGACAACTATTTAGATCTCGCCGTTGCCAACTCTGGTACGGATAATATTGGCGCTTTTTTCGGAAATCAGAAAGGCACTTTTTCTAACCAAATAATTATTTCGCACAGCGATCGTTCTCGTCCACAATCAATTGCCGCTGGTCATTTCAATGAAGATATCTACGTCGATATCGTTGTGGCTAATTATGGAAATAATGAAATTGGCGTACTTCTAAATAATGGAAACGGAACTTTTGCAAAACAAGTCAGATATTTCACTGAGTCTGCTTCTCCATATGCCGTTGGTGTTGGGAACTTCAATCAAGAGAACCGATTAGATTTACTTGCTACCAATAAAGGTACTAATAATGTGGCCTTATTTATTGGTTATGAAAATAGGACCTTCGCCAAGCCAATGATGTATTCAACAGGAGCGACTTCACCGATATCACTTGCCATAGGTGATATCAACAAAGGCAGCCGTCTGGACGCGATAGTTGTTAGCAATGACACTGGCGCCATTGATATTCTTCTTGGCTCTTTTGAGGGCTTTGAAAATCAGATGAACTATTCAACTGGGTCTTCTCCAAACTCTGTAGCCATCGGTGATTTCAATAATGATACCCGATTAGATTTGGTTATTGCTAATTTTGCTGATAATAATTTAAGTGTTCTTCTCGGAGATGGTAATGGTTATTTTGCCCATCAAATTAAATATTCAACTGGATTTTCTCCAAAATTTGTAGCTGTTGGCGATTTTAACAAAGACACTCGATTGGATATCGTTGTCGTCAATTCAGACAGTAACGATACGAGTGTCTTTCTTGGATATGGCAATGGTTCTTTCAACAACCAGAATACGTATCCAACTGGGTCTTATCCATATTCTGTAGTCGTGGGTGATTTCAACAACGACACTCTATTAGATTTGGTTACCGTTAATTTTTATGACAATAATGTGAGTGTATTTATCGGGGAAGGCAATGGTTCTTTTGGTTATCAAATTCAGTATGCAGCTGGTATTTTCCCAGCATCTATAGCGATGGGGGATTTCAACAATGATGCTAAACTGGATATTCTCGTTGTCAATTACAATAACAATGAAATGAGTGTCCTCCTTGGATATGGTAATGGCTCTTTTGCAAAGGAAACCAGATATTCAACTGATTTTATATCATGGTCTGTGGGTGTCGGTGATTTCAATAATAATAATCAATTGGATATCGTTCTCGTTAGTTTCTTTAACCAGGGCATGAGTGTACTTCTTGGATGTGGTAATGGCTCTTTTGCCAATGAAACCAGGTACTCAACTGGCTCTTCTCCATACGCTATAGCTGTTGGTGATTTGAACAACGACGCTCGACTGGATGTATCCCGTTGGCGCATAAGTTCTGAGAATTTTTTTTTCTGATTTAACAATAACTTTATTTTTCAACAAAGATATGCAACATCAATGAACAATATAATCGCCATTATTTTCAACAACATTCGCCCATCTTTCTGACAATAGTTCAATTCCACGTCTGTAGAAACTACTCGGTTTTGATTCGAAAAAGGCAGCGAGATCGAGTTTCAGCTCATCGAAGTCTTCGTAGTGTTTATTGCACAAGTAGTTACGAAGAGATAGGAACAGATGACAATCGGATGGTGCAAGGTCTGGTGACCACGGCGGGTGCGGAAGAACTTCCCATTCTAACTGTTCGATTTTTTGCTGAGTCAACTGTGCCACATGAGGTCGACTATTGTCATGGAGAAGGATGACGGCTTTTTGATTCGCCAAAGCCGGTCGCTTTTGACATAGAACTTCATTCAATCGCTGCAATTGTTGAGAGTAGACATTGGCGGTAATCGTTTGATTGATATATAACAGCTCGAAATAGATGACGCCTTTCATATACCACCAGATGCACAACATTATCTTCTTTGGATGCATGTCTGTTTTTATATTTGGAAATGGCTTTTGGCCAGGATCAAGCCACTGCCTCCTGCGGCACATGTTGACATAACACACCCATTTTTCATCTCCAGTGACAATTCGATCCAAAAAGTGCTTATGCTTTTGCCTGGATAGCAAAGAAGCACAAATCGATGCTTACTGAACCAAGTTGTCTTTGGATAATTGGTGTGGAACTGAACGTCCATACTTATGTACCTTACCGAGAGCATGAAGATGACGCTCCACTGTCGAGTGATGACAGTTGAATTGTTCGGCTAATTCGCGTGTTGTTTGATGTGGATCAGCGTCGAGTAAACCTTGCAACGCTTCATCGTCAAAGTCCACAGGTCGCCCGGAACGAGGTTTATCTGTCAAAGTGGCATCTTTGGAACGGAACTTGGAAAACCATCGGTAACAAGTGGAACTGCCGACCGCTTCCTCGCCATATACCGCTTGAATATTCTTTGTTGCTTCAGGTGCTGTTGAGCCTCGATCAAATTCGTAGAGCATACTGTGGCGAATATGAATGTTTTTTTTATCCATTTAATCATAAACAAGGTAACAAGGGAATAGAAGAGAATATATATAAAGCTATAACAGCATGACGTATTACAACATACGCAAAAGAAATGTTATTATGTAATAGATATATTATTGCGTAATAAGGACAGAAGCGATCAAGGTAACAGAAGCGATCAAGGTCAATTTCAATGTTTTTTTGACCTTTAGAGAACAAGAACGAATGTATAGTAGTGAGATGAAAGTAAATGGAAGAACAAAAGAAATACACATAAAACAATGGCGATTATATTGTTGATTGATGTTGCATATCTTTGTTGAAAAATAAAGTTATTGTTAAACCAGAAAAAAAAATTCTCAGAACTTATGCGCCTACAGGATACTTCGGATAGCAACGACATAAGTATACTACTTTAGCATAACAGAGGATTCTTAAAGAATGAAATGACCTACGCATCTGGTGGTGCCTCTGAATTACGATATGCAGTGACTAGTGACATAAACGATGACGGTCGACTCGATCTCATAGTTACTAATCAAGGTACTAATAGTATAGGTATTTTGTTTGGATATGGCAATGGCACTTTTCTGAGTCAACTGATTTTAAATACAGGATCCAACTCTCATCCATCGTCTATGGCCTTAGGTTATTTCAATCATGACAATCAGTTAGATGTCGCTGTGGCTTATGATGGTACGAAGAATGCAGATATTTGGCTTGCCAATGGCAAGGGAACCTTGATGCGTCAAACAAGTGATGGAGTTCGTTTTGTTTCTACCCCACTTTCTATCGCATCTAGTGATCTCAATAATGATGGACTATCAGAAATTGTAGTGGCATATAGTGACAGTGATAGTTTAGATATCTTGGTTACATACCAAAATGTTTCTTTTACCAATGGTATACGATATTCAGCTGGTTCGTCTCCAAAATCAGTAGCTTTTGGAGATTTTAACAACGATAATCGACTGGATATTGTTGTCGCCAATTCAGACAGCAACTATACGAGTGTCTTTCTTGGATATGGCAATGGCTCTTTTACTCATCAAAGAAGATATTCAACTGGTTCGTCTCCATACTCTGTGGCTGTTGGTGATTTCAATAGCGATACTCGACTGGATATCGTTATCGCCAACTATTTGAGTGATGATGTGAGTGTATTTTTTGGGGATGGTAATGGTTATTTTTCCGAAGAAACCAGATATTCAACTGGCTATCTTCCACGATCGATAGCTGTTGGCGATTTCAACAGCGATACTCGACTAGATATCGTTGTTGCCAATTCGTACAGCGATAATGTGAGCGTCTTTCTTGGAAATGGCAATGGTTCTTTTGCCAATGATACATGGTATTCAACTGGCTCGGAGCCACATTATGTCGCCGTCGGCGATTTCAACAACGACACTGAGCTGGATATCGTTGTGGTCAATTATTTTAATCATGATATGAGTGTTCTACTTGGATATGGTAATGGGTCTTTTGCAAATGAAACTAGGTATTCAACTGGTCCTCTTCCACAATGTGTAGCTGTCGGTGATTTAAATAACGACACTCGACTGGATATAGTTATCGCAAATTCTGGCAGCAATGATGCGAGTGTTCTTCTTGGACTCGTCAACATAGGATTTGTAAACGAAAGTACAATCACAACAGGTAATGGCTCGAAACCACGCTCTTTTGTCATTGGTGATTTCAATAATGATTCCCGAATGGACATCGTTGCCGCCAACTCTGGTTCTAACAACATTAGTATTTTTCTTGGGCACGAGAATTTGATTTTTCTCAATCCAACGACATATGCAACTGGCTCTAGACCTATGTCGATAGCTGCGGGTGATTTCAGTAACGATGTCCAACTCGATCTTATCGTTGTTAATTATGACTCGGAGAGTGTGAGTATTTTTCTGGGGTATGGTAATGGTTCTTTTGCAACTCAGAAAACATATTCAACAGGATCTAACTCCTATCCGTACTTCGTAACTGTTGGTGATTTTAACAACGATACCATACTAGATATTGTCGTCGCTAATCAAGGTACTAATAATTTAGGAATATTTCTTGGATATGACAAAGGCACGTTCCCAAATATGATTCTATATCCGATGGGTTATGGATCTCTCCCATTCTTTATTGTGGTTGGTGATTTTAATAATGACAGAAAGTTAGATTTCGCCGTAGCCAATAATGGTACTGATAGCTTATCGATTCTTTTACAAAAATGTTAATAAGAAACGTGCTTCGCTGTTTTAGTACGAATCTACCATATTATATTACACGTAGATCTTGAGACTGTGGCATTAGAGCATGCGATCAATGGTTGCAAATACTGATCAAATCGTATGGATAATTTTTTCTCTAAATACTGCCATTGATTATTCATGATTCATCGCAACATATTTGTTAAACTTCGCTGAGAATCTTTCATAGCATAGAAATATTCATTCAAAAATGAAACGAATTTTTTTATCAACTGTGACGTATGCATTTCTTTGTTCTTTCATATATATATATATATATATATATATATATTTCCTCTGATCTATCAATATGTATATATATTTATATATATATAGAGAGAGAATATATATTCATTTTCTCTTTTCTGCACACACACACAAGCAATGTGAACGACAACCATAAAACAAAATTTAAAAAAATTAAAACAAGAAAAAAGAAAGCGACTAAAAGTGAACGTGGTATATTGTCAAATAATCAAGATGTTTACATTTTTTCAATCCGATCATTTGACAGCAAAAAAATTATATAAAGAAGAGGACTAGGCTTTTCTTCAAAAAAAAAAGAAATAAAATGACAAAACAAATTTAGCCTATTATATATATCTATATATAAGTGGATGAAAAAGATATTTAAAAGCGTCGAAATGTTGATACAGTTGGACCTGCATTACTGCCCGAATCGCCACTACTTCGTCTAGATGAAGAAGAAGTTGTTTCTGTTGACGTTTTCCAGTTCGAACTGCTGGTAGTAGACCTAAATTGTGAAAAATGGGTCAATTATCAGTAGAATTTAACTTAGCTGTTTAATAAAATAATATCAAGCAAAAATAAAAAACATGCTGGTTAGTAGCTTGAATAAACCAAATCAATGAAAGCAAAAAAAATAGGGAGAGGGGATCAATGAAAATTAAAAAGTCAACCTTCTCATCTATGTGATAGTTATAAAAAAAAAGAGCAAATATAATAATTATAATAAATCTGATTGATGATTGAATTTGGCAAATAAATTTCTTCTTCTTTTTATTAGTCTTTTTTTTCAAAATACATATACATATCACCAAATGTTAGAAAAGAATTATAAAAAAAAATTAAAAGCTTGTTTATTTTCTATGTTATTCAACTAATTAAATCACAGTTATTATTGCACAAATTGATGTTACCTGTCCGCTGTTGGTAATCTGCTCGGTATCGAGCTACTTGGGGTACGAGACTTGCTCCCTAATGCCTAGAAAGCCAGCATACACGAACATACATAAAGAGGATGCAACAGAAAATGAATAATACATGAGAACATGCGTATTTCTATCTAGGGGACAAATCAAAACTATCTTACCGAATGATGTCCTTTTCGTTCTTTCATTTTGGCATAGAGTGCAACTAAAATATCTTTACGATCTTTGTTTGTTGCAATAGTAACAGCCGTTTGGCCATCCTGAAACGAAGTTTCGTTTTTGTTGTGTTATTTACAAATTCAAAAGAAGAAGAATTTTACATTGTCTGTTATATTAACATCACATTCAGGTCTTGTTAAAAGTAACTTAACAATAGTCAACGATCCATGTTCAACAGCACACATCAATGCTGTTGATCCATCCGTATCTTGTAAATTCACAGCAGCACCGTTTTCCAATAATAATTCAACTAAATCAGGTTTTTCATGTTGAACAGCAAGCATCAATGCTGTTTGATTGCTCTAGAAAAATTATTTTTATATGTAAAATTAAGAAAAAACAACTATATGAACATACAGCTGTTGTTTTAACATTCACATTTCCCGATTCACGAAATAGACGACGAACAACTTGTCGTTGTTCATCATTCGCTATATCAATAACTGCAGCCATCATTACAGCTAAAAATTAAATTCAAAATAAAATCTGTTCGATTTAATTCTATCAAGTATTTTCATTTACCTGTATATCCAGCATTATTTTGTAAACATACATCACATACTTTTGTATCTAATAACATAGTAACTACATGCCAATGACCATTAGTAACACAGTAATGAAGAGCCGTATTTCCCTAATTAAAAAGAAAATCAAATTTCATGTTTTCTTTGAAAAGAAAAAAAAAGAATAGCCTACATTCGCATCTTGTAGATTGACAATTCGTTCGAGTAAAAAATTTGAGAAATGTTCTTTTATACTGTTCAAATAACCGCTGACTAAACGGTCATTTACTTGTTTTTGACTCGAGATACGAAACCATTCTTGTTGAATTAATTGAAGACAATTATTCTAAGGAAGAAAATCATTGAATGTAAAATTTTGAAAGCAAATATCGAATTATTTCTATGTTTACCACTTTCTTCTTATCAGCATTTTTATCGTAAAGTGATTCATTAACAATAGCACATGCAATATACATTTCTTCATCAAGTTTGAATCTATTATTGAGAGAAAAATAACATTATAGTGAGAATGATTTCGAACAAGAGTAAACTTTACTCTTCATTCATAATAGATATTGTTGACATAGGTTCAGCTGAAAGTATTCGTAAACCCGATTCATCATAGGTTGACAATGTAACTTCATATTTTTCTTCAACATCTTGTTCATCCGTTGTTTCTTGCTTTGCATGAGAACTGCTACTACTAGTAACACCACTAACTGTTGGAAATGTACGAAAACCGGTTGATGTAGCACTAATGACTGGTTGGCCAGTACCAAGTGTACGATGTGCTTCATATGTGGTTGTTTTACGTACAATCGACGGTGATACTTGAGTGACTTCTTCATGTTCGCGAATTTGGGTTCCAAGGTTGGCATGACTCGATTCACTAAGAAGAAAATATGAGCTGTCAAAACTAAATTATAAAGAATAAGTTTAAAATTTACCCTGAATGATGTCGTAGTTGACTTGAAGTTTCTGTTGATGTATCTTTTGATGAAATATTTAAATGTTCAGTATCGATATTGTAACGATGGTGGCCACCTCTATACAGAAATGATTTAATTAAGAACAAAATCAATGAATAATCGAATCTTTTCTTGTGCTTAATTAAAATTTTGTCGATACATCCTCACTAGAATTGGATGAAATCTACATTGTCTTCTTACCTATCGATAATAGTTTTAACTGTTTGTCCATCTTTTTTACGTTTAGCTTCAGTGACTGTCCATTCTTCACAATAAGAACTGTCATCTTCACTTGATGGAAGTTTTCCCGAAGTTAAATCTACATATTGTTGTGTTGTTGATGTAATTAAAGAATCGGTGCGCCATGGTTTTTCAATGGTTGATACAATTTCATATGATTCTTCAACAAGTTCTTCGGGTGATCGAGATCGAATATCTTCTTGTTTTTTAATGTCTACTGTTGATTTCTTTGTATTACTACCGAATGTTCTTGACCATTCAGTAAATTCACTTTTCATAGTTGTTGTACTCGAATCATCATGTTTTATTTGGCTTCGTATTTCTTCAGTTTTGTCAGTGGTTCGTGGTTTTTCTTTTGTTACAACAGCTTCATAGGTTTCTTCTGTTGTTGTTTCTTGCGATTGTCTTGGTACACGGAACGTAATTATTTCCTGTCGTTGTTCTTCGATTGTGTCTTCACGTTGTTTTAATAATGGTCGTTCAATATAGCCGACTTCACGTTTTGTGTCACGTAAATCAGTTTGAAATCCACACTCCAATGTTATTCGTTGACCATGTAGTGATGGACGTCGCCCATGTAAAGTATTCCATGTAAATTCTTGATGTTCAACGTATTCTTTTTCATGTTCTTCATCACCAATACGTACATCAAAATCGCCAACATCTTTTGAATACATTATTTTTGGTTCTGTATTAATAGCAAGATCACATAATTGTTGTCGTTCAGTTACAGTCGAACGATCAGTTGAACGTTTCGGTTCCGTGTTCGATACACTATGTCGTAGATGTCCTAACTGATGAAATACATTCACATCAATTGATGTTGTACTATGTTTGACTGCTGGCGGTTGTTGAACAGCCTAGACACACGAAAAGAAAAGAAAAATTTCAATTTTCGACTCTATCTTGTTCATACGAATAACTTACTTGTACACTTATATGTCGTTGTTCGGCTGGTGGAAATGTGTTTGATGATGCATCATGTTGTAGAGTAGGCGTGGATTGTGTTTGTGCATGAATTTGTACTGTTTGCACAATAGGTGCTGTTGCCGAAAAATTATCACGTGTTGATATTAATGTACGTGTGTCAGTTGAAATATGACGCGAAAGTAATTCACGAGGAAAATCAAGTCCACAAGCACGATCATTGAGTATTCTAAGGCACGATGTATCTGTTGACATGTCACATCCACGTTTGGTTTCATCAGCTCCACAGGCCGTATCTTTCTGTATGATTAAATTACGTGTGTCGGTCGCAGCTGGACGCATTGATGGTCTAGGTGGAGGTTTAGGTGGTTCGCTAGAAAATAAGCAGATATGTATATAATTAATTATTGATAAGAAAAAATTCTGTAAAGAAACATCATTAGAATAATTGATAAGGCACACTCCATATGGTGTTATTTGATTCTATTATATTTGCCCCGAGACTTTCATTTAATGAAAATAACAACTGTTAATTTTGTTATTTTAGTAGAAAATAAATGTTGGATCTGTCAGAAAGAATAGATAGAAAAAAAAACAACAAAGAAATGCAATGATATGACCTTTGTTGTCTTCTTATAAACAGAGTAAATTATTTTTTTTATCTACTCAGCAATTTTGTTAGACATACAAATATATTATTTGAGATAATTACTAAATGATTTCTTAGAGAACTTACATTGTATTAGCAAAAACTCCGAATTCTCTTGTTTGTACAATATTTGTATTCGATGATTGATCATGTTTTTGTATGGGTTCAGGTACAAACATAATAGCGACATCACGTTGACGTATTTCAGGTTTAAAATCAAAATTAACATGAGTACCAACATCACGATAATGCTTATCAGATGCAGTACCAATAGACACACCTATTGACACATCACGTTTCATTGGTACGTCCGGTATAACTTCCATTGATACATCACATTGTTGAATTAAATCATTTCTATTACATTGAACATTAACATCACGATGTGCAACCGGACCAGGTAATGTTGGTTGAAGATGACAAGTTAATGCGACATCTCGAACTAAATATACATATATAGCGAATAAAAAACTATGAGAGATTAACAAGTTTATATCAATTATGTAATGTTCCTATAAAATTATACTTTTCAAAAAAAAAAAAAGAAGTTCTTTTTACCTGATCGAAATGTATCAGTAACAAGTGCTCGATCTTGCATAGTTGGCTGACATTGTGTATTAACATGCCGTTGAGATTTCGGTTCACTTAAACGTTCAATATCTTTTTCTTGTTCATGTATACGATCTTCAAGATAATGTATACGTTCTGTATAGAAATTTTTAATTTCTTCTAATTTTCTTCGAACAATTTCAGTTTGTTTTTCATCATCATCGTATTCAGTTCTATGACTTATAGCGACATCGCGCTGTTGCCGTTGTTTAGGTGGCAATGGTGGTGGTTTTTCATCTTCAACAATATGTTGCATTGCAACCTCACGTGTTGCAGGTTTTGGTGGTGGTAAATTCTGAGTGTGAATTTTTTCAATATGTTCATGATCAGTTATAACACTAACTGATGTAGATTTCTGTTCAGGAACTTTCACAACTAATAAAAATTTTGTATTGTATAGAAAAAAAATGTATTTTCTTGTCTTATTTCAAAATTTTACCTGGTTTATGTTTATATCGATCAATTTCTTTTAGGAGAATTTCTTTTTCAGTTAATAATGTTTTACGTTCTTGTTCAAGGCGTTCAATTTCACGATTGCGACGTTCAATTTCTGTTTTATCTGTTATTGTAACAACAGTCGTTTTTCTCGCTTCATGAACATGTACAATCGGTTTAGGCGGAACAGTTATTTCAGTTATATACAATGGTTTCAATGGTTCATGTTCATCCGGTTCGGGACTCGATACACGAAGTGTTGTTTCAGTTGAAAGTGAACTTGTACTACTCGATCGTGAGAATGGTGGTGGAGGAATTTTATATAGCATTGTTATTGGCCCACCGCCAGCGGTGTTGATTTTACGTAATGAACTCATTGTATCAGTTGAGATTACATTAAGTCGTGGCGCTGAACGTGTTCTTGTTGTTATAGTTGTTTCCAATTGTGTACGACGTTCATAGAGACGTTGCTCTTCGGCTGTATGTGTTGATGATGAAGTATGAATACCTGTGGGTAGACCAGTTGATGACGATGTTGGAGGTCGAGGTGGTGGTCGAAGATGTCGACGAGAATCAACCGAACGTGAACGTTGATGATTTACATGTCCTGAACGATTCGATTGTGTACGTTGATTAGCGTGACGATGACATTCAGCTTCTAATTCTTTAATATCTTTTTCAACGATACGATCGAGTTCAAGAAGTGTTTCACGTAGAATTTGATTATCAAATGATGACGACGAATTTGTTGTGTTCATTTGTTGTGTACATGTTTGAATAGGAATCGTCTGATTTGGCTTTAAAATAAGAATAGAAAAAAAAGAAAACTAAACGTTGAATCATAAAATTATATTTCGATAAGTGACAACCGAAAATAAAAAAGGGCAACTCAATTTTTTTTCAATTGACTCACAAGCCTTGTATCAAGCCAATTAATAGTAGAGAAATATTGTTGTTTAATACAGCTTTGTGCATACGGAGATGATAATAAGATAATATCATAAACGGTTGCATCTAACATTGGATTATGAGTTGCAACTGATGATGTTGGAGAAGAACCACTCATAAAATAATCTTCATAGAGTAACATCTTCTCTGTTAAGCGATTTTATCGTTCTTTCTCTTCTTTTATACGTTATACGTGGTAAAAAAGAAGAAGAAATGAACGGTACAATTCTCCGTTTGTCGTCTACTTATTATTTCTGTGAACAAAAGCGAAAAGGATGGATGGGTCACAGATTGTTACAAGGTAAACGCAAAAATTTTGTTTAATTTAACATAAATTATTGAACCCTGACAAACTAACGAGCACATATGTAAGACCAAGGATAATAAGCGTGAAAATAGGTTCTCTTTATATTCAATATAACATCTTCCATCACTCTTTTTTTTCTTTTTAGTTAAATAATGACATAGGTGTGTCGATACAAGCGCATGTATATTCATATATATATATATATATATGCATGCGTGTATCTCAGCATTGTCTAGAAATGTGTTAATTTATAAGAAAAAGAACTATACCTGTTCATTGATTAGACGAAGACGTACGTCATGCCGTTTCTGTTCAATTTTTTTCAATGTACGTAAAACATCAGGTCCATACATGTCGTCGAGAAACTTCATGAAGTCCGTGTCCAGATGATAGCCATAGGGACAGCATGAACAACGGAAATCAGTCATGCTTGTTTCAAGATCACTGACACCGGACTCCGACGTCGTCTCTAAATACGAAAGACAATCATTTAAGAAAGTGAAAGACGAGACAACCATGTAATTACAACTGTCATTTCACTCTCACCGCCTCTTTTCTTTTCTTTATTCATTAGTACAAAACCCATAGAGCAAATATAATACAATGACGTTCATGAGTTATATTGATAGGCAAAAAACCACCACCATTGGGATTTAAATATTATCTGTCAATATGACATAGTATCCGTGACTTTTTCTCCGTTTTTTTTATTGTTGCTCTGACCGTGAAATGCATATATGAAAGAAAAGAACGCGGTAGTCAGAAGAAGAAAAAACCATATATTTAGATTATTGATGAGGCTCATTTTTCATTAGTTGCGAAAGAGACAATAGCAAATAGAAATCAACGATATTCACATAATTTAATCAGAAGTCTAATTCTTTAACATTGAAAGAAGAAAAAGAAAACAATAAAAGAATCTTTTCATAACTATTTATTCATATGAAAGGGACAAATTGACTGAAAATCGTTTTTTAAGTATACAATAAAAAATGAATTTCTCATTAGACTTGTTTGTGTTCAATGTATAATACAAACTACATATAGTGTGCATGTATACGCACTACACATGCAGAGGCGAAAGGAAAGGATACTTATTAAAGAGAAGTTTCTTTTCAATTAAAAGCTTTGATTTTGTTCAATTACATTGGCAATATAGTCCAATGACGATGTCAAAACAACAATTTTCTTACTTCTTAGATGATGAAAATATCGACGTATATGCTGTTTAACAAGTTCCATTATCATAGGTTATAAAAAAATAGAATTATCAAAATTCTCTTGTCGCATAAGTTCTTTATATATTGGTTAATGCGTTATTTGGTGACTGCTGCCGTTGTTGATAATATTGTTGTTGTGGCTTTTTTTTTGTTCTTTTCTAGTTATATTGGTCGTGTCTCTAACTCTTGTTCTCTCTTTTAGTAGATAGATGAAGATCTGAGAACACGATGTACAATAATAACAACAACAACAACAATAACCACAGCCACAACAAAGAATTCAGTTACTATTTGCTCTTTATCAGTCGAATACGAGAGTAGTCGATGACGATGACGATAGAAAGATATCTTTCATTATCATCCTCAGTATTCGGTAAAGGGTAATAGCAGCAGGAAGAACAGAAAGTCAGAGTACGAGCTAACGTAGGTGTTCCTTTTTTTTCATAAATAAACAGAGAAATAACAGACAGATACAAGAGAAGGAGACTGACAGATAGAGAGGTTTGCGAAAGAGATAATGGGATGCTTTCTAGTATTGCCAACCGGTTAGTAAGAAAGAAAAAGAGATGGGGTATCCGTCAGTAAAAGCAAGTGTATATGATATATGTATACCGTTCAGCGCATCAATAGCAGTCAATCTTGCATGTTTACTGGACAGGCGAGGACGAAAAGGACATATTGATGGATACATCGGTCATACTATTGGGAAAATCAGCATGCATATTTGCTCTTCATGGCAGATGTACGATATTATCTCACTGAATATCCATTATGTGTAAGGAAAAAATCATTACCATTCCGAGGCAACAAAAGAAAGGCTGAACTGTATACCTATTCTTTTGAAACTAGAGTTCAAATGGAATAATTTTTTCTCTCAAAAATGAACTGCTAATAAAAATAAACACGAATTTCACTTACGAATTCTTGGAGCAAAAGAAAAAAAAGAAAATCTATTACACGTTGTCACCATGTTCATTGCTATGTGTAATATAACTGTTATCTTATGTAAAAGAAAATGTACATGATAAGAGGATTAAATTCTCTATTAATCCCCATAGCATGTTATGTCTATTGAAATGAAATATTGAAATATTAAAAAAATCTTTCCTCTGTCAATCTCGTCTTATCGATACCTACTCAACACTTCATTAGGCGCAAAGTGTTTGTCAGATGTCATAGTCAATTGATTGAAATAATTTCGCGCGTTGAATATCAATTGTTGTAGTCTCGAATAATATTCAACATTGCTCTTCTCCTGTAATGCGCGTTCTCTCTCTCTCTCTCTCTCCTCTGATGTTTGTATAATGAAGTGAAAGTGTTCTTCTTTTATTATTTCCTTCGTTTCACCACCTAAGTTTTTCAATTGTCACGTAAACTTGGAAGTTGTCGTAGTAATAGTTATGTTATGTCATTCATATTTCATACGTATGTTATTCTTCTACTTTCGTTGCAGAAAAAGGATTTCATCTTACTTTCTTTTTTAATTTTATACTGTCAAATACGATATAAACCCACTTTCTTTTTATTTCTCTCTTCAAAGGAACATAGAAATGAAACGAAAAGGAAGCCTGGAGTGAATGTAGGTGAGAGAACACAAGTGACTCTCGATGATCAAATTTATGTTTCCTTAGTTTAAGCAAGTCGTATCAAATTTTTCATTTTTTTTCGCATTGTATGAACCTCTTATTATGTCCACTTCACTTGTTCTTCTTTTGCAATATACATCGATTATTTTCTTTATATATTACTTATTCTCAAGAAGAGGCTCGAAGACAAATCATCAAATGAATCTAGAAGGTCACTAACCAAAACAGCTTGTGATAATTAAAAATTTGCAAAAAGAAAACGAAATCTGAATGACAGATGAGTCGATATTTATTTAACGATAATCTATTTGATAAGAAAAGAAAAATAAGCATAGAAATAGTGACTCGTTTATATCAAGATTTTATTGAATAGGCTATGATGAGAACTGGCTGATCAGTGTTAAGTCATAATCAAATAGAGCAGCTCTTAACTTACTTTTCTTTTACTGTTTCTTACGCGTGTGAACATATTTATCCCTATTGCATCATGGCACATCTATGACATGAGCCCATATACAAGTGATTACCACTATGTCACGATAAAAAACATATATGGATGTTCATTTTGAGCTTTCTCTTATAAATTAACACCATCTGTCTACCGAAAAAATGCGGATAGATTACTGTCGATCTTTTTCTCTTGTAATTAGATCATTAGTTCATTGGTATAAATAATAATAAATAACAGATTTTTGTTTTTTCTACTATATTACTTTACATACCGAAAGGCGATTGTAGAGTTACCATATTTTGACGATAGTAAAATAATGTGAGCAATGAAGTGAAAGCAACTATGATGATGCTTTTCGTTTCTCTTTTTTTTTCTTCTCTTTTTTATGTTATTCTATTTTATATACTTAATATGAGGGTATTATTGATCGTGTCCTCTCGATTTACTCATTAAATCCTCTGTTCATATTCGTTGTTCATATTTTTTCAATACGAACAAATATCAAAATTGACAGTTGACGATAGTGATATATGTACATATGAAATAGATATACGAGAAAGCAATTATCGTCTAAGTAAAGAAATATAGTCTAACCTTGAGCCTGTTTTCTAAATCTGATCTTCAATAATATCCTTTAAGCTTACGTGATGATTGTATGTCAACTTGTTGATGTCGTTCATTACTTAGAAAAGCTCTTCATTCCATTACAAATGATGACTGCGACGAAGTCATAGATGATCGTCTTTTCTTTTCTTTTCTTTGTCTCCCTTTCTCTCTCTCTCTCTCCCCCTCCTTCTTTCGTTCGTTCTTTGTACATTTCATCGATGGATGCTCATCAAGCCCTATAGGAGCAAACCGAATCTCATTGTAATAGATTTGTAATCAACTCATGTACTTGTGACGAATAACAACAACATTATACCCATGCATGTACATACAGCGACAAGCAGTTCTTGTTTTTATTCTTATTTCTACTAGACTTAACATTCGTAGCGTATGACGCGATTGAATACAAGTGCTTATACATACCACTCATGCTACTAGCGTCGGCATCCATAGCAGCGTCATCTCCAATAGGTTGGCGTTGGTGACGTTGACGAGCTTGATGGTCAATAACACCGGGTCGCCGATGTTTCTCCCACGAACGTTCGGCCTCGTACGTGTATTCCTTCATGGTTGACAAGTGACAAGCAAAAGATAGATACCTATCTAATTATTAATGCAAACGGCGACAATATTGATGATGAGTGCATCGTACTAGAACGAAAAGAATAAAGACTGAATGCATACATATACATACATGTAAAAGAGAATGGTAATGAAGCATAATTTAATGAATATTAGATTGTACATTTCCTGTCAAAAATGACATTTGAATGAGCTTTAAAGATTTTCATCGACCTTAACAAAATTGATAAATATATACGTACATATATATTTTTTTCATCACTTTTATTGAAAATAATATGACAAAGAAAATTGATTTTCGTGTTTTATTGAAAAATACGATGTTTTGTTCGTTTAAATAAAAATAATTATTCAGACTTCAATAATCTATCATATAAAAAACTTCTTGAGACATGTTATCAATTAATACGTATTAGATATATATAAATAATTATAAGTGTCATACGTCATTTAAAATAAGACAAATATGTAAATAATGAAACCATAGAAAATGTTCGAATCTTTAAAAACTTTCATGAAGAGAAAAATAAACAACTAATCACTTATTGATTTCTCACGATTATTTTTCAATGGCAAAACGAAACCGAATTTAAATTAACAAAAAAATCATTTTGTTTTTCGTTTTGTCTTTCAAAACTGAATTAGCCATTTATATTGTTGCGATGTCTATTCATTAATCACAACATCAGAATGATTTCTTATATAGATGCAATGTTTCTTTTTTTTTGTTTATTATCAAATATAAATGTCTAGTAAAACATTGTATCGAATTATTCTTGAAAGTAAATATTCGATTTAAATTCTTGAACAACAAAAAAGGCAATACAATCCAGATGTTATCGATCAATGTCGCGATTTATTTAGACTGTAACTAGAGTTATGTAAGTTTTTCACTGGCTCTTCTGTCAAATAAAAAGTATTTTATAAAAGAACGATCAAGTGTTTCATATCATGAAATTCGATATTTTAAAATGTAATAAGCAAAATTTCTCATTGAACTATTTTACTGAGGTTAAATTCAAATTTGTTTTTATATATAAAATCACTATTCAAGAAAAAAAAAAGCAACTGAATCTTATTCTAATTGAGAATATTTAGATTGGCGAAGAGAAAAAAAATGAAAACCTACGATTTTTACTGATTGCAAGACGTAATCGTATGATACAGCCAACTCAACTAATTTTTATATTTGCATGACATGCAAAAAGAAAAGTGTAGCATTTTACGGCTTACGAAGGATTAAGAACATGCAAAAAAAAATGCATCGATGTTTTATCTCTCGAACTTTAGAATGCTTTCTACAACCCGTCACATGAGAAACAAACAAAGGAAAGAATAAAAAGAAATCGACTGTTGCTCACGTTGGTATGAATGAATGCTTGAAGAAGAAAACCGCAATGCGTCTAATGCGCGTCGTTCCTCCTTTCACTTACCTATTATATAAAATAGTGCAATTCGATTAATGTAGAAAAACTCTCGCAAGGTTCTATGAATTCATAATGAACCAGAACCATTATACACGCATTTATCATGAAGGTTAATGATAGTTTCATGCTGTTTAAATCGAGAAAAAATCAATCATTAAACCGGAAAAAAACACGTTTGCCGATTTGCGACTAATCTTGAACACTAACCACGTACTATTTAAATGCAATGAATGATAACAAATTAAAAAGCAACAAAAAAAAGAAAAGTTTCGATAAAAAGGAAGCATCCTTGGACATCGACAAACAACCTGATAAGAAGTCAAATTGTACGAGATTTATTTCCGATTAAGTACGTTATAATAGATCATAGCGTACATTTAAAGATACACTTGAATACCGTTAGAAGAAAAATGTAGACAAAAGAAAAGGTGGTCTGGTAGAGACGGATGAATGAATGGACGTAAAGAAGAAGAAGAAAAAATAGAAAGAAGAGAAAAAACGACCACCAATGTTGGCATAAAGGCAAACGACACTTTCTCTTTTTTCCTCATCTTAACGACGATTGTAAAACGAGAAAGAAAAAGCGGAAAGAAGTGATGATGAACATGAACAAAAAAAAACGTGTTGAGTATATGGAGCAGTAGTTATTATATTCTTTTCTTTCCTTGTTTCAACAGTATATTTTACATCACTTGTCTTTCAAAAAAATCAGCGAATTGATGATGATATGCAAAGACAAGAGACCTTGAATTCAAGTTCACTTATTGTTAGACGTCTTTTCTTTCTTTTTCTCTCACTTTCTTATTAACTATTTACTCGAATACGCCAACGATATATTTATATGTATATTAAAATACGCGTATTCGTTTTCACTCTAATGAAAAATGAAGTAAGACACCAGTATTTTGTATTTTACAAATATTTGTTTTATAAACTAAAGAGTCTCTACAGTGCAACTTACCTAGTATTTCACTCACGATTAGTATTGCCCGTGAAATGAATCGTTTTCTATGATTCAGAGAACTAAATCGAGAAAAAAAGAGGCGTTGCAAATGTGATGGAAAAAAGCAATAGAATAGAATAGAGCATGGCAATATGGTGCCCAATGTCAAAAACAGATGCGACTATGAATTGCCTTTCATACTCGCGGTTTTATTTTTTATATTCGACTAGCAGCAGACACACACACACACACACACAAAATGAATCAGAAAAGGAGAAGAGAATAGACGACAGACTGATTTGGCAGACGTCTTTCAAAAAAAAAGTGATGGTATGTTTGACTTTCGGATATAGTTTTATGCAAACGAGAGGATCGACAGTAATAGAGGGAATAAAAAAAGAGAACGTGAAAAAGGAAGAATCTAACCACATAACATAATGTAAATTCTTCTTGCTTCGCTTGAATGTTTTTTTTTATGTAAAAAACACGAGAGAAACAAAAGCAAATACTTAACACACATACTTATTCATTCAATCTGAAATACATAATAAAAAAAACCAAAATAGATCTGTATATTTAACCATGTCCCGAGAGAAAAAAACCTGAGGATACAACTTCGTCTCTTCTCGTTTACTTACGTGTCTCCGTATTCACACATAAACAATGCAAAAGGTTTTTCTTTTTTTTTGAAAATGTATGCATATGTGAAAGCATAGAAAAAAAAGAGAGAGAGAGAAAACGCGAGAGCGAAATACAGGTTTTTTGTCATCTGTACATCATCTATCTTATGTTCAATGATAAACGGTTACAGGTAGATACGATGAACATGTCCATTTACGCTACGGATATTACCTTGAATTCTCGTTTTTTTTTCTTATGTATCTATCTATATATATTGATGATTGTTTAACTCTCTATAGCTCAATAATGAAAAGTTGATAGGACCAATGCATGTAAAATTTCGGTTACATCCATATCGAAGAGAGCATCATTATGATCCAATGAATAGAATGAATAAGAGAAGTAGAATAAAGTGACTACGCCTACCGATATTATTACTAGATCGTTTCCTTTTCTTCTCTATAATGATAGTCATCGTGATGACAATGATAGTGTAACAAATATGAGAGGAGTAAGAAATAACAAATATATACTAGAGTTCGATATATGCTCACGTAATTCAATACCATATATATACACACATATATATGTGTATATATATGTATATATAAGCATATACCTGCACGCGTAAAGCGAAAAGAAAAGGTTTACTTTCGTAAAAATGACACACTGAGCGAAAGAAAATAATAATATGCAAATTTGACTACGACTCACTTTCTATTTCGCTCACTCTTCTTCTCGATAAAAATTTGCAAGGTGTTAAATTGCGTATTAAACCTACAAATGCTCAATATCACAACATCGTGCTCAAGTTAGTGTGATAAATATTTTAGTGTGTACTTCCATCAATGACATATAAATTTTTATGATTTGTAAAATAAGGATTAACTATAGGTTATTAAACTAATATATATATATATATCCTTCGGCTTTCTAATTATATGATTAAATATCAAAGATTATTAGACGATATTCAAGGCTACAAAAAAGCAACAAGTGTATAATATAAAATAAGCACGATATCTGACTTTCTTTTGATATAGACAGAAAAGAAAATATGTTTGTACGTTTCTTGCTTCATTTCATTTACAAGGTTAACTGATTTCAATCGAGGTTGTATACCCTTTTTATTTCTTACTCCAAAAAAAAATAATCTATGTATATCATATGCTATTGATTTAAGTCGTAAGTTTTACAAAGAAAAACAAAGTCTTGATCGAATTTACATGCCGACAAGACAAATGTGAATACATATAATTTTCACTACTGGAAGCTCTATTAAATCAAATCACATCACCATTGAAGACTTAACTATATAGCATAATCAATACAATATTTTCTTTTCTCTTTCGAACTTCTTACAAAACGATTACTGTAAAAGAATTCATGATAGAAGTGAACGAATCTATTTGATGAGTGCTTTTAATCTCAAGTATATATGAAAAGATAAGGATAGAAGGGAAGAAGAAAAAATGCCTTTCAATAATTAGCTCTCAACATAATCGAGAAAAGAAAGCAGCAATATCGAAGTGTAGACTCAAAATTTTTTGATGATCTTAGACTCTATTTGACATGTAACAAAACTTCATGTTCAATAATACTAATTTCGAATATATACGACGTGCTCTTTTGCAATGTGTCTGGTTATTGTATTTACTTATGCATATCGACTGCAGCTGATCATCATGTCAATTAGCCGAATAGCAAATATATAAGAGATTTACTTATCTTTCTAGCAAGATCAAATAGTAAAGTTTATTACGTATATAGTAGAATATCGTCTTACAATGATTTTTAAACAGCAGGTAGAGAAAGAAAAATATAATCATGAAATATGAAATAGATACGTATCTATCAAATCGTCATCATATTGAATATAAAATTTGACACTCTGTTTGACATATAACTTTCAAAAGTTGATGAAATCGCTTTGTTTTGTAATGATGGAACAACTGTTTAAAGATGGAATTTCAAACATTTTCTTTTTCGTCTCCA